CTGTCACACTGTCACAGGCAACTTACAGTCTACGAGGGCACCACGTTGCCCTAACCTGTGATGAGGAGTCACCAGTAGATATTGCTTCATTTTAAGGGGTCACAAAAGATCAGGACATGTTTCATTCTCTGAGCAGCGTGGAAACTATTAAACATACATGTGCTGTTATGAGCATGTGTCTTCAGAAAACATGCATTTGTAGCTGTAGGGAGCATGTGACAGAAAATCTTTGTGTTTTGTTGTCCATCAAGCTGGATGACAAGTGACTCAATGTGTTAAAGGTGGACTTTTAGACCGATGACACATATACATCAGATCGGAAACACATGATGATGTCGTGACTGATGTGTGAAAGGCGTTCAGTACAAGGGGAAGCTCAAGGCCTTTTGGTGGAGACTTCCTTTTTATTAAGCACCACCATCAGCATTTAGGAAGGAAGGCATGTGAGGAAAATCTCAGGAGCACAAACATTCGCTTTTAAAGCCTTAAACGATCTGAGGACGGGAGATTTCACAGAGCAGTCAGATGAGGGGCTGTGGTGGGCTGCTGCTCTGTGGCCTTATGTCCCTCTAATGGGTATGAAGCGATCATGTGTACGATCGGTAAGAGAGGACCTCTTCATTGCCCAAATTCACCAAATCCATGAATAAAGATATGCAAGGCATTGGACACAATCAGCGGTTAGGGGTTTGAATGTTTTATTTCCCGGAGCCAGGTCTAGATACGTTTGAATCATTCCACAAAGAGACATCTTTATACGCTTTAACCAGCAGCAAAATGTTTAGCATGACTGAAAATGACGTTCAGAGTACATGATTACGTACCATGCTATTAGCAACGCTCAGGCTAAATGCTACTGTACAATGTGATCGCTTCATACGACGGAGGCTCCACGTGAAGATGTGATTTTTTAGCCGTCGGGCTGTCGGTCAGTCCACCGCTTTGGTTGAGACTGACACATCTGATCACATAAGTAAATATAACTCAAAGAATTGTTGAAACTGATGAAGAATTTTTAAGTAACAGAAACTCAATTATTTATTTTTATTTGTACTGTGAAAACAAAATACCTAGTAAAACGTTATTAATCAGTTAGTGCCACTTAAAATTACTAGTAAAAGCAGCTTAATCAAGAATCTTTTTTAACCTAAACAACTGCATTGAGTTGAGTTTTTCTGAGTTAAATGAACGTATCCAGTTTTATAGTGTTGGATGGATTACTGTGAAATCTTGTGCAGACATTAATAGATCCCAGATGATGTGTCCTTATGACTTTGGCGATCATCTTAACGCCACCATGAAGTAACATTTGTGGTTTTTGAGTCAAGAACTGTAAAATGGATTGCCATGAAAGTTATGACACATATTTATTTCCCCCTCAGGATGAACTGCAGTCTCTCTCATCTTCCATCCCCAGGGTCAGCATTTTAAAACACTTTGTTTTTTGATACCTGCAACCATATTGACAGTCTCATCAGCTTTATCTTTATCTGTTATTAGAGCCTGAGCATCGACCACTGCAAAGCTCTATTGAAGTGAAAGGAATTATTATTATTATTCAGCCAAATTGCATTTTTGACAGCTGTAACATGCTCGAAAACTCATAAAACGTGACACAAAATACACCGAAGCATGTATTAAAATATACAAAAAAATATCATGACCAGACAAACAAAAAAGCTTCTTGGACCCAAACCCAACCGGACGTCAGGCATTTTGAATTTGGAGGTCATTTTTGGTGATTTGCAGGCGTTGCACTGAGCTGCCACAGAAGGCGTTATACATCTGTTTTTACAGGTTAAATAGAACAGCCAAAATGATCCTCAAGTTTCTCTTCAATGACAAGAGAGAAAACATACAAAGTGAAAGCTTCTTTTCTTGCCAAGAGTTAGACGAGAACGTTGATACCACACTTCTATGTAAGCTAAATATGAAGCGCTGTTTTCTGTTTTATTCATATAATTTATAAAGTGTTTGGTCAAAGCAGCATTTTGGCAAAACTTCACCTGCTGCCAAGGTAAAGGTTGAAGGTTCGGGGAAAAAAACGGAAAAAACACACAGGGCGGAAACCACAGCCTTCATTAGTCATGCAACATCAAATTGTTATCTGATGAAGACAATAGGTGGAAATGTGTTAGATTCAACTGCATAACAACTGAACTAAAACTAAAAAGCACACCTCACTGATAGTGGGTTATGAAATGCCTGCAGGCCCTTCAAAATAAAATTGCGCTGACTGTTTAGGTGTGCTTTTTAGGCACCACGACCAACCATTGCTAATGGATAATTAACATCAAGGGGGTCAACTCTGGGACACCTGATGCCTTAAAGGCTTTCTTCTCTTAAGGGTCAAACCCAAACCCTAACACTAACCCTACAAAACAAAGAGAGACAACCACGCCCCCTCCCTCCCCCGAGTCCTCCTAATTACTAAACTATGTCACCTCCTTTGTCTTCTAATTTTTCTACTTTTTCTATTTCTGATAATAGATTCTCCTTTAAACCTGCAGTAGCAGATTTATTTGACAACTTGGGGTAGGTTCTTACACGGGTTTTTGTTCTCACCGGCTGCCCGTCCACATTTAGCTCACTTTTACCCATAATTGTGAATTTATATATTAACCTTTTTGCAGGTTACCCGACACAAGATGTCTCCTCCTTCACTGTAAAGTCCGTTCTCAGTGTCTGTGCACTGCTGGATCTCACTGTAGAAGTTGGGCCAGAATCCAAACAACTTGTGACGCCACTAATCATGTTTGTAGGCCCGGGCCCTTAAAAATCTGAGCACAGAAAAACATCTTTCGAGCGTCAAACTCTGCACATACATTATTTAAACATCACACTGTAGGAACAAGAAGAAACTGATGTTTTATTAAAAGAAAATGATCTGAATTCTTTTCCTTCCACTACTGAGAGACAGTGAGAGAATTTTCCAACAATTACTGAACTGAATTCCTTTTTCTGCCCACATACCCCCCCAAAATATTAAGTTTTAGTTGTATATTTCATTGTAGTCTATTGTTTCATGTCTCAATCCACCATTAAGACATTAAGTAAAACCATCTGAGCACGTCGGCCTGATTTGTGTTCAATTTCACTGCTGCCGAAGTGTCAGATCATCTGACTACAACGTGACTTCCTATGATTTAGTATGAATTTGGGATGAAAGAGGAGAACATGTGCACACACCCCTCGCTGTGAGGAGGGGACGGGGGGGCTGCAGGGTATAAACACAGCCAGCCCGACTGCTGCCTCCTCCTCCTGAGTCCACCACTGCTAATGGCCCCTGGAATTTAAAATACTAACCATTGCAGCTTGTTGGCTCTGCGGACTCAGAGACAACTGGAAATCATATCTCCCACTCAGGCAACACTGACAGCAGCCATGGCCATCAATAAAGCCAAAGTAGCTGTTGGATGTATAGTGGCGGGGACGCTGACGGTGGTTTTTGGAGCCGTTCTTCTGGTTGTAGGACCGTCGGTGATGAACGACCAGATAATAAAGGTTGGTTATCGTTTGAATTCTGCTGTTTCCTTTCAGTTTTTTAATAAATTAATTACATTTTCTTTGTTTTTCTTTGAGTAAAAAAACAATTACTTTGCAAAAAACTATTTTCTAATAAAGAAGTGAACATTCAAACTCTGTTAAAGAATAAAATGTGCTGCAGTTTCCTTGCAGCTCTTTTATTATCTGCATGCTGACTGCTGCACCTTCACATTAAGGCCTTTGTGTGCCACTCATTTGCACATGTAGTCTTTAATGCTGTTGATTAATTTTATTTTTATATATAGTTGATGCACCCAGTCTGCTATTTTATTTTTTATATTTTTACTGTATTAATATGTTTGTTTGTCCTGTAACATTATTGTTTTTAACACAATGTGATGAAGCCACAATTCGACTATTTATTTTCCACAAGATCTGGACAACTTCATAAGTTATTAACTTTATTAATAACGTTAATAACCAGGTAATTATTTTAGCTCATTCTTTGAGGTATTTATTTTACATTTTGGGATGTGCTTCTGTTCCTGCAATCAAAACCAGTAAACCTTAACAAGAAGAGACGATTCATTAATGGAGATATTGTTCCTTTTGAAACCACACTCACAGTTTCAGTTAAATTGTTTGTTTGTGGTTGAAAGCTTTTCACAAAAAGGCAAAAATTACAGAAAAGTTAAAAGAATTAAAACTTTTTATTTTTATCTTTATTGATAATAAATAAGGTACAATTAAAAACTCACTTTTTACATTACACCTCCTTCTGTAATATTAGTTTTAGTCAACACAATCACAGTAGAGAGTCTTTGGGTCTGGAATAAGTCGTATTGAGACATAAGTGCACAGAGTTTTCTGGCATTTTTGAGCTTCCTTATACATTTATTTAACATTGTGAACTCATTTCTGCCACACTGGAATTCATTTGGCAAATCAACATTTGTGTATATATGTAATATGTTATATTAATTATATTATTATTAATAAGAAATTAAATTTGTTTATTTTTCAAAATTGCTCCAATTTATTTTATATATTGTATATTAATTTGTTGTATATATTTAAATATTTTGGGTTTGGAGATTTGCCAATCATGCAGAGATCTCCATAAAACAGATGCTCTGTTGTTTGTCTTGATATTTCATTTAAAGTTCTAAAAATGTATTTCTTTATATTTTGGTTTGCAAATTTTAGGAAATCTTGTTCTTATAGGCAATATTTCAGTGTTTTCCACAGTTTCTGATATTAAGAGTTCTTTTCATTAAACCAGAGTAAATTTAGTATTTATCAAATTTTAATCAAGAAATTAACTATTCGTCTATTATTATTATTATTATTATTATTATATTATTATTATTATTATGAATGAATAAAAACAAACTCTTCCACTGATCTTAACCTGACAAAACCTGTGTGTTTGAGTGTAGAATGCGTGGGAACTCCAACTCCCAGAGTCCTCTGCGCCGCGGGGGGGGCGTGCCCAGCCGAATGTAAAAAAACAGCGACAATAGAAGCAGGTCAACAACATCGATTAGAGGCATTTAAAAAGCCGGCAGGTCTGCAGACTGAAGCTACAAGCTCACACTTTAATGCGGAAACACTGCTGGAGTCGGTGACAGTTAGCTCACCTGCTGACTCTGTTTATCTCTGCAGCTTTGTTGACATAAACAAGCGAACTTACAAACAGTAACTGTCGGTAATAACGAGCTATGGCGGTTAATAAAGCCAAAGTCGCGATTGGGTTCATAGTCGCAGGTGTCCTGACGGTGTTCTTCGGGACTGCTCTTACCTTTGTGGGACCGATAATCATCGACGACCAGATAGTGAAGGTAAGCAGCCTTCAGCCAGTGTTTAATGTGCTGAGTGCAGTTTCAAATGGCTTCAAAGGTAGAACAAATAGCCAATAATCGATAATATGCTGCTGTTGGTGTTACTGTACATTCAGAGGGCTGTGGATCATGTGTAAGGAGGATTAAATGCATGCTGCTCAAAGCTGTGCTTAAACAGTGTGAAAGATCAGAAATGTCAAATTAAAGATAATTGATAAAATATTGATATTTATATTGGCTCCTATTTAAGGTAATTGTATGGAAGCTCATTTGTGACAGGATAAAAAAAAGATTCTGTTTATATATTTTGAGAATGTTTCTCATTATTATGATTTATAGTGAGAAACTTTCTCAAAATATTGAGATACTGAGTCGAAAAATTGAGAAAGTTTGTCTTTATTTTAAGATACTAAGTCAGAAAATTTAGATATTCATTCAAAATATTGAGAAAGATTCTCATCACATTGTTGTAAATGGGCTTTTATACAGTGGAGCTCTATGCAACAGAATATTATATTATTATAATATATATAATCAGGATACATCCATTGTTGGTTTTGGTCCTTTTTAATGTTTGTTGACAAAAAATGAAAATATATAATCCATTAAAAACGGAAGAGTTCAGAGGTCCTTACGTTCTGTGTTTAAAAAGCTTTTCTTTTAAATCTTATCTAATCTCGTCCCCCTGTAATGTTTGCAGTAATAGCCTCATAAAGTTGGCTGATTTGGCTCGAATGAGTCTCAAATGTTAAATGTTTAAACACACGCAGACGTACAAGAACATTTTGATTTTAAATCAGGAAGAGTCTGATCAAAGAATTGATAAAAAATACCATAAAAAAAATTAAATGTAAATTGTAAATCTGTATGCAGTATATGTGAGATTATTCTGTTTTAGGTGAATTAAAGCTGTTAAATACTTGCTGTCGGCTAAAAGATGTTTAATTTAAGGCGCTATCGATAATTATTGACCACTTTTAATAATCTATAAGTGGAAGAAAGGTTGAGTTTAAGCTCTTTAATGTAATCTAATGTTAATGTCATACGGTCGTGTTGTTGCTGAGCCCTCCATTGGGGGGAACGCCTGTGGATTGTTTCTGGAGATGTAACAGATGTAGGTCACGACTGATCGACGGGTGGCGTTATAGTTATGTAGTATGTAGTCGCAGAACAATCTGTGAGACAGCTTTCTTTATAAACTTAAAGCGGGCATCACTCAGTTAAAAAAGGTTATGTAATGAAGTGTATGCATGTTCAAATGTTTAATATCAGGTCACTTTTTTACACATTTTACTGACTCAGATTCAAAAGAGTCAAATCTGCTGAAACATGATTCAATTAGTCAAAAACAGAAAATCTGTTAAATTGTAAAGATGCTTTTTTCTGTTTTATATGATTGTGAATTAAATATTTTAGAGTTTTGGACCATTTGAAGACATTATTCTGGCCTCTGGGTAACTGTAATTTGCATTAATTCTCTATTATTAATCTGACATTTTATAGCCTAATCAATCAGCTGATTTAATGCAAAGGAAGATTAAGTGTATTTATACTCTTTAAAACTCATTCCACCTTTCTCGTAGTAATCCAAAAACATGCAAATTAGAAAAAAAGCTACTTGAGGACATGAGCTACAGGTCATGGACAGTGTTTGTACTCAATTTAGATAATGTAATCTATGTGTTTATGGACAGGAAAGAATACATGTGACAGTGTTTGGGATGCAGAAATACATTTTTATGTATGTGTCTGTTCTTGTAAATTGAATCATTTGAGAGCTGAAACAAAAATAAGCAAAAATAACAAACTTTTCCTGCTTCTTTCTTCTTAAATGTGACGATTTGGTGCTTTTTCTTTACACTAAATTGAATATCCTTTGTGGTTTCGGACAAACTAAAGACATTTTGTGTCTATTTTCTGGCTTATTATTAAAGAAACATAACCTTTTTTGTTATTTCTCTCCATCTCACGTCAGAACACGGTGATCGACCCAAAGAATGAGATGTCCTACACCATGTGGAAGGACGTCCCTGTGCCGTTCTACATGTCCGTCTACTTCTTCCACGTCCTCAACCCGAAGGAGATCCTGAACGGGGAGAAGCCCATGGTGGAGCAGAAAGGACCTTACGTGTACAGGTACATATAACCCGCTGTACACTGTAAATGTGTCACAAGATGCATCCCAAAGTTATCTTCTCTGCTTTGGCTGTTTTTGATTACACTTTGCTTATCAAATATCTTTAAAACTTTAAGGTATTTTGACCCAATTCCTCATTTATCATCTTCATTGTATCTTCTTGAACTTTATCCAGACTGTCCATGTGCTGCTCATTCGGTAAAGTGGAGCTGTTTCTCGTGTCTGATTGGCCCACTTTTGGGAACAGTATGTACTTCATGCATGCAATCGAGCCTTAATCGAGTGCCCTAGTGGGAAGAATCCCAAAACTTGTTATGTAGCTATTCCATATGTGCAGCAAGGTGGGAGTTTGGGGTACAGTACTCTATGTATTCTGACCTAGATTTTGCACAGCTGCAGAGCGATGTGGATGGAGAAAACGGAGTTAATTTCCAGTATTCAAAGGAAAAAAAGGCAGAAAATAATGCCTGCAAAAGAGTTCTTAAATGTCTGCTATTGTTTTAGAAGTAATTACCCATGAAAGGTTAAAGATGAGGCCAACTATCTGTTGGTTTGTCTCTAGATTCTTTGACTTCCTGTTTGTGGCTCTCAGCTCCCAAACTTTAAAAACACCACACAAATATGTAGTTTTTAGTTTTTAGCTGCTCACTGTAACAAACAGGAGGTAATAGTGCGTTAGTTGGGGACTATTTTCAGCAGCGGATTAATCCACATTTGCAGGGCTCCCACATGTCCTGGAAATACTGGAACACATGAAAATTTAGAGACTAGTTTTACAGTCGTGGAAACACCTGGAAATTGATTAAAATCATCAAATATCATGGACATCTTTTATGTTGTCCTGGAAAATATAGCTTGCAACACAAACCTGGGTGGGTATTTAGTTTGAAACTCAACTGTTGGTAGGAGGAACCGCATGAAAACTGGAGGTAAATGTGTCGATACTCAGCCTGCCGGTAACATATATATATATATATATATATATATATATATATTTATATATATATATATATATATAAAATGATTTCTTACAGAGTGGGAACCCTGATTTGGGGCTCTATAGTGAGTATTTGGGGCAGCTGGACGGTGTTTGTTGAACTGAGTCAAAATAAACTACAATTTGTTGACGATAACAAGTTACAGAAGAGTGTTCAGAGAGTTCAGAGGTCAAATGAATGTCCACACATTTTGTGTTAAGACAGCTTTTTTCTTCTACGTCTTATCTAATCTTTTGAGATAGGTCAGTGGTGTTTTTCTTAGTTTGCTGTCATAGCCTCATTATAAGGTTAACTGCTGAATTGCCATTGAAATCCATAATGTTTACGCCTATTGGATCTATTTTAGAAGGTAATTGTTTCTTTAAAGATGGATGTATATCCAGATTCTGACAGAAAGCAAAGTGCATTGTCTGTATCCTTGAGGACTGTCTGCTCTCATTAAACATTAAGAGTTTTAAATATTTAAAATCATGCATTAAGATTGATGTTTACGAGCAGTCACTCTCCTTCTTTACTACTTGTTAGAGCCACTAATCGTTAGCGATCATGTTCTCTATTAGTTGTTTGGTCCTTAATATGCAAAATGTTCAGTGTGTTTCAAATCCCAAGGCGTCCTCAAATGTCTCGTTTTGTCCACAAACCAAATATATTCAGTTTACTATCATAGAGGACGAAAAAAATAAGACAAAATTCACATTTGAGAAGCTGAAATCTGAAAACTTTGACTTTTTTCTTGAAAATCTTTATTTAATTATCAAAATGAGAGAGAAAAGTCACTGAAGTAAGACATTTCTACAAGAGCTGGCGTCTGAATGACGGAGGAGCCCCAATGTCAAAAATATGAAGCTCAAAAGGTTCAGAACAACTCAAAACTATATTTTTAGTAAAATAATGTATGATGCAGTTTCATGGCTGGTTAAAATACTTTTAGCTGGTAAATGTTCTTTTTCCTTCCACTGACAGATGAGCCAAAAAGCAAATTTTAGACCCTGAGCTCAACTAATAATAATACTTTCACAGCCAGTAGTGAAACTGTTTATTCCCTCTCCCTATCATCTGTCTTATCTGCCTTCATCCTCTTTATCACATTAGTCGGGTTCTGTGTACAAAGTCCATTGACCCAGTAGGCGTAGGTCTTATATATATATATATATATATATATATATATATATATATATATATATATATATATATATATATATATATATATACATACAGAGTAGTGTATCCACATTTCTATCAACTCAGATTGTGTCTCATCTGGACGCTGGTGGCTGGACAGTGAGAGGACAACTGTATTACAGTAGCTCTGAGCACTCAACACACTGCAACTTAAAGTGTTACTTAACCCCTAAATTCTGCTCTTACAGTCACTAGAAGCACATTCGTGGTCATTTGTAGATGTTTCTGTGTCGTACCTGTGTTGTAAAGTTAGCTAGCGGCTCAGTAAGGCTAACTTTCCACCCCTTTTTTTTTTTTTCCAGGAAACGCATCCAGAAAGACAACATCACATTTCATCCCAACAACACGGTGTCCTACAGGGAATACAGAAGATACTACTTCGAGCCGTCCATGTCTGCAGGGAACGAGTCCGATGTTGTCACGATTCCAAACATGTTGGTCCTGGTAAGATATAATCTTCCCTCCTTGAACTCACATTCGGTCCCTCGGCTGTCGGCTTTTTTAAACTCCCCTCTGTGTTTTCAGGGTGCGGCAGTAATGATGGAAAACCTGCCCTTCGCTGTGCGTTTAATGATCAGCGCCACCTTCAAGACTTTCAAAGAAGGGCCCTTCCTGACTAAGACAGTAGGGGAGCTGATGTGGGGTTACGACAGCGGACTGGTTGATTTCCTCAATAAATACCTGCCCGGCATGCTGCCCTCATCGGGAAAGTTTGGCCTCTTTGCTGAAGTGAGTGTTTTTAAAATGGTTTGTTTTTGCTCATTAGAAGTCTGATTTTATGGCCTCTATACCAGTGGGGACGACATGGAGACTGGAAACATGTGAAGAAAGTTAACAACAGTGTTTGAAGGATGTAGTTAGTATATTCACAGAGAATATAAAGGGCCAAATTCATTTAAATTATCTTTATGTAGTTCAACAACTCCAACACTGGCCTGTTCACCATCTTCACCGGACAAGACGACATCAGGAATGTCCATAAAGTGGACTCCTGGAACGGCCTGACACAGGTGAGACTTTACACCTGCAGCTTCTTTTGATGATCATACGAGTGTTTTTTTATTCCCCATCTGACCGTCCTCTCTGTTAACAGCTGAACTACTGGCGGACTCCTCAGTGTAACATGATCAACGGAACAGCTGGACAGATGTGGCCTCCTTTCATGACCAAAGAGAGCACTTTACCTTTCTACAGCCCCGACGCCTGCAGGTACGTTTATACTCTCCGACTGTACTTTCTTCTTTCTCACAGGTCCTAATCAGCGTACTTATAAAACCCTTTCCCTGTGTTTCTCCTCAGATCTATGGAGCTTGTTTACCAGCGTCCTGGCAAGCTGAAGGGGATCCCACTGTATCGATTCGTTGCACCCAAAACCCTCTTCGCCAATGGGACGGACTACGCTCCCAATGAAGGCTTCTGCCCCTGTAGACAGTCGGGTCTGCTGAATGTCAGCAGCTGCCGCCACAGTGAGTGCTCGTATTCATCTGTATAACCTCTTCAAGTCACGTACGTTTGCTATTGTTTATACTTTGTGGTACCCTTAAAATTGATGTCCTGCAAACTCCTTTAATCACCTCGACACACCTCAGATTTATCTCAAGATCCTTTGGTTGAACTATTTTATGTACTTTTCGGGTAGTTTAATATGTTTTATGTTCATGAACTTATAAAACATGATGTATTGTACTCATATTTTATAAGTTCATCATGTGTTTGGTACATAAAATCAGCTGTCAGATAAATGTAGTGGAGTAAAAAGTTCAAATCTTTCCCTCAAAAAAAAAAAAAAGTTACACAAAATTCCACTACTGCTTAGAGGTTATATATACACAATTATATATGCTGTATAGTGCTGTATTAAAAATAATAATAATCATTCCATTTCTCTTTTACAGACTCTCCAGTCTTCATCTCTCATCCTCACTTCTTTAATGCTGACCCTGTACTGCTGGACTACGTGCAGGGCCTTAATCCAACTGAGGACGAGCATGGCCTCTTCATAGACATTCACCCAGTGAGTCCACACACACACACACACACACACACCCACATTTTTATGTCACTAATAATTCAATTTAGCTTGTTGACACTGTGTGATGAAATGGTGCCTCAGTATGAGCCGTGTGTGTTCTCTCCTGAGACTGGATGAAGTGGTTGTGCTGCACTGATTAAAGTAGAAACATATTTTAGTCATTTTGCCAAAAATAAAGATGGCCTCACCCCCCCATCCTCCTTATTCACTTTTGCCTACTGCCAAGAGATAACAGTTAATAATACAGAGACACAGGATTAGAGCTGCACTCTTAGTTAAAGGCTTTACAGGACACTGAATGTGCACTTCAGCGCTGTTGTCGCCGTCCTTGAGGCCTCGTGTGGTCCTCTTGAGCAGAAGTGGACTGATTACATATCACAGACTGCAAACTTTGAATTGTGTGTCATGGTCAAATACAAGTTTGAACCTCCGGTCGAGGGTGGGTAAAGGGCTGCATCCTATTTTTTTACTTTTTTAAATGCTTTCTTTAATTATATGAATACTCGTATTGTATGTATGATATCTTCCAACATGCTTCAACCTGTTGATCTATGTTTTATATAGATAATGTCATTTAATTATACTCTCTGGGTCCTACTTTTCCACAGTTTACCTGTTGGTTTCTCTGTCTGATGAGTTTGAAAATGACAATCATGCATGCTAATGAATTAAATTGGTGTGATAAATGAGTATATATCAGATTTATTCACAAAGAGTGAAACTCACCAGTTTAAAGGAACCAGCCTGCTGCAGGGAGATTGTGTGTAAAAAAGGTGCTTATCATCATGCAATCTAAAGCTATCTGCAAAGCTAGTTGCTCATCATTATTATCATATCTGTGGCTGTTAATATAGGTAAACTATGTGGAGGAGGCTTAAAGTTAATGCTTGTTTGTCTTCATGTTGGAAAGGTCCCTGAGACACAGTGAACTCAGTGATATCCAGTTTTATTACTGTGCAATAACAGTAAAAGAGCAGTGATGATAATTGCATCAGTAAAACTGTTAATGCGAAGGACAGATAAGTCGGATACAACACGGTCATGATTCAGCTCGTTCTTACCCAACTCCGCTCAAACCTCATCTGCAGTGTAGTTGGCTGTAACCTGTATTGTGATAAGGTAATTGGAAATTGGGCTATTTCTCTTTAATTGCCCTAAGGGTTGATAGAAACGTTCTATGGCTCCAATAAAAAATCTTGATCTGCAGATAAAAGCTCATGTGTGCTGGTTCCAATTATATCAGAGGACAGCGTTCAGTCGAATCCTGGAAGTCTAGATCGATATCAAGTTAATAATTAAGGGAAATTGCTTGGCGTGGGATTTTATGAAGCTAATTCAAATGACAAAGTGACATTTACTTTCAGATTTCTCATGTGTCTGTTTACACTCAGGGTTTTTTGCTAGCCTGTAGAGGCTAATGTTAGCAAACATTAGATCGACATTAACATATAATTGACGTTACTGAGTCAGTTTGCTTACTTGTGCGAGCGGTCGTCACCTGCCAGCGTCAGAGATCTGCAGAACACAGTGGTTCCCAACTGTTTTCCTAAAGAGAGTAAACTGACGACCCCTGACGGAAATTTTTTATGGATAGTTCATTCATTCATTGTATTGTATCTAACAGTAACACTGAACAATGAACCCAAACAGCAAACACAATAAGTGCGTAAAACATGCAATTTTTTGCAGATTATTTCCTGTGAATATTGATTAGAGATGAGTTTTCCTGATATTTTTATTAACTTTAAATACAGTTCTCTGTCTTTATTGTGTATTTTTACATTTCTAACAATCATACAGAATGAGTAGGCCTCATTATCCCTGATGTTTGACCATTTGATCTATTAGCTCTTTGGTTGGACGAAGTATTCATAGAGAAGATCTTGAAATGAATAAAATGCTGAGATATCTGCCTACTATGTATATTTTTTAGGTTTTCTTACACCCTTTGAAATCAAGAAGGCCTCGCGACCCCCTGTGAATCTTTGGTGACTCCTAGTGGGGGTCCCAACCCCTAGGTTGGAACTATGTTTTATGGAACTAAAATCCTTCACAGAAAAAAAATATGTATGTTTGCATCAACATACTTGCCTCTACTGCGTCCTGCAGCCGGCCGTACAGTCAGTGGACCGTTAGTCCCAGTTGAATAAAAAGGTGCCTGAGTTAACGCGCTGTGGTAACTTTGTAGTAGCGTCCAGTTTTTAAAAAAGAGGCCAACAGGTTTTCATCTCGGGATGGGGACATTTTAGAAATCCAAACAATCAGTTTATTCTTTACAGCTGGCTCAAATCAAATTGTTCAACCAATTTGTCGTTTGGACATGAAGAAGAAGAAAAGGAGCTTTGAGGGGGGATAGGAACTGATGACATAACGAAGGAACAATTCTTACACAACTGAAACTAGACATGACAGGGACACGCATTAGGACCGCTGACCGATGAGGAATGACAGGACGGGATTAAGTCATATAGTGTGTGATATGTAAAGAAAACAGTAAAAGAACTGTCCCCCGTTTGTTTTGAGCCTAGACTGTGTGACATTTAAGAGTTGGTCTGCAGATCTGAGTATTCTTGGTGCTGAGCTCACAGATATTCGAAGGTCCCACGAAGAGCTTTGAATGTGATCAGGAGGATCTTTGCTTTGTATCAGTCTTCAGCCAAATTATGCATTGACAAAGACTAAACAATGAACCTATTAAATTTCTGTGGTTATGAAAGTGTCCAGTGTTCCTCCTTTAACCTTTCTCTGTGTCCTAACTGTAGGAAATGCTCTCTGGGGCTCGGGGACATTTCATTTCCTGCGGGGTTCCACTATTGAATGCTTGATTTCCGGGTCTCACGTGCTGGATGTTACAAAACATCAAAGTCCAGTATTTGTGTAGCTGGAAGGCCAGATGCTGAGGAAACATTATGGGATGAGAGGACAGCGGGAGAACAGCTATGACCATGAACCATCAAAAGCCTTGGTGTTCTCCATAAGATTTATGCTTTCATGCAACTAACAAACAGTAGAAGATAACTCACGGATTCTGAATGCTTTATAATGATAATCAGAAAGCTGGGAAGATACATTGCTGAAAGAAATATTATTTGCAGCCAGGAGACAGTTTGAGAAAAACCAGAGTCCGCTGGGTCTGAGCTCAAGGTCTGGACTGTGCTGCAGAATTTGTTCTGCCAGAAAAGCACTCCGAACAAAAGTCTCTTTCAGTTGTTTTTTTTTCCGGAAGTGTAATTAGTGTCAGTGCTCGTTATAATGATGCAGCTCGCTGTGCCTTTACACTTATTGGTTCCATTAAAATGGAGATTTTTTGTTTATGTTTTGTTGTTTTGTTTTCTGAAGTCTCTTTTTGCCTGCAGACTGGCTCATATTAAGGATTAAAAGCATTTATAATAATCTATGCAAATGTACAGTAATGCTCACACTTACACTGTATGGCCAAAAGTATATGGACACATACTTTTCCACATCCTAATTTTAATAGTTTGGACTGGACCGCTTTGTCCCTTTGTTTCAGTGGAGGGAAAGTTAATGCTACAGCACACAATATTATAATAAAAGGGTATAGTTCAACTGTTATTCTCTCTCCTGTTTCAATGCCCCAATGCACAGAGCCAGCATCATAAAGAAATAGTAACAGATTTCTCTGTTTAGTGTGGAAGAACCTGACTGGTTTACACAGGGTCCTGCCCCTCTCAGCCCTATCCCATATGGATTAACTATGTCACCCGCTCTGAGCCAGGCCTCATCACCCACCACCTCACTTAAATCTCTTGCAGCCAAGTTCCAACATCTGGTGCAAAGACTGAAACCAGAAGAGTGCAGCTGTGGGAGCCGCAGATGAAAGCTCTGAATGTTAGCTACGCTAGGCCACAGCATGACTCCACGGCTACTTGCAAGGTCTGTCAGTCAGTCCACTCTCGCCCAGACTGAAATAACTCAATAACTGTTTGATGGATTGTTATTGAGTTGTGAACAGACATTGGTGGAGTACTCACAGACTGATCCCGCTGACTTTGGTGAGCTGGGATGTTTACTCTAGCGGTTTTTGGTTTTTACTGTAGAGAAAGGAACTTATTAAATAGAGATCCAGCAATTCTACTGGAAAAAAGACCCATCATTGCACCAAACAACGCTAGCGTGGAGACTTAATGTTGTTGAATGAGTTGAGTGTAATGTTTGGGTGGCTACCTTGTGTATTTAAGATAGACTCCATGAAGCCTGACTGTAAAACTTCAAGTCGTGCAAGGATATTTCTTTCACCGTTACGTCTCACTGGTTGATGTTTCTGCTAATCCAGTTTAGTATCGGTGCGTAGGTGAACGATCTGATGCTAAATCTGGATTGTAGTTTAATTTCTTATATCATCCAAACATCGTGCCCAAAGGAATCACTTACATATGAGGATTTCCTTCTTTTGTTTACTGTTTTTTGTTACACAAGAACATTTTTATAGTTGTGTAGAGATTTTAATGTTCCAGTACTAATTTGAAAAGTGGACCTTTTTATTCCTCGCTTGAGATTTGTTGATGTTTTTTTCCAGCAAACTGGTGTCCCACTGAACGTGTCCATCCGTCTGCAGCTCAACCTCTACATGAAGAGAGTGTCAGGAATTACGTAAGGAAGTTATTCCCTAAACTATAGGCATGCCATTAACATCTGCCACGTATTGTGTTTATATCTATTCTTTGTTCATTATGAAAGTGGGCGTTTCCTGCTTTTCTCACCATTCACTATGCAACTTTGTCCTTGTAGAGAAACTGGCAAGATTTCTGAGGTGGTGATGCCAATGATCTGGTTCGAGGAGGTAAGTCATTAATGCACATTTTTAAAAATATAACTGCAAATAAGAGAGTTTAAAGCGTTCTTATCATACAAATCTGCCAGATCTGGGTTCTCACATCTCCATTCCCAGTGTTACCAGTGTGTCAGCATTGATTTCCCAGTTGTGTGTAACTGCTGTTCAGATCATATTTCTGTTTTTACAATATTTCAGTTGCCAGAGTTTGCAGAACACAAAATGTTCTCTTCCTAATTTTGGCCTTAAAATCTCACTCAGAATACAAAATGAAAACACATGTCCAAATATACTGAGTTTATTACAGCATCACAAACTTTAATCACTAATGCTACATTATAAAATAAAATGTTTAATATCAGATAACTGCAGATAATTCTCATTAATCTAATTAATAAACTGAACCATTCTGTTAATATTGTATGAATACGAGCAAAAAGAGTGTGCAGAATTCACGAAGGAAACAAAATTAAATTTGAAAACTTTAATTGTATTTGCTATTTTTGTAAATATAGATAATGAAGTCTAGAGTCTGATCTTACTGTAAATCACAAAGGACACAATCACCAACCTTGTGGAGAGTAGCAGAAAAGTAATATAACCAGTGTAACTAATTACTGTTGGCAGGGAGTAATAAATAAAGTAATAATATTACTTTAAGAATAATGAATGATAAATTAAATTTGAGTAACTAAATACAAGTATTTCCATCAGAGCACATCTGAAGCTTGCCTCCAGACATGTACACATTGTTTTGCTCATTTGAACTGTTGTAAAAACTGAAGCACGAGCTGCTGTATAATCCCATAATTCACCTCAACGTATTCTTATTTTTTGCCGTTTTCTTTTACCTCCTCAGAGCGGCTACATAGACGGCCCCATCCTCAACACGTTCCACACGAACCTGGTGATTCTACCTGCTGTGATGGAGTTCATGCAGTACGGCTTCATCACCCTCGGCCTGGCGACGATAATAATCGCCGCCCTGGTGTATCACAGAGCGAAGGTAAAGCTGCCACACGGCGCGGCGTCTTTCTAACTGCATGTCGCATGTCTCACAGTTCCACATGTTCTTCCACAAACAGACAGAGAAAGGAGCAGGAGAGTCTGCACTCAAGATCTTCTGATATTTATATTATTTACCTCCAGTTATTAGTCTAATCTGGTTATGTGACATAAAATATGACCCATCCCACTTCCAACTACCTCAGACAAGTTCTGCATTGCATTTTTACTTCTGAAAAAGAAGAATATGGCGCAGCATCAAATTCACCTTCATCCACTTTTTATTATAGCTGGTGTTACATCATGCTCTGCTCAAATAGCAAATAAAATAGAGATTTAAAGTTTCATAGTGCATTATAAATACACATTGTTCTTTAAAGATTCAAAGTTTAACTCCACTTATTAGAAAATAGGCGTTTGCATTTTATTACAGCTTGATTTTTCTGTCTGTAAACATTATTACTAACAAGACGACCCAAGTTGTAAGAATAGGTCTTACAAAGTAGAAGTCTGGTGTTGTTCTATATTTTTCTTATTCCAAATCCAAAATCCCAAAACCACAACCATCAGTGTGTTAGTCCGTCTCTCATACCGTCTGACTGACTTTAGTTCCTTAAACAGGAAATAATCCGCTCAGAATTCATCCAATTCAACCGTTTTACACAAACTTCCTGCAGTTACTGAGTTCACTGTTTAAGTTCATTGTACAGTTTTAAATCTAACATGAAATATCCATAAAATATGTATCTTAGTCAGTTTACTGAATGATAGAAAAAGAGGTCCCTAAAGGAAAAACTTTGGGCATTGAGTTAAAATAAGTCAGTTCGTTGTTGTTTTGGGTCTTTTAATGCGATTTATTGACAATCTATAGAATATCACCTGATGTTGTAGATCATTAGTGTTTTAACTTCCACACAGTCACTCTTGCTCCTCTGCTGACCTCCTGTATTCATGTAACGCTCCCAACTTTATCTTCAAACGTAAACTCTCAACCCCCTTTGACTGTCTGCATGCATGAGAGTAAAAGTTCACATCTATCAGGTGTAACTCCCCCAGCTGCTCCTTGATGATCTCTTTACCTTTTTTTATCTTCACACTGATGGCAACATGTGAAACATTATCAGCTCCGGCATAGTTGGCTGTGACACAGTACACAGTAGTCTCGTGTTATATAGTCGATTTTGCACATTCTGGTTGTTCTGAGTAAGTCAGCAAAGGTTAGACCTACATTATAACTCAACCTCTGGACTCTCTCATATAGATCCAGCCTTTAAAATGTGTTTGCTGTCGTTCTTCTCATCTAACTCTCAGGAAGAGTCAATCAGTACCACTCCAATGTCCCTATTTGAGGCTACAGCTAGGAAACAGTTAGCGTAGCTTAGCATTAGTGCTTAGCCTTTGTACAGAGCAAACAAACAGGATGTAGTGTTTCCAGTCTTTATGCTAAGCTAAGCTGGCTACTTTCTGGTTCTAACTTGATATTTAGCAGACAGATAAGAGAATGGTATTGATTCTCTTTTATAATAATTATATGTGAAACTATTACTTTAAAACAAATGAGCTAATGTCTACTACTGTCCATCATATCAATGTTATAAGTTAATTCGTTTTTGTGCTGCGTGATGTGTTACGAAACACATTACGCCTGATGTTGTATAACGCCATAACCAGTTAATGAGTGTTCTGTTGACATCTCACTATCACAACACTGCTGGAGTGGTTTTATGATCCAGTATATATCAGCAGCAGATAGTCAGCAGCCAATAAAGGAGACTGAGTGGTTTGCAGGGAGGTTTAGATTTCAGCGAAAAGGTTTTTTAGAAATGAGCGCCGGCGGGTTTTAATGTCCTGATTTTAAATGTGGTTTTGATGTTTTGTTTTTGCAGAGGTCTCGTAAAACCGTTATGTTGACTTCGACAGTGGTGAAAAACCCCGGGGTTTGTAAAGCTCCTTAAAAAATCTGGATTCAATCATCCAAATCCAAATCAGTCTGCCAAATGCTGATCTTCCTTTTGATTTTGAACTGAGGGTTACAGCTTGATTTTTGGATTTTATTTTTGTTTAGACTAATCAGTGCAGCAAGAATGTTTGTTTGATTCAGTGGCGATCCACTTTTATTTTACACAGAAAAATGTGTTTACAGTATTTTCCCTGCAGCAGCCTGTTACAGCAGCGTGTGGAATATACTTAATCAGATTTCTAGCTTTCAGGTTGTTGTTGAATGAATTAAGAAAATGTCCTCATACATGGTTGAGGCAGCTGTTATATATATATATATAAATAAGCATATAAAGAATATCAGATATTTATCTGTATTTTGGTTTGCAGTAGCTATACTGTTTGTGTTTGACATCCTTCAACCAGACCTAAGACGATTAGTCAACTGACAGAAAACTGGCAACAAGTTTCTGAAGTAAAACTGACAAAAAAGGCCTGATTTCAACTTCTCAGATGTGAATATTTGCTTTTTTTGTCTTCTATAATATTGAACTAAACATCTTTTATACTCTGGTTGGACAGTAGAAGCATTATGAATATTTCAACTTGGACTTTGGGTTGTAAAAATGTTAAAAATGTAAAAGATTTGTAGAAAATGCAGTTTCCCAAACAAACAAACAGCTTAGTAAAAAAAGTCATCTCCAAGTCCAGCTGTTAAATTTGAACCGTGTGTATGTGAGGGCAGGAATCTGACTGTCTCAACGTCACATTCACAAATCATCAAGTAGTTTTATATTAGCCAGTTTGCATTAACATTTTGTGCTACACAATGCTACAGAAGCTACACACACTTCCTCAGGGATAACCTGTGTAATGGCTCATCGGTGCTAGTCCAGCGCTTGTGTTCCCCCATGATTAAACAAACACTGCGAGTGTCAGTTGGTCGATTTGAAGCATATTTTCTGTATCGCAGATTTCAAATGTCTATATTTTTCTGTCTTTTCTATCAAGTTTTGTCACCTGATAATCAAAACTGCTGTGGAAGCAAACAAACCAAATACCTTCACTTTTAATTGCACAATGTTGACACTGAATTAACCAATCGCATGTCCACTTAATTAACCGCATGGTCGACTCAATCACCACCACATAATGACTCCTTGCATGAATATCTCTGCACGCCCACAATCTCAAATAAAGCCTGATGCTGCTGGTTTCACCTGCATAACAACTCCAATCAAACCAGCAGCCGATTGTCATTGTGTTTTCTGATTGGCTGACGTGTAAGACAATCTGGTCATCTTTTAGGCCTCCGATAAAGACCTGGTAAAAGGTTCACATGTCCATGAAACAAAGGAGAAAAGTATCACGTATAATTCAGGTGGGTGAAAGCATACACATATATATATGCACTTATTCCTTTTGTTCAAGCTGCAGAGCTGAGTAAGATTTTCTGCTTAACATGCAGAAATCAAACGTGTGGTGGACCCAAACGTAGTGACGAGGTGTTAAAACTGATATTAAAACTTTGTCCCCACTTGACAATGTGGATGATTCCATTTTTACATCATTTTTCATTTTTGTTTTCACACCACATTTAAATACCAGTTTATGAGTTCACATTTAAAAATGGTTTACACAATTTTCTGTACTGAAGTTTAAAGATCATCTCCAGACATGTATCAAGACATACATACATGTAAATTTGAATAGTCTGCTTGGAACAATAATGTGTGTGCCTCATTAAACATTCCAGAATCTGTGAATATGGAGAAGTCTTTAAAGAAGAAAAAACTTTGTGGAGTGGAGGTGGACTTTAATGAATGCATAATAATGTTCAAATGTTTTCTTTACTAAACTTTAAGACTTCCAGGTTTCTGAAACCAGGATTCTTCAGATACCGGATGATGTTCAGGATGCTAGTGTGCATGTAAACATGTGAAATAATGTGAAGTGTTTTCTGTGAATAAGCTGCAAACTGCCTCGTGGCTGATGGAGGAGGAAGAGGAGGAGGAGGATGATGATGATGATGATGATGATGATGATGATGATGATGATGAAGATGAAGACTTTATTTTTGCTTTATCTTCTGAACGCTTCCTAACAACAGCTTCTCTCTTCCTGCCCTCACACAGAGTAAATGTGACGACGGCGACGACGACGCCACATCATATGGAAGCACTTCAATCCAAGAGAAAGACCCTCTGTTAGAAGAAGATATGGACTGACAGACACACACACACACACACACACACACACACACACACACACACACACACACACACACACACACACTCTCTCTCTCTTACACACATACACACACACAGCTGGTGATATGGGTTCACTGCTGGCCAAACATCATTCCAGTATCATGGACTGAAACACTGTCACAAGGTGCTCCGCGTATTTTAGAGCTCTGCCATATGTGACTGTACTGTAATGTTTATGAAACTCTCAGCCGCGCACTCACTTTCTTTAAATGTGTCGAGGCTGTCGGGGTTGAGACTGATTTAGTCTCTTCATGGCGGAGTGAAGCTCACTCAAAGCCACTCTTTGTATAAAGAACTACCAAAAACCACTATTTCCAGTTAGCTGTGACAGTTGTGAACATGTGTGCAGGGTGTGAACTACAGGGGAGCCTCTTAATAAGCCACGAGCTCCCCTGAAAACATGATTTGTGAAATTGTTTTTTTTGGGGGGGGGGGTCTCTAAAATATTGACAGTATCACCCTCTCCAGGATTTTGCTGGATTTTTTTCCCCGGCCTAAAATGTCTGACTTTGAGAAAATTGCCATGTATTTTGTTTATTTAGGCATTTTGTTGCAATGTAATTGCAGGAGAAAGTGAAATAATTGTTTAAAAACTTCCAGTGAGAATAAAATCGCCCTGTTTGGAGGGTAAATGTGAGGCGTTCGCGTCGCACACGTCTGCACCTTCAGCGCTAGAAACGAGGAAGTGAGTTTGGTGACGTATGACTCCACATTTTGTGCGGGAAACTACTATGAATGAGATGTTTGCAGAAGAGCCGCAGTGATTGGACAATATTGCAAAGCCGCGCCAAGTTTACAGGTTGAATTTGTGTTAATTGTTCCCATCAGAACTTCCTGGAGGGACCCCAATATGCTATTTTTTGCCATGCATTTCTATTCTTCTGCATCTTCATCATCATGGATTATGTGTAAACTGAGGCTACTATTGATGTGTGATTTGTGCGTGAGGATGACTAATCACTAACTTTATAAAAACCTACTGCTGTTCTTGCCATCAGCCAGAAAATATCAGAAAATATAAAACATATATAATCCCCAGCGACGAGTGAGCTCCCCCAAAAGCCACGGTATAGTTCTCACGCTGCACATGTTCCATTATCAGCGATGATCTGGAACAATTTAGAGTTTTATCACTTCATCAGGAGCAGTAGAGACGGTCGCTGCAGTGGCAGTTTTTACATTTTAAATAAATGTTTCTGTATCAACAACAAGGGAACCAGAAAAGCTCTTTCTCTGTACAGTGTTTTACTACCAATGTGCCTTCATTGAGCAGCAAATGTTTCGGTTGTTTAACCCGGGGTTTTTGTATTTTACGTGCAATAAAGATCAAAGTTGGATTTGTCGTAGAGGCTCAAACACTCCGACAATCAGAGCGGATGCACTACTATTTGTCTAGTACTGTCCTCTGTAAAGGTGTGAATGTATTTCTTGAAGTGGACGTGAGTGATGCCGCGTCGTGTCAAATGCCTCCTTGTTATAAATACGTGAATGAATGAAGAAAAACTGAGATAATAAATGTGCCTTTGTTTGAAAATCTAGTCATGAACGTGTGATCTCTCTTTTTTGTTCCCACAGCGAGCAGAAATATAATGGTGCAAATTGAGATGCAGGCTTTCTGCAGGCTTCAACAGGTTGGACTTAAGAGTTTTTAAGACCATTATGAACACAATTTAAGACAGATTTTCTGTCCATACTGGCGGGGAAACGTACTAAGGATTTGAAGGAAAATCAACATTAGTTTCCATGTCTGTTTCATTCTATAGTAACAAAATACAAATCTTTACCAAAAATACATCCAAAAGCCTTAAAAATCATATTAAAGACATTTTAATTAATTTATATGGAGGACCGGAACTGCCAAAACCAATGATAAATAAATAAATGAGTGAATTAATCAAATCATGTGCAAAAAAAAAAAATTATTAAAGATAAATGTAGGCATTAACTAATATTAAATAAAATGTAAGAAACTGATATTTGTTTTAATTTGCTTCTGTGTTTATTTACCTTATTTATTTCTGTATTTTCATTTTACATTTCTTTACGAATTTCTGCTTCAATATGCAAATGAGGTGGCTTTGGTTGATCGAGTGCAATGATCGACTAAAATGAAATGGGAAAAAGACTTACAACAAAATACAAGAACATTTTATTATATTTAAGAATATTTGGCTCCTCTGTATACCACAACACAGTTCAACAGCAACACAGCTGGATTTACCTAATAAACTTTTACTTACTGTCATTTAGCTCTCAAAAGAACTCTTGGTACTAAAATAACTCACTATAATAATGTCGTCTGCAAACTTAAAGCTGCTATAATCAATATTTTTATATGAACAGTGAGTCCAATGACTATGTAATGTGAACAGAGGTTACTAACACGGACAGACACACAGAGATTACAGACCAATGGCATCCTCCTGGAGCTCTCTGAGTTTTTAAGATACCATTTTTGGCTCATTGTTTCGGTTTTTACGGCCCGCAGCTGTACTGTTTCAGTTCTCTGCGCTCTCGTTAAGGATGTTATAAATCCGTCTCTGATAAATCCACCGTACACCCAGCTCCGAACAACAGACAGACAAAGTTCAGAAAGTGGAGCATTATATTTACTCGTGTTTTATTTGTTAGTTTAACCTTTTGCAATAGAAATGGTCCGTCAGTGCCTACATTGATGTTTTTGCATATTTTGATGTCTTTGAGTATCTTGAAATTATTCATATCAATAAAATCTGTACAACCCAAGCTAAGCATTTATATAAGTATATAAACCATAATAGACTATTCCAATGCTCTTTTTAATCCAAGGTTCTGCTGCTAGACTGCTAACAAAAACAAAGAAGCACCTGAAATACATTTATACAAGTTGAATTTACTCAGTTTTCTTTCACTAAAGCAAATTATTACATTACCGTGCAATAAAAACAATTTATTGTTACGACCCGGCTCGTGGGGGAGAGGGAAGCAACATGAACCAGAATGTTTTTGGTAAAATTGCAAGTTATTTATTTGCAGGGTTCACAAGAAAAACAGGAAAAGGGCTGTTGGATGCTGCTTAACTCAAAGAAACAAATATAACTTAAAGAGGTCTCTCCAAAATGAGAGATAGCCACTGACTACTTCAAAATCAAGTTAAACAGGTCTCCCCCCAGCCAATCCTCGGCAAGGGGTCACACATCCTGTTTAACATGACCCAGCTGCACAACACAGACACATATAACCAGATAACATTATAGTTAATTGATTATTAAAATGGTATCCAATACATTTTCTGTGTTATTTATATGTGACAAATATTAAATCTTAACACTTTGGGAGATCATTAAGAATTATCTAGATGCATACTTGGGCTTATGATGATTAATAAACTTCAATAAAACATAAAAACTATATATCATTATACTGTTGACATTTTTATAATTAAATAAAACAAGTCAATGGAACAAACTGGAATTATTTCACCTGTACTTAAAATACTGCCCACATTAAAGTTCAAACAATTCATTTTTGGGTTTAATTAATGTGAATGAGTGACTCCAATTAATTAACTAATTTATATATTAAGCTGTGTTTAAGGTTTTACAGAGTATTTTTCCAATCTATGGAACAGTCAAAGACATTAGACACGCAGGATCTGCTTAAATCTTAAAAACGTAACTCCATGAACCTTTTTATAGCACTACATCTTACAGTGTGACCTTTTATGCCTTCCCTTACGGCTCGCTCTCAGTTATGGGTTGTTTTTTTGTAAATGTACAGCGCTTTAAGCTGCGTCTTTTGTATGAAAGATGCTACATAAATAAAGTTTCTTAATATGATTTGACACTGAACTCATTTCACAGTTCACTTTATACTGCGGGAACTTTGAGAGGGACTATAAGCCTCTTTTACTACGAGCACTTTAATATCATCAGCAGGCTTTTTAAAACTGTCTTTATTCTCTCTGACTTCCAAATGAAATAAATAATATATAATATGTATCTTATCGTACTACAGGTTAACGGCGGGTTTGATGTTGATCAGCTGAGGTCATCCTCACCCGTTTTCCTCCCATATTGAAAGTGTTGTGAGGACACAGATGAGGTAATAATCCTCTGATTTGAATGCTGAGGAATTTGACCTCTTTATCTGCACTACAGCCTTTATCTCCAGTGATAGTGACTTCCACTTCTTCTAAGAGACAGGCAGCAGGGTTGTAAGTCAAAGTCTGGTAAAGCTCTCTCCTGTTGGCCGGTTTGTACATAAGCTTCTTATGTAGCTGATATTCAACATATCTCAGTGCTAGACTTGATTTAGACACGTTTTTAATTTAACTTAAGTTTCTGAGGGAGTAGGAATTAAAGTTTCCATTGATTAGGAAGCAACAGCAGGTGTGTTAGAATTAAAAGGGAAACACCAGCAAATCTAAACTGTACTTCCTTAAAGATGGAGACTTGTTAGAAACTGTCTCATTTAAATTCTTTCTAATTGAATAAAGAGGCACGAGGAGGACCCTAAAGCATTAGTTATTGATTTATAAGACATTAATAATGGGTTCTTTATTAGAAAGAGACACATCAGATACAAAGACTGGTTGAGGCTGAGATATCCTGATGTTTAGTCCCCGCACTGTGGTTTGCATCAAGGGTGGTCCTTTATTTCCCAAAATGAAACTCACTAGCATCTTAGACAACCCCGATACATAGGCCTGAAAGATTGTAATCTGTTTGCAGTTTGATGAACAGCTCGGCCGCTCTGTTAGGGGTTATTTTACAACTTCATTGCTGTTCTGAAAGAAAAAGTCTCTTTATTCTCTTCATTCCTCACTAAAAGGACCGTCTCCTCCCAGTGAGCAACCTTTGAGTTTATGTAAATACAGTAACGGCACAAATGCCCTCCAGATATCCACCTGTAGCTCTCTTCAGGCAGACGATTGTTTAGAAACCTGGTTCTGGTATTTTAATCTGAAAAGGAGATTTGGGAGAAGTTGCCCTGATGTGTTGCCTTCACATCTTTTGAGTTATTGGATGAATGACCTCTGGGTGTGAGAGGTGAGTGAGGGTTGTCTCATCACGTTTGTGATCTTTTTATGCTCATTTCACGCTTTCCATAGTGTCATTAGTTTGCTCATACATATGAGCAGTTTGGGATTGTAAAGCTAGGTGGCGCTGTGGAGGCGTGCTGCGGTGGCCTGTGGTGCAGCAGCATTGTGTCTGTCTCCAGCCCCGTTCCTGTGGAGCTGCAACAGGGACAGTACATCTTAGCACTAAGTTGGGTATTTACTGACATATTTTATGTCGGAGAACAAAATGTTAAAATCTCTTAAGCTTGTGTTAACCACAGACCTTATTTCAGGCTCTAACTGAAAACCCCTCGGCTTTCAGGTGAGGGAACCAGAAGTGCATAAATGCGAACTCATCTCCATGTTTTCCTACTCATTCCTGCAGCACTTTATATACGAAGTTATGCAATTCCAACACTGTTTATGCACTCCAGTCTGCAGCAATATCAAAATACTCTAGATGCAGAAAATTTATGGTTTTTGCCCCAAACTGAATGGGATTAGCATAAAGCGGGTATATCTGTAAAGGGGAGACTTTTGGCTACGCATAAAACACATTTTCATTCAGATATCTTGAGGTCAGAGGTCAAGGAATCCCTTTGAAAATGGTCAGGCCAGTTTTATCTCCAACATTTAGCTTAACTTTGGAGCGTTACTTGGATGCATCATCTAATTTGATCTGTTGTGTAGTCGGCATAATGTGAGTCAATCAGTCCTCTCTTGAAGCAGACACAACCAGTGTGTAAACTAAACCTTGGCTTTCAGGGGGAGCTCCTGTTTTCTTATGGGGGGAGTGGTTGTCCCTGAGGACTGACTCACATTATGCCGACAGAGGGAGACTCTGATATTCTTCTCCGCTTGTTGATCAAGAAAAGCATGCAGGCCGGTACAGACCACTAAAAATGTTACATCATCATGATTTTAATAGTTTTTTTCAGTAAAAATTATATTTGTGATGCAAAAATGATCATTTCCACACTGATCGTGAATCGTATTGCAATATCTGTCAAAACAATCACAATATGATGTTTTTACCACATCGTGCAGCTCTAGTTGAATCAGTCAGCCCTCTGGTTTCTGAAGAACACAGCGAGGTACAAACCAAGATTATTATGAACTAAAACTAGGTATAAACAAAACATTTTAGTTCACTGAAATAAAAATAAAAACTAACTGAAATTATATTGTGTACTTATAAAACAAAATATACAGGAAATGTCTAGTTTTATTAATTTTGTTAAATTTATCAACACATCAAGCCGGAGGAGGCGTCGGTTCTTTTACTTTATTGAGACTGTGAGTTATTGTGTTTGTATCGTAATACCCATTCTTATAAATACCCAACATATTAAGGATATAAAACACTGAAACTAACACTGAACAATAAAAACTAAACTGAAACAAGCAATCCGCTCTGGAAACGAACTGAAACTAAACTGAGCTGAAAACTAAAATTTAAAACAAAATGAAAAATAAAAACTAATGAATAATCCCAAATAACTCACAGCACAGTGCAGACGAGCGTCTTGTGCAGCACGCTGCTTCATTCTGGACGCGGTTTCCGGTTTCCTGATGTGGATTATATTTGTTTTCAAATAACAGGATTTCTTCAGTTGGAAATTGAGTTCATGTGTTCAGTTCAAACGCAGACAGACCTTGAAATTAGATTTGTAAATGTGAAGCGATGGAAGTTATTTAAATACACTATATAAAAAAGCCTTTTTAACTCACTGATGGGTTAAAATGAGTATTTTCTGAATAATATTGTGAAAAGACTGTAATGTTTTATTCTGTATTTACTATCATTGATATTTCTCTTCCAGTTTTTGTATCAACTAAGTGCTAAAATATTGCTGATATTATATTAAAGATATTGTAGAAAAACTAAACATTTCCTCTTGTAGTGCCCTACCACACCAGTGATAAATAAATGTATTTTCCTTTTAAATATTCTTCTTGCCTGGCTTATACGATCATTAAAGTCCAGGTGAAACAGAAATCAGAGAGCTGTTTGTTTCTGCATATATTATTATATATATACAACCTGTTATCAAACTGTCCCGGGAGGCCGCTGAGTCTAGAGGAACAATATAACTGAGGATGTGATCTTAAAGGGTTAAAATTACATTTTAATTTTTTTTATGATTTTATTTTATTTTTGTACCATTGTGGCTGCCATCGTGTCAGGGTGGTTTACTTGTTGCATGGATGTGTGGTACACGGTATCATGATGGGAGCAGAAATCTGTGAGACTGAGATCTAACCCTCATCACACAGTCAGTAAAAATAAAACTATCTATGTGAATGGACGCTGTGTCAGGGCTTGTGTGTTGTACCACGGGTGGTTGGAGCTGGATTTTACATAAGACCTGCTCCAGCCTGGTGGTCTGGACTCCCTCTCTGCTGGCGCCACCTTGTGTTAAGTTGGAGTTTAGATTTTCTGTATAGTTTATTTATCTCAGTTATCCTGACAGCATGTTACATTTCTGTGACATTAAATGAATTTCTGATGAATAAAATTCATTTCTTTTAGTTTAATCCCTCAATATTCATAGAGATTCTGGGATGTTTAATGATCTAGGAGGAGTAGAAGACTTTTTATCAGACACATTATTGTTCCAGGCGGATTATTTGTGTATATGTCTTATTACAAACAGGAGGGGATCTTTAACTTACTAGCTATAATAAATGCAAATCAAAAGTCTCCTGATGCTGCTTGATGTTTCTACGGAGAACATTTTTCAAGATATCTGATGTTTTAAAGGTCCAGTGTGTAACATTTAGAAGGATCTATTGGCAGAAACTGAACATAACATTCATATATGTTTTCATTATTGTATAGTCACCTGAAAATAAGAATTGTTGTGTTTTCGTTGCCTTAGAATGAGACGATTTTATCTTTTATCTCCTCTTCTACGGAGGCCCCGATGTTTCTACACTGGCAGATTGGGCCTTCTGTGTTTCTCCAACACACTTGGAACAGGAAGGGTGAGGCGAGGGGGTTGTAATCTGCAACTACACTGCCAGATACCATTAAATCCTACTTATCATTATTAAAATCACTCTTCATAAACAATCAATAAACCAGCTTATTTTAACTGTGAATGTCTGGAATCCGATTTATCGACACAAAATCAAACTTTTCACAGAAATATGTGATATTATATATATTTTATTGATAATATAATTTGGAATAATCAGCTTTTTACACAATAATAAGCCAGTCACAGAGAACCAGACTGTTTAGTGTAGCTAACCAGATGTTTACACATGTTTTGAATGTTGAATCAGAGAACTTGTGTTGTGACATTGTTATAAATCACCACAACTATTATTATAACAGTAAGATGAGCAGCTGATCCCAGAGCTGTGCAGGAGAACTGTCTCTCATGTTCCTGCAGCTCCGTTGCTCCTTCAGCTGGACGTTAGATTATAAAACTGATCAGACATCAGATCAAAGCTGTCGACGTACACAACACAAAACATCCACACTTCCTGTATGGACAGGAAGTTAAAAGACTGAAGCTGCGTTTCAATTCACATACATACATTTTACTTTTAGTATTTACTGCAGTTGCAAATACAAAGTACGTACTGCTGCGTGTAATATATCCACAACTGACCCTTCCTAAAAAAGGGAAGATTAGCATAGCATATAGCATATCAATACAGGAAAGCAGGAAGTTGACCGAGGTTTGCTCAACTGTCTTTGACCCTCTTGCTCATACATTAGTTGCAGTTCGTTGCACGCAATCTTTAACTATATTTTTACACTTGAATACACGAATGTCATCTGTATCTTTCGCTGAGGATTGTGGGTCAGAACAGCCAGAAAAAGCATCCTGCAGGACATCCTGGCCTTCTGCATTTAACGTACTATGTCTGTCTAAATGTCCGTGTACCACGTGATAATGTTTGGTCCTCACACATTCTGAATGCACTCACATGACAAGCTGTTAAACAGGTAAACCGGCCCAGTAAACTGTTGTTTGACTGAATTAGTGCAGCTGTTGTCTGCGAGGCTCAAATAGCATCATTCCTCACCAGTGACATACCCTGGTCTTCCCACTTCCCCCAGTCCCCAGCTCTTTTCTCTATCAATCCCTCTATATGTGTCTCCATTTCCCGGTCCCATCCTCTATATATAGCTGCCCTGTGACCTGCCTGCTGCAGACTGAACCCTGCTCTACACATTGTCAAAACAAGGGGCTAATCCTGTCCAACAGGTGCTAGATCCCCCCCCATACACACACACACACACACACACACACACACACACACACACACACACACACACACACTGAATCTGTCTGCCTGTTTCCACACAAACAACAGCGTCACAAACTCCACTCGGCGTGACACTGTTGCCAGGGGAGGCCGAAGGGTCACGCTTTCCAAAACCAGCCGGGGAATGCTGGAGGTCGAGTGTTGGAGCCCACACACGCTGAATGATGAAATGGACCAGTGTGAGGTGGACTGTAGCGTTTCTACTGCGTGTGTCAGGCCTCTGAGGTTCCAACAGTTCAGACACGATTGTATGTTTTCACCAGTGGTGGACGAAGTACTGAAAAGCTTTACTCAAATGTACAACAAGGAGTTTTTGACTGGTTATCAAACAGTGTTTAACACTGATGCCTCTGTATGACCTATAAAAACAGACCAACAGTGAGAAGATCAGATATTTCTATAGTTATTCTTAACGCCTGCCACTGGGTCGGATTCCCCTTGAAATCAATGAAACAAGGCGGTAGAAAAACTACTGCTTTTGTCCACAGGGGTCGCCAGAATCAGCACAAAATGAGAGTTTTTTTAAGTAAAAATACAACAATGTAAAAAAAACAAGTAAAAGTTCTGCATTTAAAAGTGTATTTAAGTAAAAGTATGTACGTATTATCTGCAAAATATACAAACATTAATATAGCAGCAAACAACTACCCTCCCTCTGCCTGTGTTGTATCACAGCTTCTGTGGTTTGTTTCCATAGCCGGTCTGCTCTGACTGAAACTGCTGTTTTTATCATCTACGTCGGTGAATTAAGGATTTATTTCCACCAAACCAGAGTTGCTGATTGATCATGTGACTAAATTATTTAAATTACAAGACACTGCTTTTTTTAACAGGTGTGTATGATAGCGGTCAGATAAATGTAGTGAAGTAAAAAGTACAATATTTCCCTTCCAAAATGTAGAAGTAGAAGCACAAAATGGCATAAAATGTAAATACTTGTACTTGAAGTACCTGCAAGTACAGTACTTGTGTAAATGTACTTAAGTTGTTGCTTTCCACCACCGGTTTTCAGTCTCCCACAGACGATGTAGGCATCCGTTAGGTATTAATGCACTTGTCTGGCTAGAACAACAAATCACAGGCTAAATAATGCACTCGACTGGAACAACTGAGCGCCTGAGCACGACTTCCTCTTCACTACAGTGAGAGCGAGCCGACAGCAGGCTGCTCTTCGCCCATCAACACTTTGTTCCCGCGCCACCTGATGGTGTTTACTCTACTGCGAAGTATTGTTGGGGCTCTTGGTTAACGTCTCCGAGCCTGAGCCGTTGGACGTGACCTCCGCACGAGGCTGGCCGTGAGGGACGCAGGACGGCAGCTGGGCCCTCCTGTGCTCCGTCGCTGCAGGATGAACTGCAGTGGACACAACGGTCTCCATCCGACTGGCTCGATATATGCTCACCTGAAAGGTAGATAGATTCATAAATAGACAGACTAATGAATTTAATACCGCCTAATTTCCTAATTTGTTATGATGTTGTTTTTAAATGTGAACCTTAAACATATCAGATTTGTATGTTCTTCAGTCTCCTGTCAATGAATATTTAGATGCTTGCTTCTTTGCGGTTTCATATCTTCAAAATCTAAATTGTCTCAAATACTCAAATAGACTGTATATACAGTACAGACAGATGCCTGCAACCTCAGTAATGTTGTAATTTTGATTAAAGATTGTAAAAGATCCTCAGGATTTCCTTTCAACTGTGTCCTCTTATAGTAACTTTTGGTGCTCCACAAAATCCCTCCTATTTGACTCAACTCTCATACAGTATGTTCTGCCTCATTATTATTATTATAATATTTGTAGTTTATGTTACAACACATCTAATGTTTCATCTTTCCCTCCACTTTTGCTTCATTGTTTTTGGTTTAAGAAAAGCTAAAAAAAAAATAGACTGTGTAAATGTTACAGCTCCATGAACACCACTTTATTCATTCTGTTACCAGCCGAGTCTTCCCCCTTTAAGGACGGTGGGCTTGTGGGTAACCTGTGCCGTTTTGTTGTAGGAAGTGAGTCTTTCCCGGTGTGTAAAGGGACAGTAATGTTGCAGTATAATAGTTACTGTGTGTTGTGTTTGCTGCCACAGAAAATAAATACAAAAATTCCTCTATATGTAACATTAATGTCACTGTGGTGTCTTCTTGTTCTGTTCACAGCTGAGTTTGTCCAGACTGCGGATGGCTAGTTTTAAATAGTCTACAATGAAGGTAAAACGTTTTGGAGCAGGGAGCCGTATTTGATCAGATTGATTGATTTTATTACCAGTTACCAGGGAAACGGAGATATGGTTCATAAAAAGCTTTGGATTTGGATTACAAAACTTCTTTGGCAAGTGACCATGGTAGAAGTGGGATAATGACTTTCCAATGGAGGCCTCGTGGGGTATTATCCATTACATAATTGCCTAATCTGAATATTTTATAATCTGAACCCGGGATAACACACACCTGTGTCTGCAGGTAGCGCGGTGATTTGAGCTCTAGCTCCTCCTTGGCGACTGTGGGAGCGCAGCAGCAAAACACCTGCTGGAAACCTGCTCTGAACCTGCCGAGTGGATGACAGATATTTCATAACAGGATGGATTAAACAGGCAGACGGGATTATAGACACAGATTACCTCGCACATGACATCCACACAGACACACAGATAGCCATTTTAACGGGGATACGTTAAAAGTTCCCACCTGCTGTTGAGGCAGTAGTAGATGATTGGGTTGTACATGGTGGAGCTCATGGCCAGCCACATGATCGCCAGGTAGACCTGTTGGATGTAGCGCTGCTCGAACAGATCTGGGAAGAACTGGTGCAGCAAGAAGTAGACGTGGTAGGGCAGCCAGCAGACAGCGAACGTACACACAACCACGATCATCATCTTCACCACCTGCCGCAGAGCAAAACGCAGAGGAGACGGGGGTGGCTTTAAAATAATCTTTCCAAATGTTTTTGTTTTGATGCAAGGATTAAAAAACCATTAAATTAAATGGTAGACACTGTTGTGTGTTTGTGTTTGTGTGTGTGTGTGTGCGTGTGGGTGTGCGTGCGTGCGTGCGTGAGCTTGCGTCACCTTGCGTTTAGCGATGAGCTGTTCTTTGTAGTGGTCAGAGGAGTCCCCGGGGATCTCACTCGCCCAGAGGGTGACGCCCACAGTCGTGTACGCACATCCCATAATGCAAAGGGGCAGGAAGTAGATCAGCAGTGTCACGCACACGTAGTATCTGACAGAAAGAGGACAAACAAATTTATAATGTGGGATGTTTGGCACCGAAAATGCTTCCAGTATTGCTAACAATAAGACCTTTTTCACAGCAGCCATGTTGACATGAAGTAGTTGGTAAACACAGGTTACGAGGAAAGGACCCCTGAAGTGCTCCAGTTTTCGAGATACCTCTACCGGATATACAACAAAGCACAACACACCCTTAAAATCAAGAAGGCTGTGCGACCCTTTGTGAAGCTTTAGTTGGGTTCAGGACCTCCAAGTTGGCAACCACAAAAAGATGTAATGGAGTAAAAAGTATAATCTTTGCCTCTGAGATGTAGTGGAGTAAACGTATATATATATACACAGTATATACTAACAATCAGGAAAAATACATAAAAACATTCAAATAAATTTAATCTAATTGTTTATTTTTTTTTTAATGTGGGAGGAAACCGAAGCTTCTCGGAGAAAACCCACGCCAACACAGTGAGCACTCTGTACTCCTCACAGAAAAACTAACCACCCCTAAGCGCAAGGCCACAGTATTACACTGAGGCACCTGTGTGTCCCTATGATGTCACATAATTTTTTTTTTGTATTAAAGTTTTTTTCATTATGTTTAAAAGTGGGGAACCGAAGCCCGAGCACTCTGTACTCCTCACAGCGAAAGGGAACTGAACCATCCCCTTATAGCTGCAAGGCCACAGTGTTACACTGAGGCACCTGTGTGTCCCTATGATGTCACCGAATTTTTTTTGTTGGATTGAAGTTTTTTTTCATTATGTTTAAAATGTGGGGGAACCGAAGCCTCTCGGAGAAAACCCACGCCAACACAGTGAGCACTCTGTACTCCTCACAGCGAAAGGGAACTGAACCATCCCCTTATAGCTGCAAGGCCACAGTGTTACACTGAGGCACCTGTGTGGCCCTATGATGTCACCGAATTTTTTTTTGTCGGATTGAAGTTTTTTTTCATTATGTGTAAAATGTGGGCGAACCGAAGCCTCTCGGAGAAAACCCTGTGTCAACAATCATTTAGTATGCGTGTGTGTTTGTGCGCGTTTGTGTCTTTTTGCATCCGAAGCACGCAGTGAACGGCTTGGCCATGGTCTTGAAGAGACCTGAGAAGAATCTGTTGACGCCACTTTTGTTTTGTGGTGTCACCAGATGCTTCATCAGTGTCTCAATGAAGAATCCGTAAATAAACACATCCTGGGAGAGCACGCCCAACCGCAAGATCTTTGCGCTGCCGGTCTTCTTGCACAACTCCTTGTACACTGCCTTGGCCACTCTTTTGATGTGAGGGCCGCTTGGTTTTACGGCAACATCGCAGCCTGAAATCTGTTCCAGGAGCATTTCCGCCAGTGACGTGCTTATAGTTGCAATTTCATCATAATTCAGACGGATATAGGAAGTAATTGGACTTTTCATGATTTTGTGAATAAGTGCAACCACCACAAGCCTACAGCGGATTTCGTCCCACTGATAGTTGGATTGTGCCGTGGTGTCAACTGCAGCTTCACCTGCTCCACAGGTGATCGGTTCCTCGATGGACTGGACGGGGGTGGAAGTTGGTTCTTCTTCATCCACCAAGATGTTACTAGCCTCAACTCTGATTGGGGACTCGATGGACTGGATGGGGGTGGAAGGTGGTTCTTCTTCCTCCACCAAGATGTTACTAGCCTCAACTCTGATTGGGAACTCGATGGACTGGATGGGGATGGAAGGTGGTTCCTCTTCATCCACCAAGATGTTACTAGCCTCAACTCTGATTGGGGACTCAATGGAATGGATGGCGGTGGAAGGTGGTTCTTCTTCATCCACCAAGATGTTACTAGCCTCAAATCCGATTGGGGACTCGATGGACTGGACCACCAGAGTGTCACCTGTGTCATCGCTGACAGCAGCCTCCAGATTGATGGAAGCTGGTTGTGACACAGGTGTAACGCAGCCGTCTGTGACTAAGGGAGTCTCTGTGACTGATCGCTGAGTGATCACTCCCCTGATCTGCTCGACAGCGAGACTTGCGTGGTCCCCCTTGTTTTTGTTGAGCTTCAGCTGTCGGTTGAGCCAGTTCCGTACTTGCTTCAAAAAGGTGTCCACTTCGCTTTGGATCTCAAAGCGAAAGTCCATGGAGGGGTCCTGCTGTAGATGGTTGGAGACCATTTCGCCAAGCTCTACGCCGGCCATGTTGGTTTGTCCACTGGAGATTACCTCTGCGATTCTCTCGTAAGGGGACTCGTCCTCGTCCTCTCTCTTGCCCTCACTTGCGTCCTCTGTGTTTAAGGAAATGATGCTGCTAAGTATCACATGAGCCTCCTCCAGTAACTGGCTCAGGGGTGACTTTTTTTCTTGGACGCTTTTGTATTTACGTCTGAGCTTTGTCACAAGGCCAAGCAGTGACCCCATGGCAAATCTCTGTGCATAAACCGCCTTGAGCTTATTTCCCACGGTCTTCCAGAGGGATATCTTCACAGATTCTGCCACTGATTCCGGCAGTGAACCATCCAAATCTAGTTGGAGCTCTTCAGTTATCTCCTTTACAATTGTAGAAGCTACCTCGTCGGTCCACTGGGAAAATCCGGAGTCAAACATGTCGTTGTCTTCATCCGATACCTTGACATCGTAATCGATAGGTGTGACGCTTCTTGCCTGTTCCCTCAGGATCTTTTTTATGGCTGATGTAGTTTTTTCAGTGAAGTCTGCTTCGGTCTCGTCCTTAAAAGGTAAAATGGGTGTCTGCCATGACTTCCTGGTTGCAATTGGTTCAGTGTCCTCTGGCAGGCTGTCCAGCATTTCCTTGCTTTGTTGACCTCTTTTGATGGTTACTTTACTTGCGCAGTTTTTTAAAAGTCTTGCTACATGTTGTACCATGGACTTCAGTCTCTGGGTGAAGGAACGAGAGACAAGAGGTTTGATGGCCTCATCGCTGCCTCCACTACTGCCAGAGCTCTGGGAGAGCTCATTCACTCTGGCTGTGACCTCTGTCACCACGGCCTCGGTTACCTTTTCTGCACTTTGGCAGCTGATGTCTTTGACGCCGATTGCGTCGGCAAAGGCCAGGGAGATGGTGTCCCCTAGACACCCGCGGACATCGTCTTCAGAGACACTTATCTGGGATCCGGTAGATCCAGGAGAGATTTTGTTGGATTTGAGAGTGCGTCTCCTCTTCGGTTGGCTCTGTTTGAACAATAAGTAAATATGTGCGAATATAATATTAATTATATCCATGCACATGTTAGTAATTACATCCTCTGTTTTTTTATCTAGAGACCCGGACTCCAGCAGAGACCATTGTAGTGTGGTCAGCTGCTCCAGGCTCTGTCGGACAAGTGTGCGAACACTCTCTGTCGCGGCTTGATCCATTTCGTTGGTTTGTATCTTTGTATCTTCAGTCCTGAAGAATCCAAACTTGTGTTTGTGTCTTTGTTCTCGAAGTGAAAGTGTCCTGAAGAATCTGAACTGAACCAGGCTGGATTTGGATCCAAGGTGCATAGTTTCAGACAGAATGTTCGTCTTTGTATCAAAGGAACGTTCTATTGGCTTTGATCTTTGGATGACATCATGACAATCCAATGACATCACAGCAAAAGATTAAAAAAAACGCAACATTCCGTCATTCACACAATTTAAAAATAAACACGCAGACTATTTGAAATTCTGATTAATAACAAAATGAATTAACCACTATTAACAATTAGTAAGTTGAAGGATTTAGAATTCTGCATAGAATGAACTACGCTGAGTTTGTGGAATCAGTAAATTATCAGTAAATTATTTAGTTTATCTTGCATTAATCCATTCAATTAAGTGATAGTAATAGGTTCACTGACTAAGAAAGGGACAAATTACGGTGTACATTACTTGCAGAAATGTTGGCAATGTGTGAGCACAAGGTAGCTAACATGACCTAGCTAGCCAATTAACATGATGACAATTACCCAAATATAAAACCAAAGAAACCAGTTGAAAGCAAACACAAGTGCAGAGAATCTGTTGAAGTTTGCTGCTAATGTCTGTGTGTCCTTTACTCTCTGCCAAACCTCATTAGCAGGGAGTAATAAGTAAAGTAATATTACTTTTGAAAAGAGTAATGAGTAATAAATGACATTTTTGAGTAACTAGCCCAACGCTGTTTACCACAGTGGGTTTGCAACTGGGGGCATCAAATCTTACAAACATGTACATATATAGTGTTGCATTAATCCTGTGGTTTCCAACCTGGAGACTGGGACCCCCACTAGGGGTCACCAAAGATATACCTATTCAAGGGCTATTCAATTGGCTGTAGTTCTGTGAATACATCACACACCGCCAACTCAGATCTGTCTGAGGCTATAAGGGATTGTCTCCTGTCAGATCACAGACTACGAGTTTACATTCTTTAATACACACACACCGACATGGAGGTGATTTCAGCAAATAGCTCAAAGAAATCCGGACCAGTAAACGAAGGAAGCTTTAACGTGCAGAGAGGTTACGGAGCAGAGTCAGGGAGGCAGTCAGGGACGATAATAAGATGTTAATTTTGGAATCAAATTTATCAAATGCCCTTTTCCTCTTTTAGCTCCCCAGATATTTCCAGAAGAAATCAACCAGACATGAGGATGATCCTCGTAGACAGATTCATCACCTGAACAGCTGCAGGGTCTATTTTTTTCATATACAAAATTAATCCCTCAAGGAAATGATTATCGCACTGGTTCAGCCAGGCGGCAGCAGGTTGGCTGTCAGGTATGAGATGACAAGGGATCAAATCTTATTAACAACAACTGCTGCTGCAGGATAAGTATATATAGTGAGCATGGAATAATACTGGACATCAAACATTTGACATACCAGGCGCCAAAATATCTTCTATGAATACTAATGAGTGCACATTTAAAATAAGGACCAATTTTACACCATGTCCACCAAATCAAGTTCAATACTTACAAAATAAGGTCCTGATCTCATGATGTTTGTGCACGTTTAGCTAAAAAATTTGCTGAACTTGTCCTTTAAAGATTCGGTAGTTTAGCTTTCAGCTTTGTCTTCTGTTGGTTCAGGTTTACAGACGCCTTGTGCTTTACTCACATCTTCTTAAAGTCCACAGTGGTGTATTCGGGCCAGTCTATGTAGCAGACTGTGCGTCCAGGCAGCAGGGCAGTTTCTGAGTAGTAGTACTGAGGGAAGGCTAGAAGCAGAGCCAGCATCCAGATCACAAAGATCACCACACGGGTCTCTGTGGACGTCAGCCTCTGCTGCAGGGGATGGATGATCGCCATGTATCTAACAAACACACACAGAGACAGAAAACTCAACTCAACTGTCTGCTTCTATTCTGACCCGTCACAATAAAAGTGAATGATGTGCAGATTTATAAATCATAGAAGACTGGACTCTTGGCCTTGGCAGAGGTCTCTAGATGGTTTGTGCTGACCTTAATGGGAAAGCCTGGGACCTCTCTATCAGAATAAATCACATTTGTTCTTATTTTGCTTTGTTATCTGACATGTTCTTCCCTGACTTTATGGATCACAAGAAGATTTCCAACAATTCTGTGCCTGTAATTTGACCTTTAACACATCAAGCTATGGTAACTCTGGTGGTCTGTGGATGAATATCTAAAATATTTATGTTTTTAAATAAAATAAAACAAATAATACCACAATACTGCACAATTTTGAATGAAAATACTGTCATTTTAAGTAAGTTTTGTTTCAATATCAGCCTGCTATGTAGTCATGTTCATGCATGTAGTGCATGATGAGCAGTGGGAAAAATAAGGGTTCAAAAACACTGCAATCGTGGCTCCAAAGAGGAGGAAGTGTGGACCAGGAGGACCCCTTTTCCACCAGTTTAGCTCTGATTCTTGAACCGGTTCCTAACTGTCACTAGCCGAATATGATCGTCCTACACTGCTGTATTTCAGTCAGTCATAATGTTGGTACTTAGAGAGTAAATAAAAATTCCTGCAAAACTCCTGACATTTCCCATCAGCCTCAGCTGTAGCCTACTTTGTGTTTCATGTTAATTAGCAGATGTTAGAATGCCAACACGTATAAACATCAGTTAGAATTGTCATTGTGAGCATGCTGGCGTTAGCATTTAGCTCAACCTAAGTATAGCTTTACAGAGCTGTTAGCTCTGGCTGCAGACTCTTAGGGGCCAATCACACAGAGACGCACCGCTAGAAACAAAACCATAGTTTATATAGAGCTATTACATATAGAGTTTATAGAGCTACGGAGCAGGGGTGTAGTGGGGTATAAACCTCAGTCATCCAGCTCCAGGCGTTTTAAAAGCGGCTCCTTAATCTTCTTTCCTTTGTTCTTGTACAGAACAATGCAAGCGAGAACTGTGAAAATGCATTTATATTAAATAACATTTCCTCTATATTGCACCAGTGTCCGGGACTTTCTATAGTGCCTATACAGCCTTGAGGTACACACTCTCATTTTGATTTTAGTCCTGCTGTGCAGAGTCAGTAGAATAGTAGAATGGCTCTTACAGTGTATATGTACACATTTATATAAAGACATATAGTCCCTGCATACACACACACACACACACACACACACACACACACACACACACACACACACACACACCTGTCCAGAGCTATGGCCGTCATGGAGTAAATGCTGGCAAATATGGCGGCGATGGGGAAGAAGTTGTGGAAGCGGCAGTAAACCAAACCAAAGTACCACTCGTTGTGAACGGCGTAGGTGAAGTTGATCACTGTGTTGAATGCTGACATCCCGGCTTCAGCAAAGGCCAGGTTCACCTGCAGGAGAGAAAGAGAATGAACTAAAACCCAACACACCTGTTTATACTCAGTGGGGGAAGTTACTTTACTTTACAGTTTACTCAAGTCTTTTCTTTTCGTACCACTTTTCTCCTATTTCAGTACATCTTAGAGGGAAATATTGTACCTTTTACTATTTTCATCCGACAGCTTTAGTTACACTGTAAAAAAAAGTCCTGTCATATCTCATAGTAAAACCTTTATTAATACGCATTTTAAAAGAATTTATATGTAATAAAATAGTTTTATTATATTACAGACTGTAAACTGGACTGAAAACCACATCATTCATACGGTATTTTCACGTGGCGAAACTGTTTCTTTGAACTTTGTACAATCTTTGTTCTCTAAGACAGACCAAGAGAAAGTTTGTCACAAGATAAAACCAATATTTAAATGTTCGATTTTAGTCATAACTCAATTTTGAACAAGAGCGCAGTTACTGCGGTTTGCCTTCGTAGGGCAGAATACATGTCTTGCTCCCACGCTGGTGGCCAGGCTGACTGTGACAGCTACAATAGTCTAGAAGATTTCAATAAGAGAGGCTGAATATTTTCTCCTTAAACTATTCCTGGCCACCTGTGGGGTGCGAGATATCTACAGTTGACCCCACACATTGAATGACAGGCCCATAATGTGCATAAGGAAGCAGAAATGCATAAAGAAATGTAAGAATACAGTTTGGGGAAATAAATGAAAAAAGAAAAAGAAAAAAATAAATAAAAAGGAAAATTAAATTGTTTTTTATTTGTGGTGCTCTTAATGGCACATTAATGTATTTCTTGAGATATTTATGTTTTTGATTTTTGGCAGTTTTTGTTCTTCGTAGTAGAAACCCTGCTAACAAATAATAGACTAATGCATCAGATTGTGAGTCAATGGGGTTGATAGTTTACTGATTTCAAAATCAACCTGAAAGCATTAGTCAATTAATCAATTAATATAATAATAATAATAATCAGCAGTTATTTTGATTGCTTGTCATTTTTTGCTTTAAATTTGCTGTTTGCAGCTTCTCAAAATGATAATTTGATGCTTTTCTTTGTCATATGTGACAGTAAACTGAACAAAACAAACAACAAGAAGACATCATCTGACACACTATAAACCAAATGATTAATCAATAAAAATTATTTTTTTTAGTCGATTTACGAGAGTAACTGAGCTGAATCTGAAGGTAAATTTCACCATCTTACTTTAGTTCAAGAAACAATGTTTTGACATATCTGTTTTCTCCAAAGTGATGAAAAAACATTAATTAACTTTATTAGCTTTTATTAGAGATGTAACAGTCAGCCAATGGCATTTATTTAAATATTAACCTACAAATAAATAGAATTTGTATTTAAATTACAGATTTACGCTGTTTATTGATGGTGATGGATGCACCTGAGTTGAGCTTGAGGAGCATCTTCATTTCACAGATCTGCTTTCTTACAAGTTCATTATAGTTCACAGGTGATACAATAAAATAATAATTCAACTCAGTTTTGGAGACAAACATTAAAGAATCTCCCAAAGGAAACACCAAGAATTCAAAAGTTTTTATCAACTTCTCAAACAAAACATTTAAGGAGAAACAAACTGAACTCACCAGAAAGTAATTGGTGACCGTCCTCATGCGTTTGTGCGCCAGAATAATCCAGATGACCACCATGTTACCAACCACAGACACCGCAACGATGCTGCAGTAGGCGACAGCCCAGAGTGTGATCTGCCACACCGGCTGGATGAACTGGTTGAAGCCGTCGCTGCCGTTCACGGACACGTTTGTCTCGTTGGTGGCGTTAACATCGGTGCCGTTGTAGAGAGGGTCCATCTTCTGGGCATCGGCGTGTTTGGGTAGTTGCTGGGTGTTAAAAATAGATGATTGTCCCGTGACTCTCTCTTTCTGCTCTCTGTCTCTAGGAGGAAAATGAGCAGTGAATTCGTAAAAAGCGCAATTCCCACATTTTCTGCGGCGGAGCTTGTCTTTACGCACCGTGCGCCCCCGAGGACATCACCGCACCAAAACGCACGACGCGGCTCACCAACCATTCACGTTCTCCAGGCTGTCCAACCAGCACTCCTCCTCCCTCCACTATCCACTCCCCCCTCTCACACAACCCCTTCTATAAACACACCACATGATTAGTCTTGATGTTGTCTGGCCGATATCAGCGGCTGTAAATCACCGTGTGACCCTGAAATGCAACATAACTTAAATGAAACCCTAATACGATCCGAGCAGGGATTAGTCCAGACTCACTCTGGGTCAATCTGATGATATTGGTTTATATAATATGATGTTTATTAATGTCCAAAACAGGTAACATTATACAAACAATAAATAAAGGGTTTATAACACAATATAAAGCTGCAGTGAGCTGAGATAATAATGAGATCTTTAAGTGTTTGTTAATGGAGACAATTATAAAACATCTAACTGATGTATAAAAATATAATCACTGACTGACAACATAAAACAGCTGTAATCAATATAAAGTTTATTGATAATGTTGACAATGACACACTTGGAACCAGTGAGTTGATTGCAATTGGAAATTACACCGTTAGACGCCACTAAATCCTTCACACTGGACCTTAAAGTAAATTTTCCTCATTGTTCTTACATACTGAGTCATTTTACTTATAGTTAGACCTCTAAGTAGTTTTTTGAGTAAAGAGTCTGAATACCTCCTACTAAGTAAAGCTTAATTTATATAGAACTTTTAAAAACAAAGCTCTACTCTGTCCTGCATATATATACATACACAATCATATACATACATAAAGAACATGTAAATACTAACATAAGGATGAATAAAACATGACATGTGGATGTTCATGGTGTTAGTTCCAGCACACAGCGCAGCTAGCTCTGCTCGCCAAACCCACACCTACCTAGAGGACCAGTGTGTAGGATTCAGGGGCGTCTAACAGTGAAGTTGCAGATTGTAACCAACTAAATACAGCTCGCCTTCTAAGTGTGTAGGAGAAAATGTGGTGGCTGTGAAACACTAAAGTTCCTGTCTAGAGTCAGTGTTTGGTTTGTCCATTCTTGGCTACTGTAGAAAGATGGTGGTTTAATATGGCGGACTCCGATGAAGAGGACCCGCTCCCTCTGTAGATAAAGTACCTTGAGACCTTTCTTCCAATGAACAAAACAAACATCAAATCTACACTTTGGGGGATCATTAAGAATTGTTTGGATGCATACTTATGATGATAAAAAATCCTAAACTATACATAATTATAATGTTTACACTGTTATAATGATAAAGTCAATAAAATTAGTAATTGGAACAAACTGGAATTATCATTTGATTTCTAATCAGTAGGAGGAGAAAGCCAAAGTAATGTTGTAACTAGTCATTTTTAGGGGGAATAACTATAATATTTATATCTAAATGTATTAGTAATTAGTTACACTAGTTACTGGGGAAGGTAATATGCCCAAGACTGGTTATAGAGCAGCTCATAAGTGTTTATTTACTGCTTCTAAATACCAAATAGCTGTAGAAGTGTTTCCAGAAAGTAACAAATACATAAAAGTTTTATGCAGATTTTCCACCACCGTCATTATTTCAGAGTCAGTCAGTTTTGAAATTGGCTCATGGTCTCGTGCTTATTGATTTCATGCTTCGACATTTGATGCATTCTAGACGAATTATGTCCATTCGTATATAAGCAGTAAATAAATGAAGCAGCTCTGCTTGTGTAGCTGTGAATTAAGGGCTCAGTGACTGTTGGGTCATAAGGTCACCGGATTGTGGCCTGCCTAGCTAAATTGCATGTCAGCTCACCAAAGTAATGGAAAAACAGATATGTGGCACCACACATAAACGGAGCGTATTTATCTCTCGGCAGTGAGCACAACTACAGCTCACTGTCTGTCTGTCTGTCTGTCTGTCTGTCGCATCAGATCGGTGCTATTAGAATCCACTGCAGGGAAAACAGGAATTCAATCTCATTTGTCACCTGCTCCCCTCACAGCTGCTGTATCCAACACCCCAGTGCAGGTAGTGAAAGCTCATGTCTGAACTTGATGAGGAAAGGATGTGACACGAACAAAGAGAGGCAGAATTCACCCGAGAACGACAGGGAGCTTTCTTCATTTATCTGTTTTATCTGCCACCTGGTTTCATGTAGAAACTCAAATTAAAAAGTGAGGATTATTAAGAACACAATGACGTAGTGGAAGGCTGTGACTTAAAGGTGCCATATGAAATAATTTTAGTTTATAAAGTTTAAAACTTTACTGAAATGATCAACAGAACGTGAAGAAATAACAGCTTTGACGTCAATGTGTTGTATTGCAGAGATATCTACTGAAGTTAGCATGCTAGCCAGCTATCTTCGGCTCATCCTGTCCCGTAATACCACTTAGTAACTCAAGAGGTAGTCCAATAGTATAACTGCCAACTGGCATGGCCATTTTCAAAGAGATCCCTTGACCACTTACCTCGGGATATCTAAATAAAAACAGTTCTATGGGCACCAACGAGTCTCCCCTTTGCAGACAGCCCCACTTTATGTAATCCCATGTTATTTCCACCTAGTGTATTTGAATGTTTCTGCACACTGGGATCCAAAAAACAGTGTTGGATTTGTATGAATTGGGAAAGTCAGTGCCACGCTTGTGCCACCCCAATCATAAAAGTCTGGAAACGCCCCTGCAGTCTCTTCAATCTGCATACAAACAACACAACCTTTATTCAGGAGATATGTGCGAGTGGTGAGTTTTAGTAAGAAATAAACTCAATAAATCTCTAGAAAATAAATATTCATACGCCCAGTTTCTTATTTAACAGAAAAATATAACCTTCTAAATTCAATTTTCTCTCTTTTACCAAACTAAGATTAGCTTAATTACCTTGTTAACTTACCGTAAAACACTCTTTATTCAAATTGAAACAAAATAAAAATCACCAAAACCGTCTGTTAATGAAAGTAAAATTATATTTGTTCAGTTTTTTATTGTAAGATATGGTTTTATTAGTATTCAGGAAATGTGCCAGTACCATAAACACAAAATAACCCTGATTCTTCTTTCATTTTCAGTGCTATTTTCTTGGCGTTAAGATAGCTATGTGTTTACACAGAGTTGTTTAGCAGTAGCTCACCAGCATTGCTGCATGCAGGTTTTTGGAAATACTTAAAAAAGAAACTGAACTTGCGAGTGGCATCAAAGCATCAAAATGATTATTTTTACATAATTATTTCACAGCTTTTATTGTATACCCCTTGGAAAAAATACAAGTGCTCCCTCCTGTACTGCCTCTACACCCACGACTGCAGTTCGGCCCACAATGACAATCTCATCGTCAAGTTTGCCGACGACACTACAGTGGTCGGACTCATCTCCAAGGGTGATGAGGCAGCCTACAGAGAGGAGGTTCCTGAGAGTCCTCAGGAAGCACAACCTAAACTCCAACCTGCTGCTGACCTTCTACCGCTCAGCCATCGAGAGCCTGCTGACATACTGTATCACAGTATGGTACGGCAGCTGCACCGTTGCAGACAGGGAGCGGCTCCAGAGAGTTCTAAAGGCAGCACAGAAGATCATTGGCTGCCCTCTCCCCTTCCTGATGGACATTTACACCTCCTGCTGCCTCAACAGAGCTAAAACCATCACCAAACACAGCTCCCACCCTGGCTTTGACCTGTTTGACCTGTTGCCCTCAGGGAGGCACTACAGGTGCATTAGGACTAAAACAAATAGACTCAAAAACAGCTTCTTTCCAAAAGCAATAACCACTCTGAACTCTCACATGCTCTGTTCTTAGTCGAACCACCCCAACCCCCGGACTCTCTTCAGTCACTATTAAACACTGTTAAAAAACCTTACCTACTATGCAATTCCATACAATGTGCAATATTCCATACCATAATGGGCAATATATATATAATGTGTAATATTTATATATATTTAACACTGTATATAGCACCGTATTTATTTTGCAAATGTTCATACTCCTCAGGACTGTGCACCTGACCTCCCTTTTTTGTACTATTACTTTATGTAATATATATTGTATATATTTTTTATTCTTTGCACTGTTTTTAGCACTGCTATTGGAGTTGGCTGTTTAATCTCATCGTACGTGTGTACAGTGACAATAAAGGCATTCTATTCTATTCTATTCTAAATGCTGGATATGGCCATGCTCACCTGAGGTGTACTGATCCATTTCAGGCACCGGATGAGGTTAAAATAGCACAAACATCATCCTCACACACAAATCATACATCAATAGTAGCTTAAGTTTATGTATAATCTATCCAGGAAGTTGTGATCACAGCAATTAACACAAATTCAACCTTTGAATTCTGCAATATTTTCCAATGACTGCAACTTTACCGCACATTTGACCAATTATTGTAGTTTCCTGCACCAAATGTTGTTGTACATCACCAAACTCACTTCATTGAAGACACAAACCCTCCAAACAGCGCGATTTTATTCTCACATACCTGTAATTTTTAATCAATTATTTCACTTTGTCCTGCAATTTTATTGAAAAAGAAAATGGCTAAAAACATCCCTACATGCACTGCAATTTTCTAGCAAGGCTGCTGTGAATTTTTTTTAAAGACCCCCAAAATTTCACAAATGATGTTTTCAGGGGAGTTCATGTCTTATTAAGAGGAGCAAATCTATAGCTTATAGACAGCCTGTAATCATGCTTCTGCTATATTTGAGATGAAGGAGACTTAATGATAAAGTTTTAAGCATTTTCATTGTGCTGTGGTTCAGAAACTCCTTAACTGATCTGGGGAAGAAAATAATGATAAAAATATGATGAACTTGCTTTTTGAAATTAATCTGGAATAATTAACCACTGTAGCTTTGATAAAAACAAAAAAATCCTGGTGGAACAAGTATTATTCTAACACATTTTATTCTAACACATTTTTTTAGGGCATCATCAATTTGGGGATTTCACTGTGGGCTTGTTTTACTATATTCGTGGGGTCCATAAACCTGGAGCCCACTTGTGGGGTCTGACAGGTTTATATGGATCAAAATGTTGGACGCCACGGGTTTAAAGGGATGATTGAGGGTTAAGAGTTGGTGTTGGGGTGAGAGTAAGTTTAAGGTTAGGGCTAGGCACTTAGTGGTGATGGTTAAGGGACAGGATAAAGGGCTAGGTATGGCGTCCCCACAAATACAGTAACACAAGGATGTGTGTATCAGGGCGAAAAGGAGAAAACCCAGTAAAATCAGCTTCCTGTGCCCTGAGGTCCCGATCCTCACTCCACATATAAGATCAGATATTAAAATGTGTGTGTGTGTGTGTGTGTGTGTGTTAGATTGACACAGTCACATTTGATTATCCTACATAAGACTCTTCAAACAAAGCATAATGCCTTATCTATCTCTTATGCAAATTGGTCCATTCATTAAGCAGCACAGCAGAGATTAACGCCGTCAGTAGTCGCTCCTATTGAAGAGAGATGATAAGAGAACAAGACACTGAGCTGATGAACAAATATACTGGAGGGAGAGCAAGTGGAGCAAGTCAGGAATATGGGATATCATTCCTGACATGTGGATGAATACATAAAAAAAGGCACATGTCAAAAGTCTGTGGAACTAAATGATAGAAGAATTAGTAGAAATACAGTATTTCCTGCAGTGGTGGAAGAAGTAGAAGTAAAAGTACCAATATAACCACTGCACTGTGTGTAAAAGTGCAAAATACAGCTGCACAATGAACCCAACAGTGAACACAACACTGCGAGAAGTTTCCTCCACAATTACAAAAATATCCAAGGTTGGAAATGGATATATTCAACGATTTGCTTTTTCATCTTCTGTTTTTATTTTAAAACAAAAAATGGAAAACGGGACTCAAAATAAATTATTATTATTATCAAGTGATAATTAATTGGCTATAATTTAATTATCGGAAAAATATAAATGTCCAATTATTGGTAATAATTATAGTGCATCCCTTATTCAAATAGTTCTTTATCTCTTTGCTTCTCTAACTTGTGAATTCTCCGTCACAAGAGAATCAGTTAAATCTTATAAAAACATATACATAGATAACAGCTGATCCATGTCCTAGCCAATCACAGCTGCAGAGGTCCTGTTGCCTCACTCTTTAGATTCCTGGATTGTTTTCATCTTTGTGCAGCAGATCGCACAAAGTGATTCATGCATCTAATTTATTCTGCTGTCTAGAGGGATAAGAGGATTACTAACAACATCTACGCAGGGTTTCACTGGGTGGGCAGCTCCCCCAGTAATCATCTACTGCTCCATCCACTTCAAAGGAAACCAGTCTTTTTCCATCTGTCACCATCTAGTGGTGACACATGCTGCCACAGTTTAACTGGGAGTCTGCTGCAGGGAGGTGTTTCGAGAGTGATGCCATGTTTTAGCACAGCGCCACCATGTGGTTAGTGTGTGCATGTGGATCCATTTGGAGTCTCATTAAATGTGAGTTGAGTTTGTGGGTAATTAATGTAATTAAAGGACAACTCTGGTACTATTCTATATTTCTTTAATGTCAACAAATCCAATACTGAATGCATATATATATATATATATATATATATATATATATATATATATATATACTTTAAGTACAGTACTGGAGTGAATGTACTTTGTTATCTTCCACTTCCGTTGGTTAACCTTAATGGTTTTTTTTAGAATAGGAAATTATGAATGGATCCACAGAATGAAATGACTCTACACACTGTTACGCCACACACACCCAACCCCCCAACACCCACATACACACACACACACACACACACACACACACACACACACACACACACACACACACACACACAGTCCAGCCTCATCCAGGACCTGATACTCAGATTGTCTATACAGTCACTGAGAGCAGTTTGTTGCAGCATTTTGCTCTATAAATTAACATTGTTGAACTCTGTTATTCTATTTTTGTTCTTTATTAGCGTTCTATACTTATATAAAATACTTCGGTAGCTTCTCGATTTTGGTTGTCTCAGCTTCATCTTTCACCTCAGGTAAGATAAACTCTTTTTTATTACATTATAGGTTTGATGTTGCTTTGTCTGTTTCTCTTTTATCCTTGTTTTGATGTTGATTTGAAGAACTGAATCAGATTGAATATAAAGGTTGGAAGACATGTCGGGATGGATTAAGCAGCAGTATAGTAACAGATTTGTCCTCTATGTCTCCAGCTTCCTCCAGTTTAGGAAAGTTGCAAGTTTCGAATAGATTAGTTTTATTTTTTTAAAACAGATTATTAGATTGTATTGGTGACAAATATTCCACTTCAGGATAACAAGCCTGTGAGATTATGTTGGTTTTTTTTAAATGGCTTGTGAGAATTGGAATTTTCTTTCATTCTCAGACAACAGACAAACATAATACCAACATGATAAAGGATAAAAGATAAAAGTAAAAGTTCTCCAGGCTCTAAAAATCAGGACTTTAAAGATCAATTAGAAACAGCCAAGATAAATAACCAGTAGAATAAATGACTACAAAGACTACAACTTGTTAATCTCAATGATTTTTACGGCTTTGTTCTACATAAACTATAAAAGTCCGTCCAGAAGGAAGTGGCTGAAATTCACTGTGCAGAGTCGTCATTTAAAATCCAGCTGTACTGTCATTCTTTATCTCCACCTTGGATCTTTCCATATTTTTGTGCATTTATTCCAGTTTAACCCCAGCTAGCTTCTGCTACATGCTACAAGTTGCCTCAGTCTTTAGATTCTTGGATATTTTGTGTGAGATTGTCGGGTCATAAAGCTAAATTTTGCTCATTTTGTCTGCATCTCTTAACATTTTATCGACAAGAGGATGCTGGCCTCTTCCTGAGGCAAACTCATGAGCCGGGGGGGGCGGGCTGAGATCGATTGCCTGTTCCCCTTCTGCTGTGAACAAGTATTGCTGGTCCATCTGTCAGTTGCCTGAGCCGGTACCCACGGGGCATAGTCGGGCTCAGCACAGACAACAATACAGGTTTACCCTTGTTGTAGTTTATCCAGCAATATAAGACACTTACCTCCACGCAACAGTGCGTCATGCAGAGGAAGGCTCTGACTGTGTGTGCCTATGTTGAGTCTCTATTTTTCTTATTTTAATCCGAATTTTAAAAGTTATAGAACTGTAATAAAAGTCTTTTTGAGAGGACATTGTTACTCGATGGACCAAACACGCACCGAAGGTTTTACTCGTCCTGAAACTGGACAAAAATGTTCCTGTACAACCGTGTGCTGAGAATGCTCCTCATTGCTCTGTATGTGTGTGTGTGTGTGTGTGTGTGTGTGTGTGTGTGTGTGCGTGTGGTTGTGCTCCCTGAGTGTGTGTGCATGACTGCACTCATGTGACTGTCCTTCACAGTCAGTGATCAGGCTTCAGGGACTAGTAAGCAATCAGAAATGACATCTATTGATCAGCCTAGAAAACTCCCCCAAATCAGCTTTGGGAAGAGAAACCTACGTCAACACTCAGCGATCAGTTCAGCATGTACTGATGACATTTACATGAGTGTGTCCGGGTGTCATTGGAGCAGAGAAACAGATATAATTGAAATCACATTGATGACCTCATATCTCTCACATTCATACTTAACTCCTCCCTGAGGGGAACTGTGGAAGCAGGGAAATTACTCTAGTTACCACCTCAGCTGCCACTTTATAATAAGGGTGATAACTAACAGGGATGGCAGGGTTCCCACGCATCCTGGAAAACCTGGAAAATAGTTTTTCTGACATGGAAAACAAATTAAAGAAAAAATTAAATGTCCTGGAAAAAGTTTTCCTGTAGATGAGAATGAACTTTGATATCTGTCAGAGCTCCACAAAACTTGTGATTAACCTCGTTAGAGACTCTTAATATTGCTTGTAAAGGGGTTAAAGTATGGTGGGATGAACTGATACGAGTCAGTGGCAGTTTAATAATCTGAGCAAACTCAACTCTGACTTTAAATAACTTGAGAAAAAGTTGCCACAGTTTAACCCTGATGACCTACATAAACAAACAAGACCATCAGGAAGAAGCTCTGGCTGTTTCTATGTAGTTATTTTAAAGAGGTACTCTACCCTAAAATGTGTTGAACTGTAAACTAAATTAGATGACTATACTGGGATGAAACAAATCAATGCTGGTGTTGACATTATTACCAAATGTATGAAAATCTGCATTTTGTGGGTTAAAAATGTCTCAACACGCCCGCTACGGTTTTAAATCACCATGTACGTTTTAAAACAAATGCTGAAATAGAGTCGACTGTTTAGGACTACTTTACTTCACAACATATATATAAAAAATTAATCTCTAATCAGAGGAGGGCAGCCCTCTCCCAGCCTCTGCTTTGAGTGGGAGTCATTCACAGGAGGTTATGCTAACTGTTGCTAACCCTCTACAATGTATGTTTATATTGTGGCGCAGTGGTTCGGACTTTAGACGCTGTAGAAGCACCGGCCTGCAATCTTTACCTTGATCACACACTGACAGCCCCCCCACAGACACACACCGGAGAGTTAGCCTCTCTAAGCTGTAGCTTAGCTACAAACAGGTAGCACACAGAAACTTTTACAAACAGCCCTGAATGTGCTTCTAGTGACTGTAAGGCCACGCCCCCTAAAGTCTCTGCAGGTCTCTGATGCATTTTTAAAAAATTTGCTGAGAGGGAGGAAGCTAGCAGAACTGAAGGGTGTAGTTACACTTTAATGCAGATTCGGTTGGATTCCCGTTTAAATAAATAAAACCAAGCGGTAGAAACACTACTACTTTTGTCCACAGGGGGCGCCAGAATCAACACAACAATCAACAACTCTAATATAATAAGTCCTATTGCTTGTGAACAAAAATGGTTGTAACACTACATACAGCTTTTGTATGTCTGTTTTCATGTTTAATTTTCTTGATAAAACTGAATAAACATTTTTAAAGAAAACATCTAGTTGCAGGAGATGTTTATGAACATTTCCTCTGTGGTTGGTGTGTGAATACATATAAAATCATACGATTTATCACACATACAGTTACTTTTAAAGAATATTTTTACGAAGCCCAGCAGGAGTTTGGTGGGAATGCTGGGAATTCCTACAGCAGCTGTTTCCTTTGGTTTCCATGGTTTGAGCTGCGGTCTGGTCCTGAAGGGCTGCTGGGGGTTTTCCATTGAGTTTTCCTCTTGTCATCCATTGATCTGTTGAGGTTGCCGTGGCACATGTGTCGCCATGTGGCGCAGCCGGCAGCTCACATGGTACAGTAAGTGTCACTGTAAGGCCAGGAGGATTCCCTGACCGCAGAATGAATCATTGAAGTTTGATGTGTTACGGTTTATTTCAGCTGATTGTCTCCTTTCGTCTCTTTCCACCAGCATCCATATTCACTCAGTAAACCTCCTCGTCTCTGTGTGTCTGTTTCAGGATGGATCATCAAGACTGGCAGCGAGGGAAAAGTAGAGGTCACAGGCGCTACGATGATGATGATGGTGAGAACAGAACTGTGTGCAACTGCTCCACTCAAAGCCCCTGGTTACCTGTGCGGCAATCAACCCTTCATAAGTCCCGCCCCTTTTTGCTCTGAGCTGAGATTGTAAACTTTGTTTGGGGAAATTGGAATATGCTCTACTGAAGCACATCGCCGGGGACAAAACATATTATCAACTTATTAAGTAGATATTGTGAACGTGTTAGCAAACAATTGCTCCTACATCGAGCAAAATGATTATTTATTTGTCATGTTTGTGATCCAATCCAGTTATCACTCTCCTTTTGTTTATCAGAGCTTTTTTCATTAAAACAGCTGCATGCTGCAGCTGGAAAAGACTGAACCGAAACAGTAAAGTTGAGTTGTGTAGGACTGTAATTCAGAAAAACACGAGCACAACTGTGGCATGTTTAACTCTATCCATCTTGTTTCAAGTCCTTGTGCTAAGATAACTTAAGCTAAGCTAACTGTACAGACATGAGAGTGGTATTGTTCTTCTCTCACTCTCTGCTAAAAAGTGAATGTGCTTATTTCCCAAAATGTCAAACTTTTCCTCATTAATGCAAATGTATTGTTCAGTTCACTTCAGTTGTAAAGGCTTTACTGCCATGCAGAGGTTTATATTCATCTGCTTTGTACACTTCTCTTACACCTGCTTACTACTGAGGACTTTAACGACACTCCACGAGCTGTCTCTGCACTGATCCGGCTCTTACGTGTCCTCTCTCTCTGTCTCTGTCTGTCTCTCAGAGGCCCAGCCAGTCTACATCGGCGTTCCAGTTTCCCACAGACGGAAAAGGCGCAGACACCATTCCAGTGTCAGTGACGCCGACCATGACAGCCGGCACACGCACTACGACCACCACACACACCGTGAACGCTCACACCGGGAATATTACCACGACAGAGAGGAGCCCGACGACGATGACGAGGCCAGCACAGAGCAGCACGAGCCCACCAACCTCTCAGGTTAGAAGCTACATGTCTCACAATGTCATCCTGAACTCAATATTTAAATAGCAGCTTAATAATAAAACTTGTAAAACTTGTGTAGCACTTTTAGCTGGGGTAATCTGATCAGGTGGTAAAGCAGCGTGGGATCATGGGAGTTGTTGTCTTCACCACCCTTGGTGTCATTGCAGTCAGCTTCTCCCGGTTAGGATTCCTTCAGTGTTCATGGTTCAGGAGGTTTCTACCGGGAGCCCAATGATCCACAGAGGTCTCCTCCTCTCCAACACAAACAGACCCGCTGATTAAAACCACTAAACACACTGAATAAAGCAGTTCCACCTTAACAATCACTGCTTCTCCCACGCTGTTGGACAGACAAAGGACGTCCCGGAGGGGCTGCGAGCCGAGCTGCTGCTAACGTTAGCTCAGCTTGTTTCTCTGATAACTTAAGATCCAGACGTCCGATGACTAAAATCCTTCATCCGGTTCAAATCTAGAGTTAAAAAGCACCAAGATCTAAACAGTGGATGGTAACAATGTGGCTTCAGACTGGATAAACAGTCAATGTATGACAGCTTCTGACAGACAACCACAACGCTGACGCAGGCACAAAGGGGATATGACGCCACCGACAGGCGACCGGTGAAACGCAGCGTTACCTAAATAAAATGACAGATTTCTCTGAGTTTGAACATTGTTGGAAACATTTGGGATAATGGAAGAACTCAACTACATATAGAACATAGAGCTAGAGGTTATAGATCTTTTTAGGCAGAAAAGTTACATGTTATAGCTTCAAGTTCAGCCTCAGAGAACTGCTAGCATGGTGACTATCAGCCTTGTTACCGACCCTGAAACCTTTCCTACTGCAACTTTATACATTTCAGTTTCACTGAAGAAAAGAAACACATCCAACCTAAGTGGTGCTTTTAAAGCCCGGCCCAGCATATCGTACACGCAGTGAGAGGCGTATGATCTGTGCTGTTAGCAGAGGACCTGCGTGAGGAGTGTGTGATCAGGTTGAAGCTGCTAGTGCATACATGTATGTGATGAATGTTTTGCAGCATGGTCCCAAGGGGCCATGAAGTCTGAAGCCTGTAAGCTGATTAAAGCTGAGCAACTCCAAGCTGTGTGTGTGTGCGTGCGTGCGTGCGTGCGTGCGTGCGTGCGTGCGTGTTATTTGGGGATGAATGTGAGTGTTTGGTATGTGGTATGCTTTGTGTTTTATCAGGATTCATAACCAGTGTTCACACCAAACAGCCGAGGCCTGTGGGTAGTGACAGAGGCTCTGCTGCAGGACTGTTGGGCTCATCAGAGAAGTTCTGTTGCGTTTCTTGCGTACATGTATGTGTGTGTGTTTGTGGGTATGTGAGAATGTGAGTGCATGGACTTCTGGGAGGAGAGTACTAGAGGGCCCTGTGGTGTGTGTCAACCCTCTTAAAAGCTTCTGGCTCTGTGCTGCTTTGGAGATTTCAGTGGATTTCTGCCCCAGCTTAGAGAGAAGACCTTTTCCGACCGATCGAACGGCGCAGGTCCGACCACGGATCATACATGGCTAATTGAAATAACAAAGCTCTCCGCGGAATAAAACTCAAGTAAACTGGAGAAACGAGCAGAAAGGACGTAAGTGAGAAGGAGTGAAAGTGTGTCTCTTCTCCCCACTCGTGGTGGAGAGCGAGGGGTGGTGAGCTAAGGACTCTCAACCTCAACACGAGGACAGGAAGCTAGGCGTCTCTTTTACAACCCTGAGGATCTCTCTCCAGTGACCTCTGGGTCTTACTTCCTCTGGTCAGAGGATCCAGAGAGCATGCAGGACCCTGGTGGGTCTTTCCCCTCGATTATGGCTTCCCGCTGGACCCTACCTGGCTCCCAAACAGGTAAAGACGGCATAAAAATCTGGAAAACGGAGGGTTACATTTACTTAGTAATGAACATACATTTTACTTTCTATTATCTCCAAAACTACAGTATAGATTTAAAAATACATAAATAGACTTAAAGGTTTAGGATCATCTGTGCCACAGTGTCCGCAGGATCTTAAAGGTCCATTGTGTGTTATTGATGATTAGATATTATTGAGATGAGTTTTTATAATAGTTTTAGGAACTTTCTATACAGTTCTCACGTTTGTGCTATTAGCTCTGTGGTTGTTAAAACTGTGTACTTTTTTAACGTAGAAAGATGAGATAAACTTGTATATTTTTAAAGTTTTCTTACGTCCCTTAAAAACAAGAAGGCTTGCGACCCCCTGCTTGGAGACCCCAAGTGGGGGTCTCCTCCCCCAGGTTTGGAACCTCTGCTCCACACCACTAAATGGGACCTAATGTTTCATCTCTCCAATTAAAATTATGCACAGAAACACTGTAAAACCTGATGAGTTAGTTCAACGCAAACTAACGCAAACAATTTAAGCATGAAAGATATTTAATTTGAGTAAAAGTAACTCAATTTATTTATATTTATTGTTAATGTAACTTGTGTAAATTAAGTTAACTGTACTAATTCCATTCAGGTAATTGAAGTTAAACTCATATATGCAGCATTTCTCCAAACTTATTTAAAATGAAACAGTCACTAGTCACTAAAATGCATCTTAAAAAAAGCAAATTATTACATTACCTCAAGACTTATGAGATAAACAATTTATAATTGATTGTCAAAATGGTAGCCAATAATTTTTTGTGTTTGTTTATGTGACAAACATCAAATCTTTACACTTTGGGATCATTAAGAATTATTTGGATGCGTATTTATGATGATTAATAAACAGCATTATAACGTAATACTGTTGTAATGATATAAAGTCAAGAAATTAGTCAGTGGAACAAATTTTAATTATATCACTAACACTTAAAATACTGTACAAATTTAAGTTTACTCAAAACAACTGAGTTGCTTCAACAATTGAGTTTAATTCATTTAATTTATGTTAACTTCTTTTATTAAGACGTGTTGGTTTTACAGTGACCTGCAGAGTTGGGTGATAATTAATGGATGAGTTCGTCATTACAAACCTTTCACATCACACACAGTCATTTGATGAGTGGAGCTTTATGTAATACGAGCAGGTAATTAAGAAGTTAAAGTACCTGAGTGTGTGCCTTTGTGTTTTAGCAATGACCCACAAATGATCTGAAACTGTGCAAACATCATGATCCCCTCCTGTGGGATTACATCGGCTGGTCTGAGATCAGACACGCATAAGTACATAAACTACCAACATGAGCAGACCTCCTAATGTGACCTGACCTAAAGTGACAGAGCAGAGGTAGTAATGGAAACTGATGCCTGTTGCGCTCATGCTGGAACATTGTATTGTATTATAATTATACAGCAGTCTGTAGTTAACAGAGATTACATAATTGTTCCGTCTGCTTGGAAGTGTTGATTGTCACTGTCACATGACACTTTTTTTTTTTTAGCTTTTGGATCACAAAGAGGAACAAATTGAGTGACGGGAGAGCAAAGACACACACATACACACACACACACACACACACACACACACACACACACACACACATACACACACAGTGCGAGCGAACAGCGCCTGCGGGCTGGATGTTAATGGGGATTGATCTGCTCAGGGTAAAATTAGAAAAAGGTGTTGGCTGATCAGATATCAGATAGTCATTAGAGGAGCTCAACTCTTGTCCGCTCATTAAAGAAGGGTAATGGTGTTTGTTTAGAATTGTGGCTGTTTCGGATTTTCCGATGGGGTCTTGTTGGCCAAGTGCTCTAACGCACATTTTGTCTAATTTGTAATGTTGTGGGATTTAATTCAACAAAGGACGTCTGTCACTAGTAATCCCCAGGTCTCTCACTAACAATTAGTTTTTTTCTGCTCCGCTGTAAACTGTATAATAAAGTTAAGAATAATTGAATAATCTATATATTTATTCCATGAAATTCACATGCCTAAAGTCACATGCAGAGATGGTTGATTGATGAACATGTGTTGAGATGTTTTTGTAGAATGTTTTTTATACAGAAGAGAATTAAAAGAAGAATAAATAATTGTAGACCTTGGAGTAGTATACTAGGGTAAAAACCAAGTTTGCTTACTTTGAGTAGATAAAAAGTTGTAAAATAGTACCTGAAAGTTTACTTGGGTATATTTTTTCACACATTTAGCACATCATTTATTGCAAATACAATAACAGTAAAATATAGACATAATTTTGGCACAAAAATATACTTCAGACATTAGTTTACTATTTTGGTAAACTCCCCTGCAGCTATTAATGTATGCTCACTAGAAAGTAGTACTGATTTTACATAAATATAATAACAGAACATTTATTTTAATGATGGCGCTAGAGGGGTTCATCCTCTGGGAACCATGAATGTCTGTACAACATGACTCCAATAGTTACTGAACCAAAGTGACGGAGTGAGGATCATCCATGGAGCCACACCGCTAGCAAGTTTTTCCTGAGGGTGGCGCTCATAAGAATGGTCCAATTTCATGTTGATCTGGACAAAACTTACTTCTCATAAAGTTGCCACAATTCCTGAATCCCAGATTAGTGTGACTGTTGTAGCCTTTATTGTTGTACATGTGTGACTTTAATGTAAATCTGAAACTCTGTTTTCGTGTTTCTCCTCCGTCTGGTAGTATCCCCTGCAGCGGAGCGTCTGCGCCACATACTGGATGATGACAACACCCCGACGCCCACGATATTCACAGAGATGGACACACTACAGCACGAGGGGGGCGAATTAGAGTGGAAAGAGTCTGCGAGGTACACGCACACACATACAGGCGTCAGAGGGTCAGAGCTTTCATTAGTTTAGGATTTGGGGTCACTTTTGATAGGATTTAAAGGTTGAGGGTTGAGACATTACGGGTGCTGGGTGACAGGACTTTAACACTGCATGTGATTAAAGCAGTGGTTCTGACTGGATGCTAACTAAGTTGAATTCATTGGATTTATGCAGGGAAAGGTTTGCTGATGCTGTCTGACCTCTGTTTCACTAAAACTTTGAATTAGTTGGGTCATTGATAGGTAAAAATTGTGGGGTGGTTGTTGTGAACTCTTTTTGCTGTCTGATGGGGGGGGGAGTCACCCCTGGATTAAATCTTAAATTACATAGCAATCCCCTGCTGGTTGGCTAAACTGTCAAATAACACCACTTTATTGACTGAATTCCAAAGCCAGAAGACGTATATAGCATTCAGAAGTATAATTTTGGAGAAGTATACTAGTGTGCTTACTTTCAGTACATGAAAAGTGTCCTAAAGGGGTCTCAAATGCCTCCAGTAAGTACACTTGGGTATATTTCCCCTACATTTTGAGCATACACTGCAAACAATAATCTTGTCAACCATGTTTTACATTAGAAAAGTGATCTGGTTTTAAGAGGATATATCTAATTCTGACTTAATAAGATATTTCAGCTAATATTGATCTGGATTTAACCAGTAACAATAATGGTTGCATAATATCCCAGCAGAGGAATTAGATTATTGTCCTTATTTTAAGAGTAAGAGCACTCATTGTTTTTCATTGTTTTAATAAAAAATGATAAAGAATAAGAATGCTTCTGTTTCTAGAAAGGCAGTTTTTGTAGTGTAGTATTCGTTAGTATTCAGAATGTATTGCTAAAGTGAAATATATCACATCATTCACTTCACTGACTGAATTTAAAAGCCAAACCACTTTCTTTCCCCCGGCCTCTGTAGGTGGGTGAAGTTTGAGGAGAAGGTGGAGGAGGGAGGAGAAAGATGGAGCAAGCCTCATGTGTCCACGCTGACCCTCCACAGCCTGTTTGAGCTCCGGACCTGCCTGCAGACGGGAAGCATCCTGCTCGACCTGGAGGGCTACTCACTGCCGCAGATCGTGGGTGAGTCCAGCAGACCGGCTCCACTGATGTTCCTCTACATCAGAACTAAACTAGATAGTTTCCAGAACTTGCAGACACTTTAAATCTGAAAAACTTTCTTTAAAGAAGGCACCAAAGTTTGGGAATTGATAGTAGCTGTGTGAAAGCTCTGCAGCGATGAACGCTGAACGCTGAACAAAAGCAACAAAGCTGTGTCCCAATTTTAAATACATACATACAACAGATACTGCAGACAAGATGTCATAGAACCCTGATGTTGTGGTTAGTATATGGGAAATTGGTATTCATTTGAAAATATAATATATATTATTTATCAGTTATTCTTTATGAGAACTTTTTGGACTGTCTGCAATTCATTTCATGTCTTTGCAGCTGTGGAATACAGATTTAATTCATTTTATTATTCATTATAAACACACCCAGGAGTGTCAGTATATTCCAAAATACTTCAAACCTGAATGTCCTTGAACTCACCAGAGAATAGATTTCAAAACAGAAATCTTTACATGCAACTAACAATGTTTTCTAAAAGAAATCAAGCCAAAGTGTCACTTATATTTAAGTTGATTCTGTTCATCATCGTTATTGTTCACGTGAATTCAACTGGGCCGTGAACTTCTGCTCCAGACGACATCGTGGATCGGCAGATAGCTGATGGTCTCGTTGCTCCGGATCTGAGGGAGAAGATCAGCTTTGTGTTGCTGCGGAAGCACCGTCACCAGACCAAGAAACCCATCCACCGCTCGCTGGCAGACATCGGAAAGTCCTCCAACACTGCTTCCAGTGAGTCTGTGCGCCGTCTTCTACGCATTTTCATCAACCAGACGTAATCTCACCTTCTGATTACGTCCTAATTGCTTCCTTTGTTTTCTGCCATGTTGTCTCACCTTTTCCTCTTAAAATCACCTCTTTCACATCTTCTGCCGCCGCCGCTCTCTCAGACCGTAGTCCTCAGGCTAATCTGAACCGTAGTACTAGTACAGCTTCTGGGATCCACTGCTCCACAGAAGACCTACGCTCTCGGCAGGCAAGCAGCCTTGGCCGCCTGCGTGAGTCTGAACACACACACACACACACACACACACACACACACATTCATGCACCAACAGTTCACTGCTAACTACACCTACCTTTACTCAAGTACTGTATTTCCCTTTTATGCCACTGCTACTGTATTTAACAGATTTAGCTTTTGGTTACTTTTCAGATTTAGATTTCACATGAGCAAAACATATAATGAGCTTATAAAATACAACACATTCCTAATCTCTTCGGTTTGTGACCTGTTGAGGATCCTTATCACATTTCAGATGATGTTATCAGCTCTCACCAAAGAGACATTTCCCCTCTAAACGTCTCACATGGTTTCATTTAAATTGTTTTTTTAGCCCCAAGAGGTCAAAGTATTCAATATTTCACCATTAAAAAGCTACATTAGAGAAAACCCTCAGATTTATTTCATACAATCCCACTTCAAAAGATCCAAACTAACCCTTTAACTTCTCTGCTTCATGTTTTTAATCAACACTGACCCCAGCTAACTCCCCGCTCACACTCAAGATGGCTTTGTGTGCATAAATACTCACCATGAACACAGCGTGTCGGACATACAGTGTGTGCGGTACAGGTTTTGGTCCTATTGTGTGCACCTTCGGCTAATTTCTCTTGTGAATCTATCTGGGTGAAAAGGATTATGAACGGATTTTTTTTTTTTTTGGGGGGGGACTCTGTGTGTTCTTGTTCTCTCTTTGTCCAATTTATTTGTTCCCAAATCTGCTTTGAGGAGAAAAAGGGGAAATTAGTCATTAAAAAAAATAATCCCCACAGAACCTAAAGTTCCAGTACACACTGTGGACGTACTTGAATGCCCACTCTGTTGCTCCTATGACCCGTTAACTGGCAGCAATTTACATCTTTACTCAGCTATTACTGAATAAAGTCCCACGGAGACACAACTCAAACACAGTTTCTTTCAGTGATTTAAAAATATCAAATAAATGTGTGTGGTTCATTTACAGATCCCTCCCAGAGCCGGAGCATGAATGATATTTCAGACACACCCAGCACAGACCAGGTAACTGTTATGTTCAATATTTCATGTGTTTGTGTGTGAATGTGGGTTCGGCATGATAATCCCACGTTAAGACTAAAACTAACATTTCTCTCAGCTCCAAGCCCATTTGCTCCTTTTGAAGAGGTGCATCTTTAAAAACACCTCACAAAGATATAGTTTCATTTGAACACAAAGTGCTTCACACATTTAATGGAGAGAAACTGTCGCACCCGTCCATTAATCACAGGGTTGGTGGTTCGATCCCCAGCTCTTGCTCCCCACATGTCACTGACACAAGACACTGAACCCCAGACTGCTCCTGAAATTCAGTTCACCAAAATGGGCTGGTAGTATTCCTACATTGTCACTAAACTTACAGTAAAGTTTGTAAGTTTTGAAAATAATAATTCCTTTTTTGTTTTTAGAAAAACTTAAATCTTTGAATTTTAAAAACAGAACATTTTGTATTTTATTTGTATCATTATTTCAATTATATATATTAAATTGTGTAATAATTATTAATAATTATCATTTTTTTGTTTCTAAAACTTAAAGGTTTTTATATTTTTTTTTAGAAGAAGAAAAGTAAATTATCATCAATATTAGTTTAGTTTAGAAGAGGTTAACTTAAAACTCAAAAATGTAATGACGACAGTTACATTGAAGTTGGGTTTTCTCAACTTTTTTTTCTTTACAGTGATTCTGCAACTGGATTGTTTATTTCTCACCTAAGAATTGTTGAGAAACAGATTTTTGGTGGACAGCTGCTGTGAAAGTTTATTCCGTACAGAACTCAACCCCACTGGTTCAGACAGTTGAACCTTTATAGTTCGACTTCCTTCCTTCCTTCCTTCCATTATCAGGGTTATTTCCTCAGACTTGAGGAGTTGTGACCTTTGTGTATGAAACTGATGGAGTGCCCCTTTAATATCTGCACATGCACGCTGTCACTCTCCGAGCTGTTATTGATTTGTAATCAGCTAATCTCCTGTTGCCTGCGGGGAAACAGCGATGCATTATTTCAGCCCAGCACACAGTTAGCAGATGGCACGTTGCTGTGTTTGTGTTTTATGAAAAATTGAGCCTTGTTTTATGAGAAGGTATACAGAGTCGTCACAACTGCTTAATCCTTCTAATCCACGCAGCCTGGTAGCTGAGGTGGGAATTTGTTCAATTGTGTTTGTGCGTGTACCTGCATGCGTGTTTGTACTTATGATCGAGTGATTTTAAGCTTCTTCCTCTGAGCTTTAATTGCTCTCCCCCCCAAAAAAAGTATGACAATGAAGAACATTACACATTCAGTCACTTTCTCTGTTAACCAGCTGCAGTAATTTGGTGTGTGTGTGTGTGTGTGTGTGTGTGTGTGTGTGTGTGTGTGGTTTTGTTATTCGGGTAAATATCTTGACAAGAACTTCAAAGCGAGCGAGAAATGAATTCATGCATGTGACCCCTTGAGTGTGGTTTAATTATTCGTTCACAGAAGCTGGCATGGCACCTCCAGCTTTCTTTGATCCGACCGATATGCACACTCATGCAGTAAAAATACATGACTTCATAACATGTAGCGTCTATAGGAGGAGATTGAAACTGCTGAACTCGCGGCACTATAGCTGCAGATGGACACTAACACTCAGAGCGAGTGAGTGAGTAGATCATTCTTAAATTAGTTGCGAGCTTGTGAGATTTGACATGTCTTGTTTATGCTGCTTGGGACCACAAAGTTAGGAGAGAGTGAAAAAGGACCAGTTGGTGAATTGACTCCGAAAGCAGCATTAACAGATTATGAAGAGATTTTAATTTAAGCACCCACCACTCCACTGCCACGTGCTTCCTCGGTTAGGAGGAGGAGGGGTGCAGCAAAGGAGCTGCAACACGGTGTTGTGTCATTTTTATACTGTGTGTAACTCCAGGATTTCAATCGGATGTATTTCTGTGTACACTGTAACAGAGCTAACAGCTCTGTGAGGCTGTGATACTCGTGAAGGAAACCGAACTGTAAGGTGGATAAAAGCTGAAGTCAGAAGTTTGTTTTTTGATCATCATATTGGGATTTTGTGTCAATCCATCCAGTAGATGTTGACATATTTTACTGGATATGTGAAAATAGTTTATTCTGGTAGCTCTAGATGAACATTTAAAGAACAACCAAAGTTATCAGGATTAATCATCTGGGGTTGTCGAATATTTTCACCAAATTTTTTGTTGATTCATCCAATATTAGTCAAGACATTTCGGTCTGGAAGTGTTGGAACAAAGGACTGACCAAGGAAGACCTGATGTGTAACTGCAAGCACATCTGTCCAGGTTTAAAGCAGATCTCACACTGGTTGTGGCTTTTGTTGTCGAGTAGTAAAATCCGACCATATATGTGGTTTTGAGTCAACTGCTGAAACTACGCACCAGCTCACAGGATCTGATTAGTCTCCAACACGCAGTAAATACCAGCTGATCATGTCGGACATAAGCAGCTGGGAAAGGTCATCTGCAGTGCAACATGCCTCAAATATGTGATTTCTCCTCATACTCTCCCTCCTGCTGCCTCTCTCCTCTGCCAGCTGAAGAATAAGTTCATGAAGAAGATTCCTCGAGATGCCGAAGCGTCCAACGTCCTGATTGGCGAGGTGGATTTTCTGGACAAACCCTTCGTCTCTTTTGTGCGTCTGGCTCAGGCCACGACTCTCGGAGGCCTCACTGAGGTCCCTGTGCCGACGAGGTGGGTGTCTCTTATGTCTCCCTGTTTATCTCTCTCTGTGTGTCTGTGCGTTTATCGGCCTCATGACCTTCTGCTCTGATAGGTTTCTCTTCATCTTACTCGGTCCTCACGGCAAAACCAAGTCCTACAATGAGATTGGCAGAGCTATCGCGACGCTCATGGTGGATGAAGTAAGTGACCACCGCTGTCCCACCCTGATAGATTACGCTCATACACATTTGTCGCGTTGATTTTGTTTCTTTACTTCCTGTCAGCTGTTCAGTGATGTCGCCTACAAAGCCAGGGACCGTGACGACCTGATTGCGGGTGTGGATGAGTTTCTGGATGAGGTCATTGTCCTTCCTCCAGGGGAGTGGGACCCGAAAATACGCATCGAACCTCCAAAGAAGGTTCCATCGGCAGATATGAGGCATGTACATTTAACCAACCTTATTCATCCTTTTTTGGCCACTTGGGGGCAGCAAAAACAAGCTGTGAACACATCATCGACATATTATCACCTTTTAAGTTGATATCTTGAACAAACAGTTGCTTATTTACACATCCAGCATTTACAGAGTAACATAATCATTCATTTGGCCCCTGGATGAAGTCCAATTTTTGGTTTCTACAAGGGATGTCACAATACTATAGATTTACTAGACAATACCGGTGAACTTCCACAATTCTCAATACCAATTCAATACTACGATAAGAAACAAAAACAAAACAATAAATCACATCAAATGTATTCAACATTCTTTTTATTAAAAAAGACATTGGAACATTTCAAAATTTCAAAACAACAGTGGCCCATTTTCTTATTATCTTAACTCAGGTTGAACCAAGTTAGATGTGAAAATATTCTGAGAATAACTGGGTTTGGGGAGCATTGTGAGAACTGAGTCAAACAGGAGAGAGGGGTAAGACACACTTACATAGGTGTGCACAGGTGGTAGGATTAGTGAGTGAATCATCTTCTGTCCCTGACGCCTTCGTCTGTTCTCACGTTCCCCGCAGGAAGTCCGTGCTGAACCTGAACGAGCTGGGTCAAATGAACGGCTCGGCCGGCGGTGCAGCTGGAGGAGAAGACGAAGAACTTCCAGCTCCACATGAGCTTGGAGAGGAGCTGAAATTCACTGGGAGGTACGAGAGGACTGTATCATATGTCACAGGGTCCAGTTACATTCTGGTTCTGTCGTCCTGATGATGTGCTCAACCTTGTTTCCAAAGGTTCGGAGGAGGATTGTGGCTGGACATCAAACGGAAAATCCCGTGGTATTGCAGTGATATCTACGACGGCTTCCATATCCAGTCTATCTCTGCTGTGCTCTTCATCTACCTGGGCTGCATCACCAATGCCATCACCTTTGGAGGACTGCTAGGGGATGCTACCGACAATTACCAGGTCTTCATAAAGGCTGCAACATAACGAACCAATCCAGAAACTCTCCAGCTACAACCATATCTGACTGTTCTGTCTCTGTATGTCCCCTCTCTTCTCCAAGGGAGTGATGGAGAGTTTCCTTGGCACCGCTTTAGCAGGGACTGTCTTCTGTGTGTTTGGTGGGCAGCCTCTCATCATCCTCAGCTCAACTGGACCCATTCTCATCTTTGAGAAACTGCTTTACGAATTCAGCAAGTGAGTAAAAGCACGCAGATGTGTACAGTGCAGACAAACAAGATGAGAAGCGATGTCAGCACTTTCTCTCTTCACAGGAACAATGGTATAGACTACATGGAGCTGCGTCTGTGGATCGGCCTTCACTCGTGTCTGCAGTGTTTCCTTCTCGTTGTCACAGACGCCAGCTACATTATCAAGTACATGACCCGCTTCACAGAGGAGGGTTTCTCCAGCCTCATCTCCTTTATATTCATCTCTGATGCCATTAAGAAGATGGTAGGTGACATGTTGTCATCATAGACTGTATATTTAAAAAACAGTCGTAGTGTCTGTGACGTCTCCCACAGGTTTCTGAGCATTCAGTGTGAAGCTCAGTGTGGTCGGCTCTGTCCGTCGTCATCCTAAAAGTCTTGACTCTGCCAGCTACCGGGTAATACAAAAATGAGCAAATAAATGTGGGTGGAGCTGAGGCTGACTGAAGCCTGGTTACTGCAAACAGCCACATGAGACTCAAAGCTGCCACACACTTAATTATGCTTAATTTTAACCTTAATATAATTTAAACAGGTGAGTTATATAGGGGGTCATTAAGGGGGAAATTATCTACAGACACCAAAAGGCTGTAAACATGTTTATTTCTGCTGTAAAGTAGGACAGTTTAATATGGGGTAGATTGACTCACTGCGGGAGCCAGCCTCTAGTGGTTATTAGAGGAACTGCAGTTTAGGTTACTTCTGTGCTTCGTTTGCAGCCACAAAGGTTGCCACTTGGTTGGTTGAACACCTAATGTTCAGATCTAAAGCAACAACACTTAACACAGGATACAACTGGTTTGTTTTTCACAGATTGGAGCATGGAAGTATTACCCAATCAACCGTGGCTTCAAGCCCGACTACATCACTGCCTATAAGTGTGAATGCATCGCGCCAGACCAGGGTGAGTCCTCTTTTTTCTTTTCTTTACATGTTTTCTTAGTCTTTAAAGCAAAATATGACCATATTTAAGAGCATCATATTAGTAGGATAAAAATTATTCCTCACCTAATGTGTTCATAAATGGTTACTGGAATAAATAAAATATTTAGAGATGGAGCTCAAAAAATGTTAGCTACTATAAGAAAGGTTCAACATTTTAGTAAATATGCTTTCTATTTGAGATGAAAAGATGTATATCAATCAATCTCGTGTCTGTGCATTAAATACAGAGCTTGAGTCAGGATGTGGTTAGTCCTGATTAGTATAAAGAGTGCAAACAAAGGGAAACTGCTAGCCTGGTTCTGTCCACAGTTCAAAAGTCCACCTACCAAACACCACTAGAGTTCACTAATTAACACATTCTCTTTTTTATTTGATATATACTACTATATATTTAGCAGGACAACTTTAGGTTTTCATTCATTCTGTGTGTTAATTACGACATTTTAGTGTAATTAAATGCACATTTTTACTCTGTGATGATTTGTGTATTCTGTCTGTTTCTGCCTCATTTTTGGATGCTTTCTGAAAAAGTGAGTATGCACCTGTAGACCCTGCTAGAGCATGTCTGAACATGTAAGTTCAGCAAAAAACATCTTTAGTTAGTGTTTATTAAGAGTTTAACACTGAAAAACTATGTGGGTGTGATTTGGTCAGATTTTCTACCCAGTGGCCTGGTAGCAAAAGCAAACAACCCCACAACTATCAACAGATTTTGCTTTAAGTGCTGCTGTGATTGGTGCACATACTGTATGTGACACACAGCTGTCCAATTGAGCCCCGCCCACTTTAAACCAGAAAGAAGAAAAATGTGTTTTCAGGGCCTTTAAGGTTCCTTCACAGAGGAAAAGATGAGTACAATTAAGAATTTGGGCTGATCACTGGAATCCAATGTGGAGCAGCTTCACCAGAGTCACATTTATCTTTATCAGCGTTCATCAATGGATGGCCGTATAGTGGCTCGTTCTTCAATACACTCCCTTCACATCAATAGGAAATAGATATGTTCTAATTAATTCTGGTTCATTCGTATCAAACACAGGGTTTTACCTGTGATGTTACCCATCAGTCATTGCTTTTCCTCTCTTTCCCTGTTTGTGTTTTCTCTCTTTAGCATCTGCGCTGGGCTTGAATGTTTCAGCTCCACTCTCAGACGATAACATGACTCTGCTGGTAAGTGACAGAAACACAGGAAACATCAATCACAGTTCTCTTTGTGAAAGTAACACTAAAGTAACTGAGTTGCACTTCCGTTTGTTCAGGGTTTTGTACTGTATATTAAAGGCCTGTCCCAAATAGAGGCCTGGTTCTGAATAAAGGCAGGTTGAGGCAGTGATGGAAGCAAATAAAATAAAAAGACTGGCCTATTAATTGATATAAATTTAAAGTTTTTCACTGACAAATGTGTAATTTGACCTTTAATGTGCTTGTTTTATTGTTTTTTATGAAGTTGTTTTGGTGAACCGAAGACAAATTTCCATCCCGCTTCTATTCTAAACGATGGTGTCATGCTCTCTCTTTCTGGAGTAATACTCGGCGGGCGGTTACAGAGCACCGTGGCTCTGTATTCTCTTTTCTAGTGTTATCGCTTGTTTTTTCTCTCTTTCGTGTCTGCTGCTTCTCCCACTCCTTCGGTTTTCCCTTCTCTGCCCTTTTCCACCCCTCCATCTTCAACCCCCAATCCCACCCTGTTGCCCCTCATCCTCCCTTGTCCTGTTTCTGTAGTTTAACTTGACAGACCTGGACTGGAGTCAGCTGAGTAAGAAAGAGTGTGTGAAGTATGGCGGTGCGCTGGTGGGGAGCTCCTGTAAGTATGTTCCTGACCTGGCCCTCATGTCCTTCATCCTCTTCTTTGGGACATACTCCATGACTGTTTCCCTCAAGAAGTTCAAGTTCAGCCGCTACTTCCCCACAAAGGTAAGACAGCAGGAACGATCTGGAGGCTTGTATTGTTTCCCCACAGTGGCTCTGATGCTGTTCAACCTGCAAACAGTCAACCTGCATGTGAAGGTCTAGCTTCCTGGAGTATGGCGGATATTTATCAAAGCATGAAAGCATTCCAGTATAGAGGATAAGGCTGGTGAAATTCTTTGTTTTTTAATTTATGGTGGAAACTCCTTTTGGCTTCTGAAGGCATTTGAGCCACTGATTTAATTATTGGAGGAAGTAAATGTGTGTTTCTAAATATAACTCGATACCCACTCCTGGATGGCCCATTACTCTGAAACCCCAATAGTCTGACAATGTCCCAATTGGATAATGAGTGTTAGCATTCTTACATTCACTAATTAGCACTAAATACAAAGTACTCAACCCCACATATCACAATCCCACAATGTTCTATTTGACACTTGCTACAGTTTTCTGAAGTTTCTTTCATGGGATTTGTTGAGGATAAAAATAACATTGAACACCAGCTTCATCCTTTAAATCTACACCAGCTTTTGTTTAAATAAACTGCCATTAGCAGTCATCCCTTACCTCCTCCTTACCCAAACCACCTGTAAACCTCCATATCTGCCCCAGAGTGTCCTCCCCCATGCTCTCTTCTCCTCTCCCCGAATGTGCTCCAGCTCCGTTCCCTCGTCAGTGATTTCTCCATCATCATTTCTATCCTGGTCTTCTGTGGACTGGATGGCCTGCTGGAGTTGGACACCCCCAAACTGCACGTGCCCACTGAGATCAAGGTCCGCTCTTCCCTCAAATACCAGCTTCATCTGTTCCTCGACTTCTTTACGTCACCGCTTGGATGCTTTTCTTTCCCGTAGAGGATGTAGTGTGTTTATTTATTCATCAATGATTCATCAATGTAATGATTCTTTCTTCTTTTTCCTGTCTTCATGTCCTCATGTTCGCACCTTTTTCTTGTGCTTTCATGTATGTTGTCCCCTCCTCACCGCTTTATGTATCCTCCCTCTGTCTCCCTGTGTGTGTGTGTGTGTGTGTGTGTGTGTGTGTGTGTGTGTGTGTGTGTGTGTGTGTGTGTGTGTGTGTGTGTGTGTAGCTGAGGAAGCTAATCAGTGATTTTTCCATCTTCATGTCAATCATGTGCTTTGTGGGTCTGGATATGTTGATGGGGTTAGACACACCCAAACTAATCGTTCCAACTGAGTTCAAGGTATTTGATTTCTCTGTAAAAGATGTGTTAGATGTATGTGTGTCTGTTTCTGTGTGCATGCGAGCACTGGTGGAATGATATTGATGAGAACAGTGAATCAATATAGTATATTGGTCACATGTAATGAGTCGCAGTGAAATGGAATCACACCAGTACCTTCAATTTGGGCATTAAAACAGTGGTTTCCCAACCTGGGGGTCAGGACCCCCACTAGGGGTCTCCGAAGCTCCACAGGGGGTCGCAAGGCCTTATTGATTTTACCAGGTGTAAGAACCGTATATACCAAGTAGACCTATATCTCAGCATTTTGTTGATTTCTGTGAAACAACTAAATAAAAATGTTATTTTTCGGACCAAAAATGGACAGAATGGTATAAACAAATATCTAAAAACATCCGCAAAACTCATCTCTGCGTCAATATTCATCAAAATCATTCATTTTACACAAACTTCCTGCAGTTATTTCACTGTTTGGGTTCATTGTACAGTTTATCAGTTGTTCTCGACTGTTATACATTGAATATAATATGAATATTGGTCAGAAATGGTAGAAAAGGCTTCCTTAAGAAAAAAGGTTGTGAGTAAAAAGTTTAAGCTTCTTCTTTTTTCTGCTACTTTATACTTGAGTTAGTTATTTTTCACATTACAATTTAACATTTATTTTCTGAACATTTGTTAAATACAATGCATTGTTAAAGATTAAACCAGTGGTTTACAACAGTTTTTGGCTTGAAGAAAACTTCACTCAGGTTCCAGATTGAAGAATCTTTACCGAAGCTTCTCTGATCTCGATCCTGAAGACAATTTATATAGTTTGCCCAAATCACAGCTGTGCTCTCCTCACAAAGGAACAAAAGGTTTTTAATCAATGTAAAATAGTTTGTCTCATTACATCATTATTAGATAGAGACTAAATCAGGAAACAGCAAAGACAATATCAGGATAAGATCTAAAAAAAAGATAATATTTAGGTAATACATTTTTCTTTCACACCCCCAATTTCAATTTATATTATTTGTTATTATTATAACAATATTATATAATATGTATGCATATATATTCTGTAGTATATAAAGGTATGTATATGGTGTGTATATAAAATAGTAATAATAATAAATAATAATGATTTTAATGCCTTTCCCACCACTGCATGCTAGAAAGAATCACTGTTATCAATGTAGATGTTTCACCTTCTCATCTGTTCATCTGTACCATATATTGATGTTTAATTATTGTGTGTGTGTGTGTGTGTGTGTGTGTGTGTGTGTGTGTGTGTGTGTGTGTGTGTGTGTGTGTGTGTGTGTGTGTGTGAGCAGCCCACGCGGTCCGACCGTGGCTGGTTGGTGATGCCGTTTGGTAAGAACCCCTGGTGGTGGTATGTGGCCAGCTTCGTTCCCGCCCTCCTGGTCACCATCCTCATCTTCATGGACCAACAGATCAGCGCTGTCATCGTCAACCGCAAAGAGAACAAACTAAAGGTCTGAGACACACAGAGGAGACGATACAGAGCTCAATAATACTCAAATCTAAAGGCATGAATACGAATAATTATTTTATTTTACAACACAATTTAAATTCAACAACAGCAGATATGGAAATATGATCAGATGTGTCTCACCAGAAAGGTCGTCAGTATTTTCTTAACTGGCCAACGAGCTGTTATCAGTAAATATAAATGTATGAATATTATGTCTAATGTTGAGTGTATCACTAATGTAACATCTTAATAAGGGAGTTTATTTAAAGGTCCAGTGTGTAACACTGAGGAGGATCTATTGTCAAAATATAAAATTCATCGCATGTTTTCATTCATCAGCTGAGAGTAAGAATCACTGTGTGTTTGTTACCTTACAATGTCTACAGAGGGAGCGGGTCCTCTACTGGCGGAGTCCGCCATGTTAAACCGCCATGTTTCTACAGCAGCCCAGAACAGACAAACCAAACACTGGTTCTAGATAGGATGTTTCATGGCCACCGTAGTTTGGGGAGGGCGGTGCTCACTGATTACTGTACAAACACACAACTTTATCAGTGATGTGGGTGAAACTGGATCATATTTTATGGAGAGAATATTGTCTGGTTTTCCCTCTTCCTGTTTCACCTGGACTTTAAATATCTATATTGGTCCAATCCGATGTATTCCAAATTGTTCAGCCTCACAATCCCAGTTGGACTTGAGTGATTTGTCACTTCCTGTTCCCAATTTGCAGAAGGGTTGCGGCTACCATCTGGACCTGTTCTGGGTGGGCGTGCTGATGGCTGTGTGCTCCTTCATGGGTCTGCCCTGGTACGTAGCAGCCACTGTCATCTCCATCGCTCACATCGACTCTCTGAAGATGGAGAGCGAGTCCAGCGCTCCTGGAGAGCAGCCACAGTTCCTCGGAGTCAGGTAAGACCACCCTGACGCTGCGTGCGTGTGAATCTTTCATCGCCGTACGCATTTAATACTTCATGATTCTTCATTTGCAGGGAGCAGAGGTTGACGGGTATCCTGGTGTTCGTTCTTACCGGGCTCTCAATTTTCCTCGCTCCGATTCTCCAAGTACGTTAGCAGATGCATGAAGAAGGAAGATTATGTTTCTTTTTCTTTTATTTACTGCACACTGCTCCTGTAATGTTGTATTTTAACTGCTGTTCTGTTTAATTCAGTACATCCCCATGCCGGTGCTGTACGGAGTGTTCCTTTACATGGGAGTGGCCTCACTGAGTGGCATCCAGGTACATACGGGAAGAGTTTCTCAATGGGCAGCAACTAAAAATGTCATTTATTGGTACAAAACAACAGTTCTGACTGTGAATGGTCATCTTTTTAATTAACAAAATACTGAGAATAGAAAATAAAAATTTTGAAAAATGTACTTCTATAAGGCATCTACTGTAATTATAATTAGTTAGATAACAGTTTTCTTTAAGTCAATACCTATATTATTGATATCATTTGAAAAGAACTGATAACAATATATTAGCCATTATCTACTGTATAAACCCAATATGATCATTTAACTTAAATATTTGTTGAAACTGATTCAATAATTACAACTAACTCCATTTTGTGAGTAATCTTTTTTAACTTAAACTTAAATTTTCTTTGTGTTTCATAAAACTTTCAGTGTAATCCATTTAAATTTTTATTGCATTACAGTGTAACATACATACAAAATAGAACATTTTTGAGCTGTAAACTAAGTAATATGACTGTACTGTGGTATCAATGCTGGTGTTAATATTGAATATTGATTCTCATCTAATTTATTACTGATTGTATACTGATTGAAACGCATCGTTCACAGGCGTTAATGCTAGTTTTTGCATTATACTTAAAGTAAAATAGTATTTTTATATTTTGACTGCCCACAGATACACACACATACATACCGGAGAGTTAGCCTCTGTGAGTTGGGGTCAAACTGAAGTCATTATTGCCATTTCTGACCTAAAAGTTACTTCATAGTTTCTGATTAACTTTCTCTCAGTCAACTAATCAATGTTTTGTCTAATTGTTTCAGCTGGGAATAATTAATTTGACATTTGCAGAGAGCAGAGAGCATATGAGAACATATTCAGTATCTTTCTGTTTCAGTTCTGGGAGCGGATCAAGTTGTATCTGATGCCACCCAAACACCAGCCAGACTTCTCCTTCCTGCGTCACGTCCCGCTGAGACGCGTCCATCTTTTCACCCTCGTCCAGATCGTGTGTTTGGCCGTCCTCTGGATCCTGAAGTCCACCTTCCTCGCCATCATCTTCCCAGTAATGGTGAGTGTCATCCTGTTGGTGGTATTAACGAAGGTACTGAATGTGTTGAATCACAGTTTCAAATTAAAGATGCTGAAGAGGTTCAGTGTTAATGTTGGGTTTACCTCCCGCCTGCCACTGTAGAGCCAGACAGTCCAAATATCCTTCAAAGGGGAGAAAAGAGGGCAGGAAGTTGCAGCAGAGATGGCTGACAGTGACTGTGTTATCGAACTAACATAATACCCAAAACACTTTAAGCCCAACACGCTAACATTTTAAGCCCTAATATCCCCTCAAGTGAACAGTGATCAAATTTGACACTAATGCTCAGATTGCTGTCAGACCGTAATTATGAGCTGGAAAATAACCTCCTGGTTGTGATTCACAGTCGGAGATCTTGCAAATACCTGACAGCTAAAGTTTAACACCTCCGAGTGTCAACAAGCTGGTGACAAAATGGCTGCTGAGCAAATGTTTTTATCTGGTCTCACTTATTAAGAAACTGCTCTATACATGTACAACAGCTTAAAAGAAAATATAATTTAGGCTTTTTATCTGATGGGACTGTGATGCCAACAATGGAAGAGACTCTCATATAATAATGTGTTTAAGCTTGTAAGTCGGCACAAAGAGAGGTCTTCCTGTTGCAGCGTAAAAGAGCTCCAGTATTTAGCTATTAATTAACTGTAGATTTTAGGAGAGAAGCAGACATTCTTGACAGCAGCACTGTTGAAAAACAGGAGAACCACAGGTGTAAGGAGTCATTTTATTATGTACAAAACTGGATTGGATTTTTTTTCTTAGACATTTTTAAAGGTCCAGTGTGTAACATTTAGGAGGATCTATTGTCATCTTCATATGTATGTTTTCATTACTGTTTAATCACCTGAATATAAGAATGATTTTGTTTTTGTTACCTTAGAATGAGATGTTTTTATCTGTGGCGGAGTCCGCCATATTGAACCACCATGTTTCTACAGTAGCCCAGAACAGACAAACCAAACACTGACTCTAGATAGGACTTTTGGTAGTTTTTTACAGCCTCCTACACACTTAGAAGGCGAGTGGTATTCTCTTAGTTGCAACTTCACTGCTAGATGTCACTAAATCCTACACACTGGTCTTTTAAGTGCATTAATTATTTTTCTAAAAAGTACCTCAAGTGAGATTTAAAACTTTTTTGGGAAACTGAGAAAGTTTTTCCAAATTTTGTCGTTTCCATCAATCTTTTCTAATGCGATACTTCAAAATACATTTATGGAAACGCACTTCACAGCCTGTTTTCACTCCCAGGTCAGCAAATACAGATGCGAGCAGTGTTCAGATAGCTGCAATCTGCAGCTTCACCACTAGAAGTCGCTAAATCCTTCTCTGGTCCTTTACGTACAGGATGTGAATACTTCCTCCACCGCTGGTTAATCGTCTTTCCTCTGTGTGCAGATTCTGGGTCTGATGGTCGTACGGAAGCTGCTGGATCTGATCTTCTCGCAGCACGACTTGGCCTGGCTGGACGACATCCTGCCAGACAAAGACAAGAAGAAAAAGGAGGATGAGAAGAAGAAGAAGAAGGATAAGAAGTCGGTGGAGCCAGAGAGCGACGAGGAGGTGAGGGGGAAACTGTGGGCAAACATGAAACTAAACTCAAGATTACACACAGATACTGCTTCTGCCTGCCAAACACACAGCTACTGTAATCTCCAGAGTTGGCGAGTGTTCTCTGGGTTTACTGTCCATTTAAATGTGTGTCGCTCCATCTGTTGTGGGTGTGTCGATCCTCGGTTTGTTTTCTCTGACTAATACTGTGTGTTTCTCCTCTCTGTCCCACAGTGTTGCTGAAAAGGCACTGTACCACACTTACTACAGTCTTTTTGTCTGTCCGTTCTCCTTTTAGTACGTCCGTCCACCTCGCCCACTGTGTTCACTCTGTTTGCATCTTTGTGCCCATTATGTCTGAACTGAAGATGCTCCACTGAAGGATGAGGCTTGTGATATTCTATAGTTTTGTCAACAAATTCAATGAAAACAACAAAACTGACCTTGTCTTTAAGGTTATATATATATATTTATATATATATATATTATAGGAAATTTGCTGCCACTAGATGTCTCACTAGAGCACCAGACTTCATTGACAAAACCAGTAATTTTAGAAACAAACAAACTCATCTTTGTTAGGCTTTCCACAGTCTTTCAAAGCAACGCTGGTTTGGTCAAAAGAAACCTTTAATTGATCGAGTCAGATGGGAAAGTATTTGGGAACTGTCAACAGGATTCCCACGCGTCATGGAAAACCTGGAAATTTAGAGACTAGTTTTCCAGTCGAGGAAACACCTGGAAATTGATTAAAATTACCAAATATCCTGGAATTTTTTTTTATTATTGTATTTCATCCTGTGCTGTGGACACATTAATGTTACTGTTAGAGGAAAGCTGCAGTCAATGGACCTTTTTTCACAGCAGCCATTTTGACATGAAACAGTAGGGTAAACAGGTGATACCAATGATACTAATGAATATTGGCTCACGGGAAAGGTTCTACTAAACTTAATGGAACAGAGCCTTCATTAGTATCATTGGTGACACATGTTTACCCTACTATATCATATCAAAATGAAAAGGTCTTTTTGGAAAGTTGAGAATTCGGCTGTGGTGAGAACAGCTGTAACATCACGATCACTCTCCACCAGACTCCATAGACAAAAACGCAGATTTTACCTCACAGACCAGTGTATCATCCTAACTCCCATTAAGCTTTTGTTGCTTTTGTAACTTTCAGAAATCTACTTTGAACCTTAACTTCATTCAAGCGTATTTACTGTCAGTTAGCAGTGAGGTACTGCCTTTTAGTGCATCTGTGACGTCCTGTCTGTAGCTCTAGTAGTAGTTTAATGTTTAAAAAAGGGCCAGTGCTATCAAACAAGATTCGATTCTATCAAACAAACGGGAGGAAATGTGTTGGGGACTATTTTCAGCGGCGGATTAATCCACATTTGGTGCTCTAGTGAGTGTTTGTGGCAGCAGGACAACAACAGTGTGTCACAGAGGAAGAAGATCATATTTTTTGAGGGTAACAAAAATACAGAATATATTGAGTCTGATCCTTTAAAGTCACAGTTTGTCCTGCATGCCGACAACTTCCTGTTTCTGTCGCTCAGCCCAACAGCTCCGCCCCCCCTCCAGTGAAGATCGCCATGGAGGCCCTAGAGCCAGTCCCCGTCCCTGTTAAACCCCCCACCCAAAACCAAACCCCTGAGTGTGAGTACATCAACCCTTCCCTCCTCATTGTTTGACTCGTTGTTTAAGCCTTTGATGCCTATATGCCTAATAATAATAATAATAGTAATAATAATAATAATGTTTTAATAGAGTGGATGTTGCTCGTGACCATGGATTTCACATTGGTTGCTTTTACATGTGCACAATAATGTGACTGTGAGTGATTCAATACACTGTTATATCCCAAACTACAAATAATCCCATTTTTGATGTGCCTGTGAACATAGCCAGTGTGTTCACTGTATTAAAGATGTAAACGTAACTGAAAGGTCAGTGGTCCAGAGCAACCTCTAAAGATGGTGTTACTGCAGTGTGAGTCTGTTTCCAGCTGGTATTAACCTGCGTCTTTGCTGATCCGATCAGACGTGGACAGCTTTAATTACATCACTTTACACCGGCTGTACCGCACTCAGAACTGTGTCAACCTGTGTCCATTATTACTGTCCTTTTTTAACTACTTTTTTTAATCTAAGTAAGAAATAACTGAATCTGAAACGTTTTCCGAATTTACAAGAAGGTCCAAATAATGAACAATCTGTCGTAGATAACCTTTCACAAAGTTTATAAAGTTTCTCCTCACTCAGTAACTCCCAAAAAGTTTTTTTTTTTTTTTTTTCCCTAATTTTTTTTTTTTTTTTTTTTTTTTTTTTTTTTTTTTTTTTTTTTTTTTTTTTTTTTTTTTTATTTTTTTTTTTTTTTTTTTTTTTTTTTTGGGGTTTTTTTTTTTTTTTTTTTTTTTTTTTAATTTTTTTAATAATAAAATACGTTTTAATTAAACATTCCTGATCAAGTAGCTTTAGCAATTTTAAGCAGCACTGACTTCATTTTGTTCTGTGAAAACAAAAAACCCAGTAAAAACGACTTAATCAGGAATATTTCTGTAACTTAAAAAACTAAGTTAGTGTCACTTAAAATGTTTAATCAGTCAACTGTTTCTTTGAGTTAAAATAACTAATCGGATCAGTGTTGTATTTAAAGCTGTCCACTTCACGTTAACACCGGCTGTGAACCGGCTCTATGTGAAGCAACAGATTCTCTTTTTTTGACAGTTTTGTTCATCTTTATTATCTTTGTGTCTGTGTTTGTGTCTGTGTTGATCCGTGTTCACATGCCTGTTTGCACGTTTTGTTTTGTGCTACATGTTCTCTCTCTGTGTGTGTGTGTGTGTGTGTGTGTGTGTGTGTGTGTGTGTCTCTGTGTGTGTGTGTGTTTTCTTACAGGAGACGAACCCGTACTCGACGGTCACGTCCGATCAAACTGAGTTAGACCGCAGGTACTGTGTGCTGAAACTGCACGTGCCCTACAGCGATCTGCTTTACTCACCTGACACACACACCGGCTGGGACAACAACACCGTCACCTTCAGACAACCAATCACAACCTAGTTACCACACAGAAACACACACTCTGCTCAGCTTCAGCAGCCGCATCACTGGTGTTTATACGCACGGCGGTGATGAGTTTAGACATTTTATGTGGGTTGTTTTTAAACCGCAGGCGTGTACAGTAGTTATAAATATGTAGATCATTCAGTGCACTTGCATAGGAAGTACTGTGTACAATGCAGTGCATGAAACTGCCATTTTAATATTCGCTAAGCTGTACATACTCTAGGTCAGAGGTTTTCAAAGTTGACACTGTGACCCCCCCCCAACCCTGCTCTAACATTTCCCATAATGCTTTATAATGCTGTTTTGTTTTTTTTGCCTGTTTGTGTTTATGTTTTTGCAAATTGGCACCATGAATATTACGCTGAATTAGCATTTCCTGTTTGCAGTGTACCCATGGATGTACGGATGAGTCTCACTGGATTTCTTTGATACTGATACTGCGTTTAATAATGCAGGACGACGCTGTATAGTTTGTGTTCAGGTCTTCAAACTTTAAATCTTAAAAAATAATCCAAACTGTAAAAATAACAATTCCATTTGGTTTTCTTCACAGAAATACTTATCGCATGAAATAAAATAGTTTCAGTTAGTTCTTCCACATTATTAATGTCAGCACAACTCATCTAAATAATGTTTGCAGGTTAAAAGGTTTATTTAAATCAATTAATTAGAATGTTAATCTTGCAACCATTTAATTAAGTGGTGCTAATCGGTCCACTGAATTACTTAAAGTACCACCTCTATGAGCTGCTCCCTTTCACCTGATGCAGTATCTTTGACTCCCCCCCAACCCCATTGACTCCCCCCTGGGGAGGCGCCTCACAGTTTGAAAACCTCGGCTCTACGTCTGTTCTTTAACGCCACTTCCTGTAGTCTCCTGCTGTTTGTGTATTTAAATAAATAAACAATAAATCAGATGTAAGTTTCCAGGTCTCACTGTGAACCTGGTTCAGGTTTCAGGTTTGGATCTGTTGTCTCGTCTAATAAAATCTGACATTTTTAACACCAAACTTCACAAGATAGTTATTTTATAGCTTATTCTGTTGTAAATATTTTTTATGAGTTTTTGTCTTTAAAGACCGATGGTTATTTCAGGGAGTTGTGATAAACTGAGGTGTTTATCATGATTAAAGGATACAAATAGTGTTATATATTTTTAAAATCCCAATTAAATCCCAAAATGACTCAAAGTACACACAGGCTGCTGTCAGTGTGCACTTTAAAAACAGCTGGAACTTAATGCAGATTCTTGTTATTTATGTTTAACAAACATTGGTGGATTAATGTGAGGCAAAATAAATACAACTGATAAATTAAATTACACCAGTGTTAATCTTTAATCTCCTTTCTGTTTCTTAAAGATACATCATCGCTATTACAGGTGCTGATGATGTGACTTTGGCTATAACTTTATGCAATAAGCTGTCTGTATAATGGGATCATGTTAAGATTTTGGTTGTTTCTTTTCCCTCCTTTCCGTAAGTGTGAGAAACACACACTAAAACAGAGAGCACTCCGGCACCACGACGCATTTTTAGTCTGACCCCGTTTACTATTAACGGTAGTATATTAAAGGTTATATGTACAACATTCACTGCACGAGAGCAGCAGACCAAAACAAACCAACACTACAGCACACCAGACTCCACTCACAAAAACACTAATTTTACACAGATTAAACTGTTCAGAAATCGAATGAAAGCTGTCTTTGTTAGTCTTCAATGTGATTTTGACAGGTCTTTAAAACGGATTGGATTAATGAAATTAATGTTAGTTGTATAAAGGAGCATTTTTCTTAAATTCTTAAATTGCATTCATGATGTTATTCAGAAGTTTTACTAGTTCGATCAAACACAAACGATATTTAGTTCATTATCATTCAAGACGACTAAAAAAAGACATTTTAGAAGCTGGAACCAGTTAAAATGTTGATGATTTCTTTGATTACATTATACATTATCACAGTATTTGTTTGTTGATCGATTACTCGACTGCTGGTTGCAGCTCAGTTACATTCGGACAGCGGAGGTGAAAACAAAGAACGTGTGAGGGGATATGAAGCAAATCTGAAAGCTGAAATTTGCTATATCATATTTCCCATAAACCCTTTTGATTCCTGTTGCTTTCACTTCCTGTCTGTGTGACAAAGGGCCTTTCTCATTTCTCTAATTTCTGCCTCCTCCTCTCCTCGTCTCCTCTCTCCTGCCTGTGAAATCAATCTCAGTGCAGCAGGAGGGAGGAGAGAGGAGGGAGGAGAGAGGATGTTGCTGATGTTTTTGGCACCGTGACGCATAAAAGAGGCGACCACGGCGGGAGCTCTGTACAGATGTATTGATAAGTCGCATCAGTTATTAGCTCTGTTCTAACCGCATGTCACATTTATACAGGTGGTTACCATGGTAACGACCAAAAAAAGCTCTTCAAATACCGACACACACACACACACACATTATAGACAACGTGTGTTTATATTTAATTATATTTAATCCAGCAGCCAGGACTTCATTTACTGAGAATATTAGTGAGAAATAATTATTGAAACGGTCCGTCTCTCACTTACAACTGAGGCTGTAACGAGTTGAGGAGACAAAATGGTTACAAAGTTCATCTTTATGGATGATATTGATGCAGAAGTGGACATATGATGCACTTTATCTCGAGTTTCTAGAGTTACGAGTTGCTACGGGCACGTTAGGAATTGTTCAAATGTGATATTTCTTAAAGGGAGTTTGGTGCAGAAGTACAAACCACAGTGAAAGACTCATATTTATAGTGAAAGCCGTGCATTCTTGTCCCTCATTCTACGCCACGCTGTCAGCTGAATTAGAAGTAGAATATAATAGTTTAATCTCTCCTCTGAGTCTCTCCTCTCTGGCGGAGAGGACTAAGAAGCGAGGAGTCGAGGACTGGGAGAACTGGGAGAACTGGGAGATGAGAAAGGCCTCCAGCTTTAGGTGCTGCAGTGTTTGAAGAACAGCGCCCTCTGCAGGAATCTAACCATCCCAACCAAACTCTCCTTCATGAGGCTATAAAGCACCTGTAACACACACACACACACACACACACACACACAGTGTCCACGTCTGAGTGTGTCTGAGCTTGTGTGTGTGTGTGTAAAAGTGTAACCAGGCCGGTTCCGCCCACTGTTCCCCAGCATCACCCTGCACCTGAAGATCTCCTGCCCCCCCTCACCCGCCCACTCCGAGACGAGCCTCGGCCCCGGGGACCCTCTTCCGTCGCCCCTGCCTCCGCGCCACCAGCCCGCCGTGCCCCGGGTCAGCATCCAGGTGGAGTCGGACTACGAGGAGTCCGGCTTCTGCTCCCAACGGCACCGCCGCCTTTACCCCCCCGGGGACCCGCCTCCACCCGAGGGCCACAGAGACTTTCCCCGAAAACTGCACTTCGGTGCCTCGTGTGCTGAGACCATTCTGTAAACACACACACACACACACACACACACACACACACACAGAGGTGCAAAGTGTTGCTCATAATCTGCCATGTGATGCCTCATCAGCTTCCAGGAAGTGCTCTCTCACTCTTATTCATTGGATTTTTATCAGATATAATGTATTAACCCCCCCCCGCCTTCCTGTAGTGACGATACAATAGCTGCAAAGAAACAACCAAAACATGCTGTTAATAATAATAATAATAATAATACTGATAATGAATGCATGAACCCACTCTGAACTTGTGTTAGTATTGTTGATCACCATTTGTTCTTTTGTTCTGGTGTGTATGAAGAACGGGTTTTATGTGCATTCTGGATGTAAAAGCACAGAAACTGTAATAAATTTAAACATTTTAAATCTGTTTATGTTGTTTGTTTTGTCCTTTAATCACTACAATTATTTTAGCTTCAGAAAACTGTTTGTGCTGTGACAACTGAAGAAACCGATGTCCCTTCAGCCTGTAATTATATAATGGTTTTATAAAGTCCTACATGGAGCCTGCAAAGGTATTTACTTCAATAACACGCAAGACAATTAGTAAAGATTGTGCTACTGTAAACCTCCACTGCACACAAACACTCTGTACATTGACTGTTTTATTAAATATAAAGAATTTAATATAAACAATGTTTTAGGTTAAGATTGAATGATTTACCAGCTGTAGAATTACATTAATTACAATAACTACTGTGAAAGGGGCCGTTACATTGTGATTCTGGTGTTGAAGTAGAGTTTGAAGCTTGTTCTTTTGGACTTTGTGCTTACTGTACGCTGTATTACTTTATCTGAGGCGAATGATCCGAGTACTTCTGGTGGACTGTATTGTGTCAAAGGTTGAATCTGAAGAGGGAAATATTCTTATATAGATAAAATATTTTATGAATCATTAAAAACAACAAAACGAGCAGGTGACAGTTCGAAGCCATTTATTAGTTAGGATAACGAGTAACAGCATTTCCATGAAGCTCATAATGAAAACACAACGAACATTTCAGGTCTAAAAGTGAACCTGATGAAGCGGTTAGTGAACTTCAGCAATGTTGGACCACTTTAACCACAAACACGGCCAATTACAAACATCCTGTTCTGTATTTTTCTAGATGAAAATTACAAGTTAAGTTCTGGAAGCAAATAAAAGCTTTAACTCTCAGCTAGGCGGTCAAAGTGCAAAGCAATATCATTAAAAGTCTGAAAGAAACCTTCAGGAATGTGCAACCTTTATTGAAATAAGGAAAAAAAAAAAGAATGACAGCTGATCGGAAGGAGCCATTTCAACACTGGAATAAAGGGAAGGAGGCGGAGACGTCTGGAAGCAGGAGCAGATTAGTTTCCTCCCCTCAGACGGAGCACCAGGTGGAGGGTGGACTCCTTCTGGATGTTGTAGTCGGAGAGGGTGCGGCCATCTTCCAGCTGCTTGCCAGCGAAGATCAGACGCTGCTGGTCTGGGGGGATGCCCTCCTTGTCCTGGATCTTAGCTTTGACATTTTCAATGGTGTCGCTGGGCTCCACCTCCAGGGTGATGGTCTTACCAGTGAGGGTTTTGACGAAGATCTGCATGCCTCCTCTGAGACGCAAGACCAGGTGGAGGGTGGACTCCTTCTGGATGTTGTAGTCGGAGAGAGTGCGGCCATCTTCCAGCTGCTTACCGGCGAAGATCAGACGCTGCTGGTCTGGGGGGATGCCCTCCTTATCCTGGATCTTGGCCTTCACGTTCTCGATGGTGTCGCTGGGCTCCACCTCCAGGGTGATGGTCTTACCAGTGAGGGTTTTGACGAAGATCTGCATACCTCCTCTCAGACGGAGCACCAGGTGGAGGGTGGACTCCTTCTGGATGTTGTAGTCGGAGAGGGTGCGGCCATCTTCCAGCTGCTTGCCGGCGAAGATCAGACGCTGCTGGTCTGGGGGGATGCCCTCCTTATCCTGGATCTTAGCTTTGACATTTTCAATGGTGTCGCTGGGCTCCACCTCCAAGGTGATGGTCTTACCAGTGAGGGTCTTCACAAAGATCTGCATCTTGACACTGTTGAGAGAAAATGTATTTAATGTTAGAAACCTGAACAGAGCCTGTGTATGCAGTTACACTGTAAACTAGAAGTAATGCTCTGCAGCTGTGTGTCAGTGAACGCCTCTTTAATAAAGAGTGGTTTGTTTACATCTACAAACATTTCCTACTCAGCTTCCCATGATTCAGTTTACCTGACTGTCACAAAAACAAGCTTTAAACACAATAAAATCTAATTATTAAGATGTGTATATTTATAAAATTACCAATTAATGGGAAAAATGATTATACATTATTCTGATAAAATTTGTCCACAATTTATTTTCAATTCTTACACAAAATGTTTGATGTGTATTTTAATCTTAGCCTAAATGTGTAAAGATGTATTTAACTATAAAACATGACAGTTGAGTTTTTAATACAAATAGTTTAATATTAATAATCCGACCGTTTTAATCGCGTTATTGAAAGAACTGCGCATGCGTTGTTCCATATTTCCGCCTACCAGACGCTTCCTGTCTGAGTCCGCCGGCTAACAGCTAACGAAGCTAAGAAGCTAATGTTGCTAAGGTAACCGGATGTCGCCAGAAAAATTGGACGTTTGTCGTCTTTGAGGCGACCACCGAGTTATTTCTCAACGGTTCCCCCTCCGTTAAAGGCTTATGGCTCCTTCTCTGCCGCGTTAACCGACTGAAATTAAAACTGAACCGGGATTTAAGCTGCTGTTTGACGGCGTTTTCTTACGCTAGGCCGCGGCTAGCAATGTTAGCTGCCGGGGGAAAAAAAAAAAAAAAAAAAAAAAAAGCTTCGTCATCCGTTACTAACAGCTGAATTAATGTCGATTAAACACACAAAACATCACATAACTACACATATATCACATCGGGTTTGAACACGGTGGATATTGTGGATAAAAAGTTAGATTACTTACAAGCAAATAGTTCCCTCGGGTGCTCGAACCTGTGACTTCTGAGTGCCGTCAGTTTGTTACGAACAAAGAGCCGCGGAGGGGTATTTATAGGCAACAAGTGAGCTATCCTTCCGCTGTCCCACCCAGGGGAACTATAACGTATGTTTATCTATTAAACACACTGTAAAATGATTTGGGAGTTAATTAAACGAACATATTCTCGATTAAAACACCATCACGGTTTTTATGGGGGAGAGAAGTTGCCTTTTTTTTTTAGACGAGAAGGTGAAAAGTGTCCGTTCACAGCCGACGCGTATGTATACATGATATTCAGGACAAGAGCAAACCGGAAACAGTCGACAACAACAACACATAATACTTTTATAATAAAAATCTTATTTTTTTATTCTTATCATAATAATACTAAATTATTATAATAATATAAATTATTATAATACTTAATATTCATAAGTATTATTATAACAATAATACATGTGGTTGTTGTTATTGTTGTTATGACTTGCATTTTATTTTGAAAATTCAACACTGTACTGTAAATAAAACAAAATAATACAGCCTCTTTCCAAACACAGAAAAAGGAAGAGTGAGTCCAAATAATAATAATAATTAAGATTAAGTCACAAAATAAATGCGATAAAAACAAACAAACAATAAAGATAAAACACAGGTAACCATACAAAACACAGTTAAAATATGAGAATAAACGAAAATCAAAACAACACGGCAACAACAGCAAGTTTTACAAGTCCGACATCCTGTAAACCTCATCCTTTAACCTCCACATTCACTCCAGGAGATATGTTTCTGTCCATATGCAACGACTTATGGAGAAAGAGGCTCTCCAGGTGTCTTCCAGATCCCGAGAATCATCTTCCTGCCAATTTCTGCCATCTGGGTTCGGTCCTTCAATGACTGCAAGAACTGATGATACTAATTAATTCTACAACATGGTTAAAGCCTCCTAAGGCTCTAAATACGAGGATCGACGGGCTTTACAGTCGGTTACTGCTGCAAATATAACACATAGTTATTGATTAGTCAAGTGTAGTCAGTTTATTTATACAGCTCGAAATCATGAGGGCCCTCCGAGGGCTGTACAGTCTGTGTAGCATTCAGTTCAAACCTTTGATTACTGTAGTTTCTGACTGAGATCACAAATAAAACACTTAGAAAACACCACCCAGTGCTGTGAGATATATCAGTGAGATATTCAGAGGAAACCCAGCCTCACTGAACACATGAAATACCGTCACTTTGTGTTTTCATCGGTCTGTTTATTTCTTTGCTTCTCCTGAAAACAAATGACCAAGTTAATGTGAGTTTTGGAGGTAAGCAGATATTGATTTTGAGCCTTTTCCCGGCAGCACAGCTTCAGACTGTTGAACAAGCAGAATCTTCTCACTCATTATTCCTAAATTGACAAAATATTTGATACCCTTTCCCAACAGGAGGAAACCTATTGATTTTAGTTACCCCGTGGCCTTTAACCCCCGGTGCCACACCTCATCACTATTCCATCATTAACCAGAAACAACTGTCTGTCTGTAAAACTAATGACTAGCTGGGGACATTATTAGGCTGACTACACTCTTTGTAATTGTCTTTTGATTTCAGATAATCATTAACGCAACATTTCTTGTCTGAAGTGCACATTTTGCCTCCGGTCCGACGTTTTAAAAATGAGCTGCTTGACATTTTAATATTCATCCCCTCGGGAAAAAAAAGAATGTTTTTTAAATGCCAGCTTCAGTTTGAGGCTTTCTGGAGCCACATTTTACACTTTCATTATGAAAATATGATGCAAAAATGCACTCACACAAGTTTTGTTTGACACGTTTGCAAACTTATTGAGTAATTACACCTGGAGGACTTTCAGAGCTTACTATCAGTTATAAAACAGGTTTTTTGAGTTTAGTATCCAGCGTATTACAGAGAGACTGTTAGCAGTCAGGCCTGTTTTAAAGGTCCAGTATGTGACATTCAGGAGCATCTATTGGCAGAAAAGTACAACAATATTATGTGTATTTTCATTAGTGTATAATCACCTGAATATAACAATCATTGTGTTTTTGTTACCTTAGAATGAGCTTTTTTTATCTACAGAGGGAGCGGGTCTTCTTCTGGTGGAGTCTGCCATGTTGAACCGCCATGTTTCTTCAAAAGTGCAGAACGGAAAAACCAAACACTGGATCTTTCTAAATGGGGCCGTTTTTTGGCTATAGCCCCGCCCTAAAGCATACCCTGCTTTATGGTCTGTTTTACTCTAAATGGGACCATCAGTTACTAAATGAACATCATGCTGTATGGAAGAAGACTGAAACTAGAGACTGAGACCAGAAACTCATCAGGAAACTGTTTACTGAGGGAATAAATCAACTGAGAAGTCGACTCATTTCTCCATAAGACTGAATGGTAATGGAGCCGCCCCCTGCTGGTTGTTAGAGAGACTGCAGGTTTAAGGCTCTCTCCATTACATAAACTGTCAGTGATTCACATTTGACTGAGTTATGAGTCTGAGTTCGATTTTTCAAGCAGGGATTTGAAACTAGAGTCAGAGCCACGGCTGCTGATCGACTGTGTTGAAACAAATCAATGAGACAAACTTAACTAACTCGTAGGCAAACACCTCACAGTGTGGCACTATAATATAAACTACTGTGGAAAAAGAGCCCAAGCTGATGAAATCCATTACGTATTTTCACGTGAATCCGTCTGCTCCCTGACAAATATTTGCTGCTTCTGTTGCCTCGGTGCTGTGGGTCTGACCCATGCTGTTAGCTGCTTGTAATATTAATGATCTCATTGTGTTGCTGCACTCATTATGAGCCTCTCTGGATAATGGTACCAGCTAAACGCCTTAAACGCAGACATAAACTTAATGCATTTCTAGCTCTGTGAATGCCTCTGGTTCATTAAGCTTGTGTGGGTAGCACTCGGTTTCCTCAGAGTGCCTGATATCATCAAGCATCTGGTTAAAAGCTTCTCAACAGTTGAATTAAGAACAGCAGGAAGGCCTCTGGAAATTGCTATCGTGGCAGGAAGCATTATCTTCTTATTAGCATTCAGGATGGCAACAGAAGGAATCATTAGGACATTAAAATGGGTTGGCGGTGGGGAAATGCTGCAGGGCAGGATTTGCCTCCCACCCATCAGGGTGTATTTGCAAGACAACAGTCCTGAGAAAAAGCTGCTTTTTTTTTTTTAGTTGAATAGAAGCCAGAACTGAAAATGTGCTGAAAGTTCATCCTTTAAAGAAACTTCTCAGGACTTCTAAGATTAAAATCTTCTTGTGTAGGTGATTGTGTTTTGCTGACCAGCTCCGAGCTAATGATGGGTGTAGATCAGGTAGCTAGTTATCTAGGGCTTTGCTAACATAAGCTAACTTTAGGTGCAACAAATCACAAATCTATGGAAGCCCATTTCTGCCAATGTGACGGAAAAAAAAAGATTCTGTAAGTCATTATAATGAGAAACTGTCTTAAAATATTGACTTAGCATCTCCAAATAATGACTTTCTCTCAAAGAAAGTTGACCGAAGTTCTGACCCAGGCCGGGTTTAATGTGTGTCATTATGAGTTTCTGTCTTGTGTCAAAGCTCTTGAAGTCATGAAAAGTAAAAATGTGCTGAAACATTGAAGTATAAAAGAGGAATATGACCTCCAGCCCTTTATTTTAACAGTTTCCGCCTCATGTTTGTTTTGTTTGATCATATTTGTATTTTGTATGAAGTTTGTTTGTGTTTATCTCATTTGCCTGAAATAAAAACATCTCTGAGTAAAAGAGTGAATTATTATATTTTCCCACACTTTAGAAGAAATATGACGCCAAAGAATTCAACAGAACACCTTTTAATATTTAAGTGTTTTGTACTTTTTATTCAAGTTTTACCATTTATTTAGGGAAACTGTTAACATTTGTCTTCTCATAATGAAAATGTACATTTATCAATCTGCATAAAACATCACATGTACAGTACATCAAAATAAATACATCATCTGGTGGGTTGATTGAGCTTGCACTCGAAGATCGGTCAGGTAACTACAGCTACGCTATTCACATCGCAACCTCCACGTCTGCAACAATGCATGTTTTTCATTTTACCTTTCTAATCGTCTGCCGGTCCGGACCTGGGGGACTCTGAGGACCAGTCTACAACCGTCGTAAGTCTAACTACACGTGAGAAATAAGACATCAGCACTGCACCGGCCCTAAAGTCATAGATTTAAATACCACGTAACTAACAGCTAAAGCCAGAACTGGACCGGCTGGAGTAAAAAAGCCTTGAAGGTGACTGCAGGCAGGGGGAGGAGTTCGGGGACAGGAGACAGCTGACGTCGCGTGTCGGACTAACAAGGAAAGGAAAACAAAAAGGAAGCCACTGACCGTTATTTCCTTCCTGTTATTATCATTTTGTGGCAATGAGTGTGGAAAAAGTAAAAAAAATCCACCGTTCAATCTGCCAATTTATCCCCAAAGTTTTAATCCTTAAGATTTAAAATCCCGGTTAAATCCAGTGGTTACCATGGTTACAGAAAGTGTGGTTTTACTGTGCATTCAGGCTATGGATGTATTGAAAGAGGATACACATAGCCCCTGTGGCTGCAAGCATTTTCCCCATAGACCTCCATTATAACAGAGACGTCTGTGGAACTGCAAACATGGTCAGTTATTACTCTTTTTGATTTTGAATCCATTTTATATATTTTTAAACTTTCCCAGATTCTAGAAAAGCAATTTTAAAGTGCGTAACGTCCTCACAATAGAGAGAAAGACCCTCCCTTTCCACGTTTTTTTGGCAGATTTTCACTCAAGTAAGTGGCCGCCACGTTTGAGTCCTCTATCCGGTTCCTGTAATACATTCCGGATTCAGATGGTTTGAGAAGCAAATCTTAGAAGCAGATTGCACACAAAGTCAGTTGAAAGACTCAAATTCACCCAGATACGGGAGACAAAAGGTTTCAACTCGAGCAAGGAATTATTATCCCGAGGATTTTATGAAGCAGCTTTATGAATGAACAGACGAGAGGAAAAAGGAGCCGCACACTAGCTCGGTAGCTTAAAGCTAATGTACAGTGGTACATTGGCTGTTTGATGCGAATAAACACAAACAGTCCAGTTCTCTGTCAGTCTGAAGCAATCTAAAAAAATCTTCACCACTAACAGTGTGAACTACTACTCAGAGAGGTAACTGCTGAATGGAAATACATTTAAAGGCTATTGCAGAATCAATCCAACCATAGATAGTATCAAAAATGGGGTTTGATTTCATGAAAATCTTAAGGATTATAACTTTAACTCTCTCTCCCTCTGAGACAGATTCCAGGATTCTTTCACTAAAGTCTTTTAAAGACAAAAAATACTAAAAAGTGCTTCATCCGCATTCCTCATACCGTGTCCTGTCCCCCTCTCCTTCCCCTTCTCCCCTCCTTAACTTCTTTTTCACACCCAACGCCTCTTCTTTTCTCACCACGTTAGATGATCTTTGGGTCTTTCCCCTCAGTCCTCCATCTCCCATCATCTCCCAGCGACACTGATCCACACGGGTTCAACGCGGACTCGTCTACCTCCCTCTCCTGCTCTGCGTTTCCTCTCCTATTTTCCCATCATGTCTTCAGAAGCTGTCACGTCAAAGGAGGAGAGAACAGGATCGGTCACCGCGCCTCGTGGCAGAAGGGGCTGGACATCATCTATTTGTATTTACATCGCCTCCTCCTGGGCGGAGAAGGAGGGAGGAGGGGATGAAGAGTTAGGACGGGGCGGGCGGTCTCGGTTCAGAAATGTCTTTTTGCGAGGCTTCTCATATCGATACTTCATATTCACGAGTGTCCTGCTGACAATGGAAGAGAAGATGGAGGAGACAGAGGCAGTATTAGTGTGTGTTTGTGTCTTCTTAATGAGGTGGTTTTAAATGCTCTGGACACTCACTCCTCCTGTCTCATAGAGCGGGTTGTCAAACTCTGTCTCCACAGTGATCTGTCGGTAGGGGTGGGGGTAGATGAGAGGAAGCCTTAAGTTGGAGTGATATCGGCACCTAAGGGACAGAGAGAGAAAACAGAACAAGAAAATTCAGTGACACAATTTACAGGAGCTGTTCCAGAGAGAGGATTTCATTTATTCTATGTTTAATAATTCTATATTTGAACTGTTTACTGGGTCATAAACCAGTGTCAAAAAGGTGAGTGCTAAGATTTGTTGCTGGATTTATTTGATGTCCAACAGATCTTACAAATGGACAGACTTTTGTCCAGCTTTCCTTCCTTCTTATAGAATCCAAATGTCTTCCAAACTTTAGATTTTAGATTTGATGGTGCGCTGTAAATCGTGTTGCCGTACCGACGTCCCGAGACCCTGGCGTTGACCTTTTACCTTACACGACAGTTAGCAGTAAAGCTTCAGTCAACAGATTCAAAGCATTTATAAATCGGACCATTGAACATTTCCATCGATCCAGGGGTCCACGTACCGATGTGGTACGATGAAATCTGTACATGTGGAAATGTTACATAGTATAACTAGATTTTATCAAGGGATCAGCTGATAAATCAGGATTTACCTTAAGGCCCTTATCATGCCAGGTGACATTATGCTTCAGTCGGTGCATATTAGCAATCAATTTAGCTTCCGCACGGTGACTGTGGGGGTTTTGGGTCTGGAGCCCAGAGGAAGTTGTCCAACCTTTCATTTGAAGGTGAGCAGTCAAAGATCTTACCGTGTGACGTAGACGTAAGCCCCACCGAGGAGCACGGACAGCAGAAGAACGAGGATGAAGATGGCCAGCGCTACGTTCCCTCCATCCAGAGTGGAGCCGGCAGTCGCCTCTGCAACTGATCCACAACACGCAAAGGGAACACGGTTAATGAAAGGCATAAATATCACCAGGAGAACAAACAAAAACCACTAAAACTCCGGCCAAAAGTGGCTTAGCGAACGCAGGTGAACGCTACAGGTAAACAAATGGTGGATGGACAAACACACACAGTGGGGGTGAAACCTGGCAGGCAGATGTTTGCTGAAGCAGACAGAGCAGACAGAGCGAGGTGAAGTGCTTTTTATTCTTTGGTTTGTTTGAGTCTAGAAAACAAACTGTGTGGTCAGAGCACACCGACATACACAGATAGACTCACCTTCCAAAGCATGGTTGCCAAAGCAGTCATGGTTGGCTGCAAGACATCATTCTGTCAGTCAGTGCACATGAAAATAACATCACACTTCCTGTGGAGTATTTGTAACAACTGACCGTTCGCTAAACCCCACCAAGCCCCGGATTCTAACCTCCTATGATGCTCAACAAATGTCAAAAATAGAGTTTCTAAATGTTCGTTAAAGGAGCAGTGTGTAGGATTTAGTGGCGTTTCAGATTTTGACTAACTGAACACCACTCGCGTCTGTATTTGACCTGGGAATGAGAGCGGACTGTGAAGTGTGGAGGAGAAACTACGCTGGCTGTGAAAAAGGTCGAATCTACTGTAGATATAAAAATTTGGAAACAGCATTCTTGATTTGACGTGCGTCCGCCATTTTGCAGAGGTCGATAGCCGCTGGTTAACAACCCTGAGAGATTCAGACTTCACTACAGAATCGACTGTAACTCGCTTTTTTTAAACCGATTTTGACTTAGCTGACTTATCCCCGGGGTGGCAATAACACCACCTCAGTACTTCCCTCTGTCAGCATCAGATGCTGCATTCAGTCCCGATCTGGACCTGCTGTTCACTGGGAGCTCCCAGTCCAACAGAGTCAGCTAATGGATCCACTACAGCTGCTGGACTGGGGGGACGTAGCACATAGCGCTATTGGAAGTCCCTTCCTGCCTGTTTTTTATAGGAAATTCGTAAATATTAGGAAGCTAACAGCTCTCTGATTTCTGTTTCACCTGTACTTGGTCTTAGAAGTAATGCTTATCTGGACATTGCTAACATTTCCAGCTCCCATTAGAGTAAATACACACACAGTTTAATCAATTCCTAACAATTTCACTGTTGTATTTTTGGGTTTTGGAAACTCTGTTGCTAAGCTATGATTGGACAATTGGAGTTTAGCAAACGGTCATTAGCATGCATCGGGGCAGGATCAGTCTGTACCAACAAGCATGGGGCAAAAAATTCTTAGAAGAAATATTGTGTGCATGCATAAATCCAAAGGTAAATATAGAACAAGGGAGTGTTTCATTCCACACACGCACACTTTAAATTAAAATACATTCTGCTAAAGTCTCACCCCTGCACAGAGGGAGTGGGCCGCTCCAGAAGGACGGGTTTCCGAGGATGCATTTAATTGCAACCTCTCCAATGAGCTCGTAGCCTTGGTAACAGACAAAGGTGAGTGATTCACCGGGCAGGTAAAGCCTCTTGGACAGGATCTGGTAGCCGTTGTCAGGGAGACCGGGGTTTTCACAGGAAACCGAATCCTCAGCTGAATGGGAGGAAGAAAAAAGAAAAGAAATAGAGCTGGATGGATCCTGTTGAGTTTCTCAACACGAATCAGAGGTTTTTGCGTCAGAGCTCGACTGACAGATCTGACAGTGCTCTGGCTGAGGTGACATGACTCATGGATAATCTCCACCCCCTCCTCCAGGTGGCTGAGGGCTGATTGGTACGGTGCATTAGCATTGCATTTACATATCAAACACTCCACACAAACATTAATATCCCTGAAAACACACACACACACACACACACACACACACACACACACAAACATACACATACATCGTCAGCCGTAAGATGAAAATGCAGGAGATGAAGCGTCGTCTCTGGCATGCAGAGACGCTGTGATCTGTGTCAGCGGAGGAGAGAGAGCCAGAAATCACACAAACCCACTCATGTTAGATTGCACAGCCACAGGAAAGAGCCTCTCATCTTCAGTTAACTGTCTATCCTGATGACAGGTTTCTGGAATCAAAGGCCTGACAAATTACCGGTAAACCACAGGACCCCTTTCAGCCCCAAGTTTGATAAAATACCGGTAACTACTGTATTTTACTCTCGTTTTGTCTTTTTTTTGCACTCAAAACCATCTTTCTGATATACTGTACAAAACAACCCAAAAATAACAGAACAAATACAAATTTTACTGTTAATTGTCACTAATTTCATGTAATTTTAACAGTATTAAACTTGAATTTAACAGTTTAATCTATTAAATAAACAATAAACATCTGCGAAAAAATAAAAAACATCTATGTGAAACTTTCTTTAAATAAATAGTAATTTTATGACTATTTATGTTATTTTACATTAGACATGTAAATTCACAGGCTATTATTTTTGTAATTTTGTAAAAAAAATGTATGTATTTAAATAATGAAAAAAAAAATCTGTAAAATACCCAATTTTTTCCCCCAGTGATACTCACAAACACAGTGAGGGAGGCGAGACGTCCACACAGGGGTCCCCGGTTCACGGCCGTAACAGGTGATGGTGGCACCGCCCTGCAGGATGAAGCCGGGGTTGCAGCTGTACTGAATGGTCGTCCCCACCAAGAGTTTAGGGTCGGACAGAGACCTGGTGGAGTGCTCCACGTGGCCAGGATCTGAGCAGTACATGACTGAGGAAAAAGATAACAGGAATATTTTGATATGAAGCACATTCACACCATCAGTATTTCATATATTGATAGTCAGTTGAAAGAAGGGTTACATTTAAAGTATTGTTACCTTTAAAGTCTATTTAATAGGCAATAAAGCCAATTCACTTGATTATTATGTCATTCTTTGTAATTATCTATAACTTCTGCAACACCACAATCTTAAAACTCATTACTATTTATTTAATTTCTATCAGCATATACTGTGCTTATATCTTATTATATCTCTGTTTTCCATTTTTACTCTATGTATATACCTATACATTCATTTCTATTCTATATATTGTGTTAGATATTGTATATAAGTACTATTTCTTTAAAGTTGTGTGAGTGGAACAACTGTAACAAACAAATTTCCCCCCGGGGATCAATAAAGTATTTCTGATTCTGATTCTGATTCTGTAAATTCATATCATATTTCACAGGGGAACACGAGCTACAAGGATTCCTATAAATATAAAACAATAACAGGCACACACACACACACACACACACTCACACACACGTACAGTAGATGTTTAAATAAGAGATGAACTGACTCTTTTCACAGAACGGGGGCTGCGAGCTCCAGGAGAGGTCCAACTGACAGGTGAGGGTCTCTCGTCCCACCAGGTCGTAACCGGGGTCACACTGGTAGGTGATTCGAGCCCCTCGCACCAGTGCAATGTGGGATATCGTCTTCCAGCCGTTCTGGATCTCAGGCAGGTCGGCACAGGAGTCGTTTCGGGACACCTCTGATAAAACAAACATCAAAGAAGGGCTGATTAATGGCTCCATTAGGACCGTGTTATTGCTCCTGGTCCACCGTTTTCTCTTTCACAGCGGGGTCAAGAAGACAACAAGATTAACAACAGTACATCTGATTTTGACGTGATACTGGCACTGAGGAAGAATCCATCGCATCCACGAAGATTGATGGACTTATTGTGCGATTACTTGACCGTGTGACAGAATGATGGATGTCGTCTGCATTGGACAGTCTTCAAATATCGTCTCTGCCTGCGATTCCACTCTGAACTCAGTCGGCTTTAATTCAGATTCCCTCACAAGCTGCCAGTTATCTGTCGCAGGAAAACAGGTTTTTTGCTGTTATGTGATTTTCTTTGTAACTCAGTGTCCACTTACCAGCCTTTTCCAGAGCTTTCAACCACATCACCTCATCAGCAGATGGAAACCCATTTCATGTGATCCAAATATGGAACGCCACTGATGAAGACCATGAGATGCAGTTGAAAGCCCGTGATTATATACTGTCCCTCTATTCTATTAAGAAAGAGCTTTCATACTCAGATTTTTGTAATTATTTTCTATCATTTGAATTGCTTCTTCTATTTTGTTTTTCTCTATAAAAAACGTTACTTAAGTTCTAAAATTATTATTATATTAACTTACATATTATGGGCTTATAAAGTTGTGTTTGCTAGCCCACAGTTGCCTATTAACCACATACTGTATAATAAATAGGGAAAGAAGCCAAAGTGACGTCACCAATTGGTTTGTGATTTGAGTACCATTATGAAACCTCGAGTTTGGCATTATGGCTGTTGTCATGTTGGTTTTTCAGAGCCAGAAGAGACCATTATTGCTGACTGAGAACCCTGAGGACCCGCTGTGGTTGAAACTTGTCAATCACAAGCACAAAGCATATCCTGCTTTATCGTCTCATTGACTCTAAATGGACAACCGGTCACATTTCCATCCTGTATTCTTACTTTTTGTCACAGTTCGAGCTTTCACTGGCACTCGTTTAATTACGTGAGCTTGCTGCACCCTCGTCTTCTGGTTTTCCAACTGGAGGTTGGCGCCACCTACAGGTTATTATTCAGATATTCTTTTGCAGAATTACCTGAAATTCTGGACATTTTAAAATGTGTAAATCGGAAAACATTTGGATGGAAGTGCTGTTACAGTCAGAGACTACCTGGTGAACATGGTGGATATTTCCCTCAAGAGTTGGTAAAGACCAAAAACAGAGCTAAAAGAGAGTGAATATTGGACTTACATTACATATTTTACATTATATATACATACAAGCTGCCTCCAAGTTGCCAAAAAGGTCAGTCACTGTAGGTTTAAGGTTAGGTAAACGTTGTGGTTCCAGTTAATAAAAAGGCAAATGTAAATGCCAATATGAGAGTGGTGAGGGCGACGAAAACAATGAGCCAAAAGTGGGTTTGTCTCAATGAGTAACACCTCTTACTGTACATTACACGTACTCATTAGACCCAGAAATATAAGTTAGAGCAACTTTAAAGAGGCTGTTTTCCCAAATGTTGTGCTTTTGCATTGGTACCAAAAAAAAAAAAAAGCCTACAAAGAATGAATTAATGTTTTGCCCCGATTGATCTGTAAGACACATTTGCATGCTGTATCTGAGGAGACCTCACACAGCAGCATGCACTGATTACACAGACAGAAGCAGCAGGAGGCTCGGACCAACAGTCTCTTGATCGTTCTGAAGATCTTTTTCAATCAAGAATTCCTCTGATCTCAGAATTAAAGTGACCAGCTCAAACTTTCTTGCCATGTTATCTTAAATCAGTGGAGCTTCCCAGACAAATATATTTAAAATCAACTCAAGGAGTTCAAATCTGAAGTTTTTCATTACCATAAATGTACAAAATAAAAGAACCAAGTTTGGTGTTTGGTAAACTGGTAGGCAAACACTAGTAAAAGAGATCATTATAAGAACCAAATGTTTTTTTACTTCATCGTAAAAAAAAGGACGAATGAGACTTAAGTTAAAGTCACTGTTAAACCTACCCTGTAAATCCTAACTGCATATCTTAATAAATATCTTAATAAGAGAAGTAAACTAACATAACTTCAACTACATTCCTGTGAATTAAACCCAACTCAAAAATGAATTGCTGAAGTAAAAACTCTTTTGAGTGAACTTCAATTTGTGCAGTATTTTAAATATTGGTGATATAATTCCAGTTTGTTCCACTGAAATTACAAAATATAATATAATCTTTTAAATCTGTTACACCTCAAAACCTGATGAGTTAGCTGAACTTGAAGAAACCTTCAACCATTTATGTTTATTTACTCAAACAATTTAAGCATGAAAGATATTTGATTTGAGTATTTATTGTTAAGGTAACTTTGGTAAATTAAGTTAATTGTATTACCTGAGTTACACTTATATGCAGCAAACTTACTCAAAATGTGTGAACAGAATTTCTATTAATAAAGTCACTTAAATTCATCTTCTTTGTACAAATGTGGAATTTAGTTTAGTTAGTTTTCTTCCACTAAAGCAAATTATTAGATTACCTGTCAAAACAGCTGATGTATGAAACCAAACAATTTATAATTAATTGAGTATCAAAATGGAAGCCAATTAATTTTCTATTAATTTTCTTATTTGGGTATTATTTGGATGCATACTTGGGCTTTTGATGCTTACACTGTTATAATGATATAAAGTCAATAAAATCAGTCAGTGGAACAAACTGGAATTACATTGCCTGTATTTAAAATACTGAACACATTAAAGTTCAGTTGCTTTAACAATTCATTTCTGAGTTTAATTCATGTGAATAAGTGACTGGAGGATTCAATTGTGTTAACTTACTTCTGTTATTAAGTTGTGCTGTCAGGTTTTACAGTGTTATGAGACAGGATGTCACCGTCTAAGATTACAGTCATGTGCCTCCACAGACGGTTTTTATTTTAGTTTGTTTTTGCTGTTTTTTTGCTCTGTGGATTCTGACATCTCAAGTGTATAACCGGCTAGAATAAAGGAAGAACGAAACAAAACCTCCAGCAGTAGCTCATGCCAAGAACAACAACACAGAACATTAATAAAATGTTTATAACTCATCGCAGCCTAGAGAGAGAGAGATATATAAATAAGTAGCCCCCTGTTGGGACAAGTGTGTGTGTGTGTGTGTGTGTGTGTGTGTGTGTGTGTGTGTGTGTGTGTGTGTGTGTGTGCGCATATGTAAACTTGATTGATCAGGCAGCGTACAGTATTGCATTACACTGTACAATATAATAGGCCTACAGGGATTTGTAAGTTGAAGGATCTGGGATCAATTATTCATTCTCTATTGACTTGCTTCTCCTCCTCTGTGCAGCCTGAATGTGTAATTTATTCTGAACACACACACACACACACACACACACACACACACACACAGTCATGCACACACAGTTAAAATCAAAGAGAGTAGCCTACGTATTCATGCTGTGTCTACTTGATTTACTCCTCTGGGACACGTGTGTGAGTTTGGGGTGTCGAGCTGGCGACAAGTAAATTGGACGCCGTGTGTCTCGGTGCGATTTCTAAATTGGAGTCAGGTGTTGGATACGGGAGGCAGTGCAGATTACTGTGTGTATAAAAGGAGGAAGTGAGCTTATTTGGCTGCTTGTTAAATCCTGGGTTTGTGTGTGCACGAGAGCCATTGTGAGATGGTGAAACAAATAGGATGTGATTGAATAAGGGCAGAGGGAAATGAAAGGAAAAGACAAATAGAGATGAGAGGAGAGGAAAAGGGGGAAGATGAAAAATGGAGTCGGCAGCTTGAGGAGAAAAGGCTAAATTAAAACGAATGGCAAAACTGAATGAAAGTGTAAGTTTACAGGATAAGGCAAGGTGTTATTCTACATCTTTCTTACAAAACAACAAAAAAAAAGTCCCATGAAAAGACCAAAACCATCAATGTGTCTCTCAGTACTTCCTGTCTGTGGTTCTCCAGACCCACAGATATATATATCATTCTTAATCTCTGTAGTTTTTATCAAATGTCACAAAATATGAAGTTGCAGGTATGTATATATAATGTAACTTGCTACATTTTGTTAGCAAGCAAGCTATTGTTAGCCACAATATGACAATATATTCCAGAAGCTTTGCAGTAATGTCAGCTGTTGTGGTGGGCGTCGGTCACTTGTAGACATTATAAGCTAACATTAGCAACTGTTTACAAACAGCATGAATGTGCTTCTAGTGACTGTAAAAGCTCCAGCAGACTCTCTGTGAATGGTGTAGTTACACTTTAAGTGACGATGTGCAAACACTACTGGACGATTTTTGGGTGAACTAATATACAATAAAAGTCTTACACTTCACTGTTTATAACACAGGGTGTTTATCTTTCGCTGGACGGACACTTTAAACATTTGGGGCATAAATTAAGAGTATACCCGTTCTTCAGGCACCACTACACCACTGATGACTGATGACTGATCACAGACTGGAGAATATGTGTGTGTGTGATAGTTTTTGGACAACAGTAGAGCTTCAAGGCAGTGAATTTCCACTCAAGGGGCCACTTTTTAATATCATTACCATATTATATTCAATGTATAACAACAACAGCAGAGAACAGCTGATAAACTGAACAATGAACATAAACAGTGAACTTGCAGTGAAGTTTGTGTAAAACGAGTGATTTGGGTGAATTTTGAGCAGATTATTTACTGTAAAAATCAGAAATGAGTCTTCCTGATATTTTTAGCAACTTTTTATACAATTCTCTGTCTGTATTATGTATTTTCTTTTATTATTCAACAATCATACAGATTTAACAGGCTTCTTCTTTCACAAATTCTGTGTTTTCTTGACGCCTGGCGATTGTTCTATCAGCTCTTTGGTTGTTTTCTAACGCAGGACGAGGCTGTTTATCAGAGAGTGAAGGCTCTGTAAATATAACTTATGTTCAGGTCTTCAAAGTTTAGATCTTAAATAAAAATGTAAACTTTAAAAATAACTCAGACATAGGCCTTAAAACCCCTTAAAATCAAGAAGGCCTCGCAACCCCCCTGTGAAGCTTTGGCGACCCCTTGTGGGGAACCACTGCTCTATGGCACAGAGGAAGAAGATGTATCAGGCTTTTCATTCACACTTACAATACTTGTTAGTAGAGACATTAACTGCTCATTTTACTCTCACCCATATAGTTGATGATGAAGCCCTCGCCCTTGCCGAAGACGAGCCCCGCTGGGTCGGAGTGGAAGGTGACGGTCAGGTCGGGGGTGGTGGAGGAGAGCTTGAAGGGGCTGCTCCCCCCAACGTAGCGCCCCAGGATACGAGTCGTGACCTCGTCGCCGTCAGTGATGGTCAACATGTCGCTGTCGCTGATGTTCAGTCTGAGGACACGAGGAGAGGAGTCAGAGCGAGCCGGTGGTATCAGCTCAGGACACGTTAGGATGACTCAGAGTGCAGTCGTGTCGACAGCCGACTGTGTGGGAGACGAGATGACCTCAAAAGGCTAAATGCTGCATTCATCCACGGGCGAAGTGTTTAACAGTCTGTAAACACAGCCATGTTTTTATTGCCCCAGAGATGTTTGTTACACCACACGGCAGAGGCTCCTTAATCATGCAGCTTAAAAAAGGTTTTTGAAAATTGAAATATCTGCAAATGTGATACGACACAAATCTACCAAAGGACTGAAGTATGTAATTGGATTAGTGCTTGAAGGGAGTGTAGCTAAACATATCAAACCCACTTCATACCATAGAAATAAATCATTTAATGTAAAATGAGCAGATAGAATTTAAAGGAAAGCGCTGGTGATATTGAAACCTCTGTTATTGTGCTCATTACACCTTCGTTTACCTTCATTTTTCAAGTTTCCATTAATTATTTAGTATCTGTTGTGTGAATGAGCTGTAAAATACACAGTGGGGAACAATAGTCTCTGTTGGAGTCAATGTACTATATTATTTTGGACTATAAACGAATGAAGGGGCTCCAGATCTGTGGCGTATTTAACCAAAAATGATTCGTTATGTATGAGTGAGTCGGTTGGTGCTTGTTTTACAATTCAATTCAATTCAATTCAATTTTATTTGTATAGCGCCAATTCATAACAGAAGTTATCTCAGGACACTTTTCAAATAGAGCAGGTCTAGACCGAACTCTTTAACATTATTTACAGAGACCCAACAGAGTCCTTAGCAGCTGCATATCCCCGTATTTTCATAGTTTATATCTCTTTTTTTTAATAGATTTTTTGCATCGCTTTTGTCCACGCTAGCAAGCAAGGCCAAAAGTGACATACACTAAACTGAACACTGGATAATAGCAATCATATTTAGAATAACGTTACTATCTTCAATGTGCCTATATTTTATTTGGACCATTAGCTCCATGCTACTAACTAGCTTGCCGTTTACAAGCCCATCAGCCAACACCACGAAGCAACCAACGCCAGACCCACAGTTAGCTAGCCGGATGAAAGCTGGAGAAAGCTATCGTTATTTATTGTGTTTGTCAGAATACATAAGTTAGTAAAATTACTTCCCTAGCTAACATTAGTTGGATCACGTCAGCTAGGGAAGGAGAAGGAAGGCCCTCGGGAGCGCAAATAAAAATCCCATCTTTTGGATTTCTGCAGAAAATCCAACCCTCATCTCTCATTTTTGCACTTTGACATAATCTGAAGGCGACAGAAGCAAAAACGCCATCAGAATAATTTGAGAAATGAATTAATAAAATAAAATAAAACTTCTACACACATTTGGGTTTTTGAATTTTGCATTCTCAGTTCACATGGAAGTTTCTGAGACGTGACTGCGGGGGATAAACGATAGAAGATTCAATCCAAGCCAGCTCCGATTCAAGTGGCCAGCTCCGGAGCGAGCCAGTGAAAAGTACAGAATCAAGATAAGGGCAGAACAGTCTGCTGAAAACTGCAGTGGCAGCCTTATCAGCGTGTTCTCCAAGTTTTCAATTTAATGGTTCAGCGTGAGCAGGAATTGGGAAATATCAATAGGCACATGTAGACGGGGTGCTGGACCCCTCACTGAGCCTCCACACTCAGAACTCCCAGCATACATTTTTAATGATAACATTCGGTTCCCCCGGTCGGACCAAACTTTAGATCAGGGCTGAAGTTTTCATGTTCATGAGTCTGACTGTGTCGGTGTGTTTCTCACAGTTGTACATCCAGCAGCACCCGTTTGTCCTCCCCGACGTGTATCCTCCAGCTGCAGTCCTCGCCCTCGCCGTACCACTCCGGCCAGTTCGGGGACAGAATCACGCCTCCGGGACCAGTCAGGTCACCTCCACACTGTGCTGCAGAGAGACAGGAGGGCAGGTTAAAGTCCAGGTGACAAGAAAAATGTCATTTTAACCCTTTAAGATCACAGCCTTGGTTATATTGTTCCCATATTTAACAATTTATACCAAAATAAATCACAAAAACTAAATTTGTTTGTGTTTTTATATCAGAAATTGGATCATATTTTATGGAGAGAATATTATCTGGTTTTCCCTCTGACGTCCTCCGGCTGCTCTGCCTCAACTCAGCTGCCAATAGCGATTTGGGGTTGTCTGTTAAACTAATGCAGTGGTTCCCAAGCTGTGGGGCGGGCGTCTCCTGATGGAGCCACTGCAGGGAAAAATATGAGTGAAACTAAGTTGAAGTAATGTGATTTATGTAGGTAAAATAAACCAACAAGAGTTAGTTTATGCTATCATGCTGACCTTTATTTCACTGATCAGTGGTAATGATTGATAAAAGTTGTGTCAAATAAATTTTTCCCAAGGATTGTTTCTGTCATTTTAGGCAGTTTAAGTGTTAAGTTTTCTGTTCAGTTTGGTTTTATTAGTTATTTGAACATATTAAAAGGGGTTTTCACATCACAGTTGAGCCCGGTTGGTGATTGAGTCAGTCGGGTTTGTCTCGATACTGCGGCGCCAACACCAATCACAACTTTGCAGACTCCAAATGGCGAAAGGTGGCAGCAATATTTTGGCTTCATTTTTGCACAGTGGGAGGAAGTAGAGACGCAACGTCCATCTTTTATATGTCGGTGGTCACAGCTCACAAATTAGTCTTCATGAAGTCGAAACAAGCTTTTTGCGACAAGTTAACCTCACAGACATAAAGTTAAAGAGGCTTAAGATAAAAATAGGAAACTGTTCTTGCACGAGGCCCGTATTACCTTTGCATAGTGGCTCTGTGTCGTTCCAGTATGGATCCCTCGCACTGATGCACTCGATAACAGGGGGCCCTTGTTCAAGAGCGTGGCCCGGGTCACACGTGAACTGCACCACAGCGCCGACACCGTACAGCAGGTCCGAGGTCGTGAAGTTTCCGTTCTGGAGGTACGGCTCGTAGCAGTGGCCGCGCTCAAAGGCTGGAGGAGGAAATGAGAGATGCAGAAAACTCAGTCGACTTGAAATTAATAACAAAATGTGTCTTATTAAAGTCGCACCATGCGGCTTTTCGAATATTTTGTCTCGTTCTCTTTGCGACGCCTGTGTAATTTCCATAAACTGATGCCAAGATGATTGGAAGCTTCTCCCTCAAACAAAAAAAAAAAGAACTGCAGTGACACATTGTACATAAATCTTGTTTCCATTCGCAAAATAGATGATTCTTTGGTTTCTTTTTATCTTTACTGATGAGGATAAACATGCTGGAAGGGATATTTCCGTCCCTCCACAATCTGACATTGCCAGAAAAGCTCAGATTATGTTGGCCGACCAGCCAAAACCATCTTGGCAGTGCACGATATAAGCAGAAATATTGAATCCCTGCAATCCTCTCTTATTGTTTACATAATTACACTTGTTAATTATAGAAATACAACAAAACATCCCCTGCCTTTTAAATCGTGCTGCAGAAGTTTTATTATTGTGTGCGATGTAGATCTGCAGTAGCTTTGAGTACCTTCGTAGCGGATGTTGAATCCCGTGTTGTGGTTGGGCTGGTCGGTGATGAACTGGATCCTCACGGCCGGACCCTCGCTGATCACTCCCTCAAAAGGTATCTGCCCGCCCCGACCCGAATCGAACAGCACCACGGAGCCGGCGTCCAACCCGCTCCACAACACCAGCCTGCAGGGACGGATGAGAAACTTCTAAGGCTCTAACTTTATTCTACATAATGTCCCGGATCAAAAGCAGACCATCAGCTATCCTACATAACCACTCTCCTCTTTCCTGGAGTTTAAAGTAAAGTCTTTCTGGGACGATGTAATAGGATATACTGTTCCAAACAAATGTGCTACGATGAGGGAACACTGAGGAAGCTGTACAAGGACAGATATGACAAAAATGCTGCTTGTAGCCAGCAAGAAAGCATTAAATGAAAATCCTCCAAGCAAAGAGCAATAGCTATTGAATAATGTTTTGGAGATAAATTTAATGTAAAAATTCATCTTTAAAAAGTTTAACCTGCATGAACTGAAGTTTTTAACCACATGAGCAGAAACAGGCTGTAGACCTATAATATTGACATTTTATCACCTTTTAAAACTTTAATATTCTGTATAAACACTAGAGCTTTATTCAGATAACGCTGCGTTTCAAAGGTCACCAAACTCAGTCTTCTGTTATTGTTCTGACGTGAGAAAGCCCCTTGTGGCAGAAGTGACATATTAGATAAGATACATTCTTTATTGATTTTTCTTTTCACTCTTTTTTTATTCTTACACTTACTACATGCAAGTCCCTACAGACTGAGCCCCATAAAGAGGCTTTCCCATACCGGGAGTCGAACCCGGGCCACCTGGGTGAAAACCAGGAATCCTAACCGCTAGACCATATGGGACATGGATATATCATTTGTTAAGTAAATTCTTAACACACACTGAGCAGACAATCGCAACATTATCAGTTGTTTGGAGTTGTGTCTGTTAATGAATTTAAGCCCGATATTCATTCTCTCTTTTAGCTCAAGGTCTCCACCAACTCCTGATGGAAATATCTGTCTCTTTAGCTGCTAAATGCTTCACTATGTTCACCGGCTAGTCTCTAACTTTGTCTGTCTGCTGTTTGCTGATATACAGATGGTGTTTTTCAAAGATTATTTGCTCAAAATGTCACAACAGTGCAGTTGCAGACTGTAAAAAACAAAACAATGAGCTGAAAGAGGCTAAAACGCTCCATAAAGCTGAGAGGAACTACAGCATTGAGTCCGCCAAGGCCAATAGTCCAGTCTTCTATCATATACAAATCTTTTTGTGTCACGTTTTTGTTTCTATATCTGAAAATGATCAAACTTAAACTATAAAACATCCCATAAAAAACACAAAGACCAGTACTCCTACCTGTCAGTGGGGCCCAAGGCCAGTCTCTCCAGGTGGAGATGCAGCCTCTGGTCCTTGGGGGCCTCCAGAGACCAGGAGCAGGAGCGGTCCTGGGTGGCGTTAGGCCCGTGGTGGGGAGAAGGGGAGAGCACCCTCCCTACTGTAGCATTCTTCACCGTGCCCCCACAAAGAGCTGCAGAGGAGACGACACTGTACTTAACATGAAGTCCCAAAGTCTGTGTGCAATGCAAGGTTTTATAGAACTTATCAATGTATTATATTGTCTTTTATTAACTTTTATTAGAAATATTAATATGTTAAATTAGTCACAGTAAACTGTATATTGGGAATATACACATGTTGAGTTTTCTTATACAAAGGGAATCTGAAGTAGAGCTGAAACAATCACTCGATTAATTGATGATTAATTGATTTTATGCTTTTTATGCTGCTTTTTTTTACTTTCAGATGATTATTTTTCCCAATTTTCTGCTTTTTCATGGAGAGAATAATCAGATTTATCAACAGTGAACACAATTATTTGTTGAACACATTTTCCAGACAATTGTAAACCTCCATCTGCTGAGGACGATCATGATACAATCAAAAGCTCCAGAATATCTACCAAGCGGACTTTGTGGTGAGATTGTTTGTGTATAAAATCACATTCTCGTCTAATTCGTTAATTCACACCACGTAGACTAAAGACCTGGACGCTCTCATGCTCACCCCTGCAGCTGGGCACCTTGCCGCTCCACACGGGCAGGGAGGCGTTGAGGCAGGTGAGCAGCGTCTCCCCCTGCAGGTGGTAACCCATGTGGCAGTGAAAGCGGGCGGTGCCTCCAGGGAGCAGGTCCAGCACCGACACCTCCCCGAAGTGAGGCCTCTTGGGCAGCGAACAGCTCAGCCTGAAGACTGTGCACAGAGGGAAGAACCAGGGAGGAAGAGGACAAATTCAAAGGAGCGCTCATTGAATTTTCTACCTGGATTATTCTGTCAGCCTGGAGGATCTGGAGTCAGTCTCTAGGCTGACACATGCAGACAATGATTCAAATCTGCAGTTTTAAGGCATCAGTATGTTTAAAGAGGCAGCAGAGACGTTGGAAGTTGGGGTATCAAGAGCTTCCCTTTAATGCACTAAACCACGGCCCACTTCCAACAGTCCATCTGATTGAGGGTTACACAGTCCTTAAATTGTCAATACTGGCAGGTGCAGGAAGTTGTACCGACCGTCGGCAGCTCCCCCTATTCCTTCAAGTAGATCCGTCCAAATAGTTTCCAACAACGACTGGAGTCTGGTGGCGAGTGATAGCATATATATATATATCTGTAATGATGTAGTCAGACACTTAACAACAATCTGAGCCCGTCAGCAGCAAAAACAACAACTTTTAGTGGACATACTTCGACGGCGCATTCATCCCCAGGGATTACGTCGGACCCAAATAATTTGACATCTAACTGTGTGAATTAATGGTTTATTTTGACCAAACCAGTGTTGGTGTTTGCTGGTAAGACTAACAAAGACCGTGAAGTGAATCTGGTATGTATAACTCATAGTTAAATAATGTTGATAATAATAAGCTTATATATATGTGTGTGTGTGTGTGTGTGTGTGTGTGTTTGTGTGTGCGGTCTGTGTTGTTTTTGTTTTTCATCCCTGATCTCTCTCTGCAAAGGTATTTTAATCTCCGTCAGCGCTCCTCTGTTCTCCTCTCCTACCTGCCGGTGATGTAAAAGGATTAGATGGCTGTGATTAATGGCCCAGGTGGGTCTTAACACTCTGATGCTTCCTCCTTTCCAGTACTCGTCATATCCATTATGGGCTGCCACAGCAAAGCGCGCACACATACAGAAACATACACAACACACACTGCTCTATACAAACTCCCATATTCTCAGCCTCCTAACGAGACGAGAGCCAATTAATCAGACCTCTAATCAGCTAATTCACACGACAGATTCAATCACCGCGCTAAGTGATTAGATGAGAAGATTTTTGATTATGCAATTAACATGTATACAGAGCATAAACAGCCCCGGAGGCCCTAATGAAGAATTCACATGTATTGAATTTATATAAAGTGTTTACATATATAAATATTTATATTTGAGTCTTGATATGTTTGTGTACGCTCATGTTTATATGTGTGTACTCACTCTGGTAGTGCAGCTGGAAGATGCCCATGCTTCCCTCCGGCGTGGAGCGGTAGTACACGGACAGAGTGTTGGTGGGACTGCGGATCACCTGACCTTCAACCAGCAGCGTGTGATTGGCCAGGACCAGCAGGGCGCCTCGTTCGTCCGCACCCCTGATGGACAGCTGCTCGCCCTCTGAGAGGTTCACACTTTTCACCTGAACGCACGGGAAGACGAGGAAAATTCACCCCAAAATCTTGTTACTCTTTAAAGTGTTATTAGTCCTTATGTTGTTTCTTCACATATTGCAGTGGTAAATAAGACAAAATGGTACTCAGGTTGCACTTAAAATACACTATTAGGGTTTGTTATTACGTCCCATTACTCTAAGAAAGACACAGAATAACTTAATGTGAGCTTTTAGAGAGGCTTCTGTGCAATCTTCCAGGTGTTTATAGATCTGTGTGTGTAGTTTGATTGTACATGTGGTCAACAAAGTACATTTCTCCTCCAGGAAACAATAAAAGCCAATCTACAGTACCAGTAATTGAATCTAAGATTGTTTAAAATTCTACTGAAAGACCACGAAAGAAATAACCAGTGCCTGAAACCACCACCTACCTTTACTTCTTATTAGCATGTTAGCTGTCTGGGTGGCTTAACTGATGACGTGTAACTTTCTGCAGCTAAATTCAGACAAGACAGATATTATAATCTTTGGTTTTGATCACCTAGCAAGCAAAATACAACCTTTTATTGGTCCGCTGACAACCAATATATAAGTATCATTATTTGACTCTCAACTCAACTTCGAACCACATGTTTAGATTTAAATGTAGAAAATTGCATTTATATCGTGTTTGTTTACTTCAGCATGACTAAACTACGTAAAGAAATGCTCACAGTAAAGATTATAAAGGAGGTCGATGCAGTCTTAATCTTCGTGTTCAGATCCTCCGCAGAGGACCAGTTCTGTTGTTGGCAGTTTCAATTTGCATCATGATGTGGGAGCAAAAACAAAAAGAGTTCAACTCCGTTTCCAAAATGTGTTGATCGTCGTCAAACGTTAGAGAGAAACGGAATTCATTTTGTCAGTAAATCTGGTAATATATGAGATCTGTGTGCCGTACCAATAAAACTGTCAGTCCCAGTGAACCAAAATTAAATTCTCTCTATCTGTGAGTGTGTGTGTGTGTGTGTGTGTGTGTGTGTGTGTGTGTGAGAGAGCACTTGTACTGCTATCTTTGTGAGGACCCTGGTTTAAAACCATTGATGTGAGGAACGTTAGTCTGTGATTTCCACAACCTGCTCTATTAACAGACCTCAGGAGCTGTTAAACTTGATCAAATTACAAAACAGTTAAAACAAAATGACCTATTTATAACCTGATGGAAAATAAACAAAAGCACAGAGCAAACTGCAGTGTTATCTGGCTCTAAATAGACAATGCAGATTACTTGAGCTTTGTAACTGATGAACAACTAGTTTCTTTTCTGTAGTACACTCTAAAAAGTAATTCAGTGGACAGATTACCACCACTTAACGACCGCTAAATACATGAAATTTTGCAGTAGTTAGAATTTTTTACAAAACTTTTTAGTGGGTAAAACTGAAAAAAGTCTTTCTTGCCATAAATACCAGTTTACACATGTAAATCCCAGTAAAAATGGGAGAAAGTCATGATAAGTTCAAGCTTTTTTATGAACTAATGGTTTTCATTATGCCAGATTTAAGGCACCTGTGGTTGTGCCAAAAAAGCTATTTGAAATGGCATTTTAGAGAGCGGGAGGGAGGGAGAGAGCAGTGCCAACAGCCGCCACTAGGAGGCAGAGTTCAACCTGGGATCAGATCCTCATGGTCACAACAGACATAAACACAGAACTCATGTCTAGCATTACAAACGGTGACCAACCGCAGTGTAGATGTGTGCGTTTCTGTACCTGCAGCTCCACTCCGTAGCCGGTGTACACTGTCACTGTGTAGGTGCAGTGTAAGAAGGTGCCGTCAGGCAGAGGGGGGGTCATCAGACGAGTCTATGTATCCCTCTGGGTCTGAGAAATTCACCATGCAGCTCGACACAGCTGAGGAGAGAGCAGAGCAGTTTATTTTGCATGCACTGGCCTTACTGTTTTTGCTCTGCTTTGTAATCCCTTTAATGTGACTCTAAATTGGAAACTCATTGGAGGTCCCTGCTGTGTATAATTAATGACGGAAATTACAGGGATCAAAATGGCTGCAGAGCGCACACAAGGCACAGCAAGGACTCATGGCTGTTAATAGCGACTTGAAATAAATAATCACGTTCCTCTAAAGACTTTTGTAAGATCAGTCGTGGGTGAAGTATTCAGATGCTGGTGGTACCACAGTGTAAAAATACTACATCACAAGTACAAGTCCTGCAATCAGAATGAGAGTGGGCACATTTATTCAAACTTAAGTACAATGAGGTATGCATGTGCTACCTCACTACTGCACTTCAGAGGGTAATAGTGTACAATTAACTACAATCATCTGACAGCTTTCAGATACATAAGATTCTGTCATTTTATTTTCCCAGATGGGAAACTTGAGTTGCATTCAGGGGCACTAACATAAAAACAACACAAACACAAATATAATTCATGTACATACAATATGCAATAAACCATAATACAACAACAGCAATACTGAAAATGACATGTGTAAGATGCTAAAAATTCAAATTTCATGTGCAAACTGAGTTATTGCACAAGGAACAAAGGAGTTTTTACTCCTATTGCACTTCAACCTTTAGGAAGAGTTTCAAACTCAAGGTGCAGGTGATGGTTTGTACAGTCCAGTATGGATCTGGCCTTGCAGAGAAGCTGCTGGCCATTTATGTTATAAAATATAATAAATTGTTACAGACAAAGTCTAGTTGAAATCATAGACTGTATAATTAAATAGTCTCTGTGACGTCCCCCCATACTACATACATTTAACTAGACTTCACAGTCTGGTTGGCCTCTCTGGTACTGTAATTGGTTTAAAGCTTATCTTAACAACAATGTAAGGTCCTGCCCTTTTTAACCTCGGAAACGTCATCAGGAGGCATCAGTTTCCATAGCTATGCTGATGACACGCAGCTTTACATGATGACTCTGGGCCGATGAGTTCCCTTTTTAATTGTATTTTAGATATCAAGAAGTGGACACAGCCAGCCTGAAGTGGCTGTTAGTGTTGTAGTTGGTAAGAAGTAGTTAAAACTCGCTTCACCTCAACCAACTACAACATCAAAATTATGTTTACGAATTAAAGGACCAGTGTAAACAATTTAGTGACGTCTAATGGCGAAGTTGCAACTAACTGAGCACTGCTGGCGTCTGTGCTGACGACCTGGGAATGAGAACTCTATCTAGAGCCAGTGTTTGGTTTGTTGGTTCTGGGCTACTGTAGAAAAATGCTGTTTTGACAGGTTATGTAATAATTTGCTTTAGTGGAAGAAAACTGAGTAAATTCAATATTTGTATAAAGAAGATTTAAGAGACTTTATTTAGATTCTGTTCACACATTTTAAATAATTTTGGAGAAATGTTGCATAACTTCAATTAACTAAATGGACAAAAAACTTACCCAATTTACCTTAACAATAAATATTTGAGTTACTTCTACTCAGATCAAATATATTCCATGCTTAAACAGCTTGAGTTGAGCTAACTCGGGTTTTACAGTGTAATTACTTTCCACCATGTTAGATGTTGACTGAGTGTGCATATTTCCAACTAAATGATTACAACTCATACCTGAGGCAGGTGTTCCTGTCTCTGTGTCCACATCCAGCATCGTGTCCACAGTGGTGATCTCAGCCTCCTGCTCGGGGGTGTGTGTCTGCGTGTGAGGCAGCTGGGAGTGTGTGTCTGTGGGCAGAGGCTCAGTTGGACCGCTGCCTCGGCCTGACACTGCAGCTGATGCTGGGGGTTTTACCCTCCTCAGTAATCCCCCGCTTTGATGCTCCAGGGAATGACTCCCAGGGAGGGAGCTGACGCTGAGTCCTCTGCCCAGAAGAGGGAGCAGGTTCTGGGGCAGAGCGGAGGGGAGGATGTCCCCTTTCTGGGAGACGAATCGTCCTTTTTGAGTCAGCACTGACTGTAGCAAACCTCCAGCCAACGCGCTGGAGCTTTTGCCTTTGGGGCTGCTTTCCTTTGTGCTCCCTGGCGTCACCACTGGAGACTGGGTAGAGGGGGCGGCTGTGGGGACTCCTTTATCTGAAAAGAGTGGAAAACAAGGAATGAAAGAACATCTTTGAAAAGCCTTGAGAGCACGACTGTGGGTGGTTCTGTCACTGTCCTGCTGGTGTTATCAGGAGAAGGGTTATCTGGCCAGCACAGCCAAAGCCCAGACGAGTTTACCTCCACTTTTCACAGACACACACACACACACACACACACACACACACACAATGTAAAACCTGACAACACATCTTAATAAAAGAAGTTAGTTAAGTAAGGGATGACGAGGTGTCCATTATCAGGAATTAATGGACGACATGGAAGCGTCCGTCACACAGCGGAGGTCCACGAGGTCCATTAACTTCTGATAATGAACACCTCGAAGGGCATTATTCCACTTTTCATGATCACACTTCAATCAAAATCTAAAGTTCTTAACAAGCTATAACTTTGTTCCCCTGGTAACAACTGAGGTCCTTCCTAATACCTAGAATCATGACCATCCCATAATGTTCTAATGTAATGGAAACATCTACGTTATCCTAGCAAGATTCAAAGTCAACTACTTGTCATACATCAGGAATTAATGGACATCCAGCAGCCAATCAGAATCGAGTATCACCTAAACCTTGGTATAATTGGTTTTAATTCATGTGAATGAGTGTTGTCAGGATTTACAGTGTTGTATAAAGACGATGCATTTAAGTGACTTTATTCAGACAAATTCTGTTCACACATTTTAATAAGGTTTGGAGAATTGCTGCATATGAGAGTGACTTCAATTAACTGAAGGGAATTAGTACAATTAACTTAATTTACCAATTTTACATCAACTTAATAGTTGAGTAGCTTCTACTCAAATCAAACATCTTTCAGCTTTCATCTTTCATGCTTAAGCTGTTCGAGTTAATAAACTTAAATAGTTTAAGGCGATTTCCTCACACAGTTTGAGTTGAACTAACTCATCAGGTTTTACAGTGTAAACACACATACACACACACACACACACACACACACACACACACACACACATATGGTGTAGTGGTGAGACAGGGCAGTTAAGCATGACAGGAGCTGAGCCAAGAGGAGGAGGAGGAGGAGGGAAACTAAAAAAAAAATAAAAGAAGAAATGCATAGACAGGCAAACCGCTCTGCCGTGCATGCTAAAATGCCATCTCCAGCAGCTTAGTTCAAAAACAGCACAGACCAGCATTTACACACACACACACACACACACACACACACACACATTCACATACATCCACCCCCCGCCTTCATCCTTCTTCTTCTTGCCTGCACTACTTTACAGTCCACCCTCACAGCAACCGGCAGCAGAACATACACTCCAGCTGAGAAAGTGCCCGTGGTGCAGTCTCACTTTAATCTATGTCTGAGTGTCATTTAAACACTCCTCGAGCAAAAAAAAAAACACGCAGGCCAACGGAGCCGCTGCTGCTGTCGGTTTTATCAAGAAGGGAATAAGTCAGGAGAAAATATCCTCTTTGTGTTGTCAACAACACAAGCACTTTCTTCTTGTTACGCCGTTTTTCATCTCCAGACAGAAAATAAATAGCCTTTTTTTTTTTCGGGATATATACCTGCGTTACGCTAAATGTGTCAAACCAGCGTCATCAAGAAACTCATTTCAGCTTTCACAGCTTGCAATTATTGAGGCAGCCACTCAGGCAGCAGATGTTCACACACACACACACACACACACACACACACACACACACACACACACACAAGGCAAACTCTGCTTGTGATATCTGAAGTTGTTTAGAATTAATGTGACTGAAAATCCCATTAATTATGGAGCTGTAAACAGTCAGAGACATGGTTCGAGTGGGACACTTTTCAATAGGAGAATAAACCTGTCAACCCTGGAATTTGTCCACCGGAGATTATAAACAGGGGTCCAACTCCAGGACAGCACTGTGCAGCGTCTTCTAAAATACATAATTATTATTATTTGGACATTATAGATCATTTCCAGGATATTTTGGTAAAGATCCAGGTGTTTCCATGACTGGATAATAATGGCTTTAAGTACCCAGGTTTTCCAGGATGCGTAGGCACCCTGATACAGTTTCCAAAAATATCCAACATTCCCAATTGACCCTTCCTAAGCCCCGCCCCTTTTTGCCATGTGGTCCAATAACAATTAAACAAATCTCGATCAACTTCCTCCTTTCCTGTACTTAGATATGCTTTGTGCTAAGCTAATTTATGTTGAAAAGACACATTTTGAAGATAGTAAGAAAACCTCATATATGTAGTCACATCTTAAGTTAAAGTTTCTCAATCTATATCTGAAGGTTAGCATTGCCAGCATGCTAACCGCTAGGACTTTAAAGCAGGTCTTAATCTCATTGAGACCTGATTGAAATAAACTCTTTTACCAGCCGTCACAGCTTTCAGCCTGCAGCTATGAACTATATGTCTTAAGCCACAGGTGAGCAGGAAATGATCAATGAATCGCAGTGTACTCTGAATTAAGAGTGCATGAATCATTCATAACAGCTGACTTGCTCATTAGTCGCAATGACAGATGAATATATTTTTCATTTTTCACTTCCTTATAGTAGGAAGTGAGGTTATTCTGTCAGAACATCCTTTATTGGAGCCCATTTGGCTGTGACAGAGTTGGCAGGTGAGCCACATCTCTGAAACGCTAATCATAATCAGAGCGGCTCAGCAGGAAGACAAGGCTGCAGCCGTCCTATAAGTAATGTACTCTGATTAATGCTCGCTGTGAAGCTTGTCGTTTTAGTCGGGACAAACATCGTTTCTCGGTCAAGTGAATTGCAGCTCCAGAAACCTAGAAAGCGTGGCCCTCTTTTAAAGCGGCACTAATCAATATTTCTATTACAACAACGGATCAAATCAATAGGTGTAATGTGACAGGGGTCACTCATAGTCGCGAACCCAACGACATCAATTAATCACACTGGAAGCTCACTGAATGTCTCCTGTTTTAGTGTTCGTCTGCTTTAAAACAGACCTGCCCTTTAATCTTTAGCTTCCATATATAATATAATACATGTAATGTGCTTTATGTGGCACATTTTAAACACTTCACTTGGGACTTGAAGTTCTTTTTCTCACTTATAACATTTTTATTTTATTTTACTTTGATTAAAAACAGTGATTTTTGTCCACATAAGTACCCTTACTTCTTACTGAGTACCACCACCTCATCCACCACTGAGGTCTCCAGTATTTCTTCCAAAGGTTTTACAATAAAAGCTGTGAAATAATTGGCTAAATTGGCAGCCTCTTATTTATACTGTATAATTACCACTGGGCTCATTAGTTAGGTAGTATTTTTTTTATTAATTCATAGTCCTTCACTAATTCTTCTGTACAGTGTAATTATCATTATTCTATATTTATATTTTTTATAATTCATTGTATTTTCTGTTGACTGTTCCCACTCACACACAGATATCTCACTCCCTTTACCCAGTGTTTTAACGGTTACAGTGTGTATGAATGCCTGTGATTGTTGTGTATCTATATTTATATAGCACCTTGGATCGAGAAAAACATTTCGTTCCTGTGGACTTGAAACAACCTTGAACCTAAAAATAACAATTTTGATGCTTTGATGCTCCAAAACCCCCCTAGCAAGTTCAGTTTTTGGACCTCTACAACCCTGCATACAGCAGTGCTGCTGAGGTCCTCCTAAACAACTGTGTCTCTGTGTAAACACACAGCTAGCTTAACATGAAGAAAACCACTGAAAATGTCCTCAACACCATAAGAATAAGGTTTAGGGTGACAGTTTGTTTTGTGGATAATCCAGAGTAACCAAAACATTTAAAGGTTTTATATATGTGAGATTTAAAACATTAATATATCAGCTAACAGCTGTTCTCTATATACAGACACAGAGTCACATGGTGTCTCTCTCCCTCTGCCTGTGTTGTATCGCAGCCTCTCTGTGGTTTGTTTCCATAGCCGGTCTGCTCCGACTGAAACTGCTGTTTTTATCATCTACGTCGGTGAATTAAGGATTTATTTCCACCAAACCCGAGTTGGTGATTGTTGGAAGGACTAACAAAGTGGTGAGTTTTATTTTGTGTTTGTCCACCTTAAAGGAAGTTACGACGTTACAATGATATGCTCTATAAAATGAGATCTCTGTAGGGATCCTTTCCACAATGCTGTCAGACACAGAATAACAATCTGAGTCAGTCAGTGGCAAAAGTGAAATAAGAGTTTATTTGGAACCAAAAAACCAAACCAGAGTTGCTGATTGTTGAAAGGACAAATAAAGTCAGTTTTGTTGTTGTTTTATTTAGTTTCTGTCCCATTGTTTTGGTCTGAGATTCTGGTGCTCTAGGACGACATCCAGTGGTGAATATTGTGTATAATCAAGTTAAGACATATTACTTTGGGAATAATATTCAAATGCTTTAAGAACCATAAATGAAATTCCACTTTCATTGTATTGGGATGGAGGCAGAGATCTCTGAGACGGTTATCTACATGGCTAAATAGAGTTGTGTGGGACGACCTATTTTGGGCCCCGCGTGGTTCCTGAAGTAAAAATCTCATTCATTTCCACTGACAACGTTCTGTGACTCACAGCTGGAGTTCTTCTACTGCTTCAATCGGCATGAAATTCTCCCGGTTAAATCATCTGTGCACAAGATGAACAACTGTGTTAGAAAATATCTGCTTCTTTGATCAGAAGTCAAAAGCCTGTGGCCATAAAAACTCAGGAGGAGATAAGTGTTGAGTTGTAGGACTGTAAGGTGTCAGTCGAATTTATCACCACTCTCAACCTGGAGTGTCGAGCAGAACAGCACTTTAAAGCCAGGATGCACTTTCTGCAGAGAATAAGAGTCGATTCAAAGAGTGTATACGTGGTTTTCTGTCAGTAAACAAAGAACTTAAAGCAATGAGTAAAGTACTGTTCGTTCATTATACAGTGTAAAGTACAACTTAAAGGTCCAGTGTGTAACATTTAGGAGGAGATATTGTCAGAAATTAAATATAATATTCATAGATATGTCCATGTCCATATA